CCTATTTGCGCACTCGGCCCGGCCGCGTTTTTTATCGGCGCCTAATTTCGCCAGACAATGTGTTTGCGCAAGGGAAAAAATCGTTATTGGATACGGGCTCTGTTCCGGCTGGCCGAATGCAACAGAGGAGAACAGGCCGTTTAATGCGCTGGCACTCTATCTGCTGCGCTGCAGCTGCATTATTCAGGAATCAGGATGTATCCAGTGCGCACTTATATAATATATACGCATGTATGCAGCGCCGGTACACAATGCCAGCCTGCGATATCGCTAATCCAATTAGGCGCCAGAGCACAATGCCCGCCCGCCACGGACACTGCTTCCGGACAATTAGATTAATCAGTCCGCGCATATGCATCCGCGTCCAATACATCCGCGGGCGCAGTGCAGCGTCGTTTCTTGTTCTGTGTGCAGTCACGCACTCCACGCTTCTTAGCGCCAGCTGCTCTACTTAATCCCGCGAATTACATGTGTGTATATATGCGTCTCTTGGCTAGATCATCCGCACCGCCCTCGACATCCGCCTGAAGATTGAGCGCCCCTTCCGCGGCCCCGACGACGACGACACCGAGGGTTTCGTCCACACCGACGCCGACATGACCGATCTGGAGGCGGCGGTGTCGCGGCGGCGGCGCACAAGCGAGCGCGGAAGACCGGCGCCGCGCCGCCATCGCCGCTGGCGCCGTCGGTGCCGCTGGTGGAGCCCATCGTCAACGGCACCCCGCGGGGCTCTTCGCGCGACGGCAGCGTGGCCGGCCGCGGGGCGACGACGCTGAACAACGGCTCCTACGCCTGGATCGACGTCCAACGCCAGCCCTGCTCGCCGCCGCCCGAGGAGGCCGACCTGCAGCTGGCCGACGACGCCGGGATGTATCCCACCCGCAAGGCGGCGCTCCTGGTGTCCGACGACGTGCATCTGGGACTACTGATCCGCGGGGGGTCCGAGTACGGACTGGGCGTGTACGTGACGGGACTGGATAAGGCTTCCGCGGCGGAAAATGCTCAACTCAAGGTAAGGCAGTTTTTGCCCACGCTAAACAACCATGGGAAACGTGACTATATTGTGCCAGGTCGGTGACCAAATTTTGACGGTGAATAACTACGACTTCCGCCACATCAGCCACAGCCGCGCCGTCCGCGTCCTGCGCACCCACCGCCACATGACCCTCACCGTCCGCCACGTCGGGAAGCTGCCGTACGCGCGCCGCCTCAGTCCGTCCACCACGACGCAGAGTCCCAACAAGCTGGTGGCCCCCGTGGCCTCCGCGCCCATCTCCGCCTCCCCGGTGACCCTGTCACCCAAGCCGGCACCCGCCGCCGGACCAGCCAACCCCTCCTTCGGCCACTTTTACGACTCCCTCCACGAGGAGATCATCCGACTGACGCGGGAAGCCAACCAGGACCTCCTGACCGAGTACCGCGAGCCGGATCCCACGTTGGAGCTGCTCCGGAGTCTGGGGCTGCACGATGTGGAGGTGGACGACTACAACCACGACATCCAGGCCCAGCTGGAGATGCTGGAGTCTGATTGGTCGGCGACGGCCATGACGGCTAACCGTCACGGGAGGACGAAGCAGCAGAGGGGTATAATGACGCCACTGGTGACCTTTGTGCCGGCTAACCTTGTCTCCGTTGCAGAGAAATCGGAGATTAATGAGCACTGGTTGCGGGTGGTGGAGAATAGTGCGGAGACGTTGTTGGACGACGACAGCCAGAAGGAAGCGTTGATGTACTTCCTGAACGAGTACATCAACGGGACGGTGGAGGTGGACGCCCTGGTGCTGTCGCTCTTCCACCTGATGGACTCCACGCATAAACTCCCCCTCCTCGACGACATCCGCGCCGTCATCGCCCCGCCGGACATTGCGCGCTTCGACTCCCTGACCTCCGGGATGAAGGCCGAGTGGATGATGTCGCCGGCGAAACTCTTCGCCAACATCACGCCCTCCACCTCGCAGCTGGCCTTCATCACGCCAACGGACACCACTCCACCGCCCGCACTCCCCTCTCAAATCCGCACTCAAATCGCCCAGTGTCTCCATGTCTTTCCCGGACACCCCGGTCAATCCCTACTTAATGGGACTACCGGCCATTCCCAGCAATAGTCAGGTCAACCTGGCGCCGCCCTCCCCAGCCAGTCGGGGCGCTCCTGGCCCCGTCCAACGGACTGGGCTGGCCCACCGAGACGCTCCTGACCCCGGCGCCGGTCACCCAAGTATTAGTGCACACGCCGGTGACGCCCACCGTCACCAAGTTCGTCTACGACGCGCCCAACATCGAGATGGACATGTTCGGCCAGCACAGCCACGCTCCGGTGATGACCAGCATCACCGCGCCCACGCCTACGCACATCCCTCCTCCTCACGGCAGTCCGCACCACCTCCCGGGAGCGTACATGGCGCCGGGTCCTTCCGTGCCGCCACTGATCCCGGGGCGGAAGAGCCACTCCACGGAGAACGTTCCCTCGCAGGGAATGACCAGCGCGTCGGCTTATGACTTCCGGGGCGACGGCTTCGGGCGGTACCACCACCCGCAGCGTCCGGGATACGCGGGAATGGCCGGCGGGAGTTCCTACAGCATCCACGATCCCTACATCCCGCCAGGTTCGCTGGAACTCCGCCGGTCACCACAACCGCCTCCCGGTAGACCAAAGCCCGACCGCGAATTTCCCGTTAACCGCGGACGACGAGCCTCGCACTTCCAGCCGGAAGGCATCGGCGGACGCGGCTCGGTGGCGCACCTGTACCCGCCGCAACTGTCGCACACCTCCCGCTGGCACAACGCCGCGGCCCACAGCCGGGAGCGGGACAGCTCGGAGGGCCACATCGAGTGGGAGCGGCGCCCGGCCAACGACGGGTCCATCTCGCCGGTGTACTCCTTCCGGAGTCGCAGCAACAGCGGCGATCTGCACTCCGAGCGCGACTACCCAGCGGGAACGCACCGCAAGTTCTCCTACGACGACGACATGATGTCGACGGTGGACATGCTGCCGTACGCGGCGGCCAAGCAGCGCCCCTTGACGCTGCAAGTGCCGGTAAATTCTGATTTAACTAGTACATAAAGGTCAACATGTAAAAAAAGGTGCTGTTTAGCTGGAGAACAAGATCGGGCCGGCGAAAGGCGACGCCAAGACGCCGGTGGTCATCGAGACGGTCACCGTCAAGAAGAACGCGCCGGTGCTGGGCATCGCCATCGAGGGCGGCACCGAGACAAAGCAGCCGCTGCCGCGCATTATCAACATTCAGGTAAGCGAATAATATGCGATAAATATTATCATTTCAATAAGGTCATCGTTTGTATTAAGAACCATCTGATATGTATAACGTTTTTAGCCGAAAGGGTGCGCCCATTTGAACGGACGGCTGAAAGTGGGTCACGTGATCCTGTCGGTGAACGGGAAGAAGCTGGACGGCCTAAACCACGCCCAGGCCGTCAATCTAATCACGGAGACCTTTTGGACAAGGCCATCGACAAGATGGAGTTTGTCGTCAAGGAGGTCAACAAGCTGGAGTCGTCCGGTTAATTGAATGTGTTTTTTGTACAGTGACTCATGTTGTGTTCCGCTGGAGCGGAAGAGCGCCACTGCGGCCCGCTCCCACACTGTCGAGGTGATCCCGTCATTCCCGTGGCGTTCAATTTATTTTGTGTTCATTTGCGTCGTTTCTGCTGTGATCGATTGCTCTCGTCTGGCTGGCGTATTACGCACGTACTGTAAAGTATACTCGCAGCGCGATTAATTTCACGGCCAGATGTGTACATTGGGTAACGTTTTATTGCGCGCGTTTTTTTTGCTGCTTGTATCCGCGATAACACGAGGAAATTGTCTTGTTGAGTAAACATGACGATACTGATGCTAACGGGCCTGGGCGCGCCACTCTGAATAATCACCCCATTCCCATGAATCCCATCGATCCGTATTACAGCTCTACCTACTCTGTATTATGGGAAAAAACTGTGCGCCATAAGCCACGCCTGCGGCTGCTTTCCATTGGCAACAAGGGACGTTATTGTATGTACATGATGCTTTATCGATTTGTTTTCATTACGGCAATCAGTTACAGTACAGTACTGTATCAGTTGTGGATTATAATATCTCACCGGTCAACCGTTTCAGTACTTTTAGTCAAAGCATAATTAATTAGTAAACTGAAAATTCTTACCAAGTTTAGTGATTAATAATAAAATAAACACTGAAGTTTATTAGCACCCTAGTACAACTACGTACTGTATAATGTATATCGCACGCAGAAGCAGGTACTGCAAAGTACTGTACAGCTGTTCGTATCTGTACACACAAAGTAAGATTATTGTACTGTACTGTAATCCAATCAGCGAAGCGGAAATGATTAGGCAGGAAAGACAGCCGTTCAGTGAGCACTGAGCAGCGTATGAATGAGAATTAATCATAATGAGCGGAATGATATTAATGTCGGGCTTCGGTAGAAACCTTGGCACTGTGCGAGGATCTGCTGCAATAGTGCCGCTTCGGAAAAGGCGGGTCGGGTCGGCTTAATTTCGCAGGTCACGTACAGTCCAGGTATCGACTTATTCCAGCTCTCATCGCAACGCTGGACGACGTGATCGGGAACTTTCATAGCCTTTACGCTGTTCTCCTCTTTGAGGTTGGGCTGCGCTAGTGCGCATGCGGCGCCATGCGCAGCGGAGGCCGAATGCGCAGTGCATAAAGGTGAAGCGCATCCAAGTTGAAAGCTGAGCCAACTGAGCCAATTAAGGCCGTGGAAGGGAGCTTCCGTTGTCGGCAAGGGATTTTCCAGCTGCGCCACCCACGCCCCTGCGGGCTGACTGGACGGGGGACATAGCTAATTAGTCAAATTACAATCGGATAAGTAAAAAGAGCAAATTACAGGAACAACAGAATGGATCAGAGGCGTTGCGAATCTGCGATACTGGAAGCTGCAGTTGCCTTGTTGACTGCTGCTGGATTCGAGCGACTGGATGACCTTGTGCGCTGCATACTGGTGTTAAGACTAAATTTTGCGGAATGCTAGGAGTTTGGGCGGTCGTTGGTGGCTGTCGCTGACAAAGGGATCATGCGCTAACGCGGGCAAGTTCGTGGCTGTTCAGTTTCGAGGCGAGCGTACTCAGCGTAGCGGGACAACTAGCCAGCCGCCCGCGGAGCCCGCAGTAACCGAGCCCCGCGCTGTCTCCCGTCCCGCTCGGTACATTACATCCAACAGATTCCTCAGTATTGAAGTGACTCGAATTCGATGTTGATGATCAATTTCCATTGGATACCTATTACCTACCGTACTCTATCCGTTCTGCAGTACAGAGTCGCGGTGCCAGCGGAAGACGCCGGCGGTGACAGCACGCCGGAAGCGGATGGCGCTGCGTTGAAGCGCGCCGAGCTGCAGCGGCTGGTGGAGCTGTATGAGAATCTCGGGACGACCGGTGTTGCTCCGCCGATGGATGCCTGGGAGCCGGCCGCGGTGGGTAATAGACTAATTGGTACCGCCATTGGCATAGCCGCATAGATGTCACATTGTCACTTCCTTTGGGCTACTCATCCTTTACTGGCTGCATTCCACATCGACAACATCATGACACTTTTTTCTGCATTACAGGGCGTTGAAATCAACATGTGGGACATCAAGCTGGCGTTTCGGGATCGTCGACTGGAGCAAATGCGGGCCGAGTGAGCGCCGTTCGGAATTCATTGCCTTGAACGTAGCGCATATCGATGCTGGCGCTTAATTGGTGCTGTTTGTAGGGAGACGGGAATTCTGACCCGGGCGGCGCGGCAGGGCCTCCAGCAGGCGGCCGACGCCTCCGGTCCGCTGCACTTGTCCGAGGCCTGGCGCACCGCGGTGCACAGCGTCCTGCGCATGGAAGCCGGCAACTGCTGCTACCTCGTCGAGCCCTGGAACAACGCCATCAACGAGGAGGCCGACGGGCTGCGCTGGCTGCGGCCTTTCGTCATGGTCTTCCAGTGCACCGCGGGCCGCGCCCCGGCTCGCAGCCTGCAGATCGTCCTCGTCGTGCTGGGCGGCCCGCGGTGCTCCCGGGAGACCTTCAGCGACATGGAGGCGACCCTGGGCGACGTGCACGCCTTCCTGGCCGCGAAGGAGCACGCCGCGGACCAGCTGGCCTACCTGCTGTACCGCGGTGCCCACTTCGTCTGGGGCCTCCATCGCCGCGGTCAGCCGCCGTCGCGCCGCTGCGACGAGCCGAGCTCGACGCCCGCCAACCCACTGCCGACGAGGCGCTGCAGCAACTCTACCAGCACATCACCGCCGTCACATTTTGATCGTTTTTGCAGCGACTCCTGTTGTGCGTTCGTTGGAATGGGAACGCGGCAGTGTCCACGTGATCCCGCCATTCTCGCGGCGTTCGATTAATTGTGTGCAGTTTACTTCCGTCGTTGCGGCTGTGATCGATTGCTCATCTGGTTGGCGTATTATGTACGTACAGTATTGTATACTCGCACTGCGATTAATTTTCACGGCCAGATGTGTACATTGCGTGTTTTATTGCGCGCCTTTTTTTGCTGCTTGTACCGGCTGATAACATGAGCCAAGTTTTGTTGAGTAAACATTACGCTCCTGAATCAGTCCTGATGATGCCGGGCCTGGGCGCATCACTCTGAATAATGCCAAATCGATCGGTTATTCGGTTTTATATAACCGTGCGCCACAGGCCACGCCTACTTCCCATTCGCCCCACAAAATGCTTGATCGATTTGTTTACTTGTTTTCATTATTGCTATCAATTCAGCGTATCTCACAATATCTGAATAGCTAAAATAAATGCAATAAAAATCTGTAAAAGATAATGAAATTTTAAAAAAAATTAAAAATATGGATAAAGTTATAAACTATTGTAACTTAAACACAAGCAGCAACTTTAACTTTTACAGCAAACGTGTGATTGTATTGCAGTACAGTAAATCGCTAATTTCAATAAATTTACTCTGACTGAATAACGTGACAAAACAAATTGCATAATAAAGTCACAAACAGCAAGAACAAAAGTGGTGTTTTCGTGGCGCCTGCTAAAGTTTCCAGTACCAGCCAACGCACTGGAAAGAGGCAGTGAGCCATTTACTGCGCCGTGGAAATGGAATCGGTCAACAATGGAATTGTCAGCAGCAGCCAATGGGCATTTCGCTGTGCCTCTGCCTGGCGCCCTGGCCTACTGCGGGTACAATACAAAATAACAGGGGATTTATTGGCGTGTTCATGTCGCAATGCATTTCCATTTGGCAGCGGCGTGTTGACGTTTATTTTGGCTGTTATCTGAATATCGATTCCCGTTGACGCGCTGCATGACTGCATCCATCTATCGCAAGACAAGAGCGTGTGCATCGATTTTCCAGCGAGTACTTGACTAGTGGGCGCAGTGTTTTCTTGCCGAGAGTACAGATAGAGTAGACTCTGTGTGTCAGTGTTCTGCGGCCGGGAATAGCTGAAGGAAGAGGGAATCCGGGATGACAGATGCCCGCGATGCAGATCCGGATGGGATTAATGCGTCGTCCACGCAGCGTATTCAGTGCCTGACACGCAGGCAGCCAGCGACAAAAGCCCTTCCTTTATTGATGAATCATGAGCAGGCAGGAATAGTTCTGCGCGCTCTCTCCTCTCATTCTCATCCGCAAAGTTAGTTGTAGCGCCCGCAGCTGAACACCAGCGTCAGCCTTTTTATTGCCGCTCTACTTCCGCGTTCCCTTTACGCTTTCCCTGCTGTATCTTGAACTGGTTGGCCCAATCCGGGCAATCCCGCCAAATCTGTTTCCCCTGTTTGACTGAGTACGGAGCTAATTGAAGGAGCTCTAATCTGAAGATGAATCGGTGAAGACGGTATTGAGCCGTGATATCTGTCTGTCAATCTCTCGATGGAGCAGAAGAAGGACGCGCTGTGTCCGCGCCTGCTGGACTACGTCGTCATCGCGGGCAACCGGGCCTGCAGCGCGGCGGCGGCGCACTTCCAGCCCAACATCACGCGGCCGCTGCTGCTGCGCCGGTGAGGAGCGACATGACACTGTCATGGCGCTGATCTGTAATCTAATGATGCTCGTTTGAAGGTATCCCGTGGAGGACCACCGCGACTTCCCGCTGCCCTTCGAGATCGGCTACTTCTGCCAGCCCGAGGGCAACGTCAGCTTCCGGCCCAAGCTGTCGCGCGACGTCCGCCGCACGGGCTCCTTCACCTTCACGCTGGTGGAGAAGGACTCGGCCAAGATCCGCTACGGCGTCTGCTTCAACTTCTACCGGCCCCTCACCACCAAGCAACCGCCCCGCCGCCGACCCAGGTATTTACACTTAATTTACCTACCCATCCTGCTTTAATTCCCAATCAGTTTATTTCTATTTATTTGCATTAAAATTTAATGGAATTCTTGTTTAATCGAATTAAAAGAAAATCTACAATGATTAAAATAATTAGAAAATTAAATTAGCTAAAAAAAGTGAATTTTAAATAAAATAATTGAAAATAAATTCAATAAATCGACGACCGATGAAAACTGACGCTGTGTGAATGAATGGCTTTGGCAGTCTGCTGGACGCGGAGCAGCGCGTGCAGCCGTCGCCGGGGTCGCTGTTCACGCTGACCTCGCTGTGCATCCTGAGCCACCACGCCTTCCTGGCCACCTTCCGCCAGTGCCTGGCCGTGCTGCACACGCTGATCGACGCCTGTGATTTCCGCGCCGCCCCCACCGGCTACCGGTATTTGAATTAAAACGATCTACAGTTGATTAATATTAGATAATAAGAGCTACATTTTAACATTGCGGCGTTATGTGCAGGGGCCAGGTGTGGGAGCTGCTGGCCGGCAACGTCACCTCGGAGCAGGTGGACGTGTCGGTGCTGCGCGAGATCCACGAGATCGAGACGTGGATCGTGCGCTTCCTCTGCGCGCCCGTGCCGGTGCCCGGACGCACGCGCCTGGAGGTACGTCTAATGATGACTGTCTGCCACGTCATACTTGTCCCGGTCAGGTCTCAGGTGTTGTTGACTTGGTCTAGGTGGAGCTGCTGCCGCTGCAGACGGCCCAGTCCATCGTCCACTTCGCCTTCCCCGACCGCACCCGCTTTCCCCTCGTCGACTTCCCGCTGCACCTGCCCTTCGAGCTGCTGGGCGTCGACAACGGCCTCAAAGTGCTGACCTGCATCCTCCTGGAAAACAAGGTGATTGAACGTGCGTCTTGCTGTAAATGGTCGCCCAGCTTAAGATGCGCATGGATTCGAACAGGTGCTGCTGCGCTCCAAGGACGTCAACGCCGTGTCCATGTCGGTGATGGCCTTCGTGGCCATGCTGTACCCCCTCGAGTACATGTTCCCCGTCATCCCGCTCCTGCCCGCCTGCATGCCCAACGCCGAGCAGCTCCTCCTGGCCCCGACGCCCTTCATCATCGGCATCCCGGAGAGCTTCCTCGTCATCAAGGGCGACATGGCGCTCCCGGAGGACGTCTGGCTGGTCGACCTCGACGCCAGCCGGGTACGTCCTCGGTCCTTTGTCAAAACATCACCGCTGCAGGGTTATGCTTTCGCAGATATATCCCCCCAACGGAGGGGCCGCGGCCGACGATCTCCCGCCGTTGCCGGGCGGCGAAGCCGGCACTCTGCGCACCCACATCGAACAGGTACGCTTTCGTGTTTATTTCTTCTTCCGGCTCTCGGTTAAACACGGACATCCCCGGTCAGGCCATGCACACGGTGAACACAGAGCCCAGCGCCAACGCGGCGGACACGGACGGCGCGGCGGTGGACGTGGCGACGCGCGTGGCCGTCGTGCAGTTCCTCAACTCGCCCAACGTCCTCGGCAACCTCACCGAGCACATCCGCACGCTGCGCCTCTACCCGCGCCCCGTCATCGCCTTCCAGGTCTACAGTTTCCTGCGCTCGCGCCCGGCGCGCTCCCAGTTCGTCGACCGCTTCGCCAAGACGCAGGTCAGTGCTTTCCGCCGTGATGACCCTCGTTCCATCCTGACCTCCTGTTTTGTCTGACTTACTGTGACCTTTTCCATTCAAATCAATTTGACTTTTTGCCGGACTGAACAGGCAGTAGAGTTCTTCGCGGAGTGGTCGCTGAGTCCGACGAACGTGGCGTTCCTGCGCGTGCAGACGGGCATCGCCGAGCCGGCGACGCTGGGCGACAAGCTCAAGTGGTTCGCCGACGAACTGCAGCCGGTCTACTTCCAGGTCTTCGACCCGCACTCCACGCTGAACCACGCCATCGCGCGCTCCCTGTCGGCCGACGACTACTCATACTTCAATCAAATCTCTTGTGGTAAGTACTTCCTGGTTATTCAACTAACAATAAACTAAAAATTTTAAAAGCTAATCAAAATAAAAATTAATAAAGCTATAATTACTATGTATGTATGTATAACTTTTTTAAAATTGTATAATTTTATCTACATATATTCTTATAAGCAATTTAAATAAGTAAATGAATGACTGGTAATAGATGTGCCGGATCTGGATCGTTTCTCCGACGAGGACTCGGTGGACCGGCAGCCGCTGCAGCACACGTACAGCAGCCTGGACTACGCCCGCGCCGACTTCCAAGACTCGCAGGGTGCCTTGTCCACGCCTTCGCTATCTCACTGTCTATGTATAATCGCTGGATCAATTTGCAGATGTGGAGCGGCTGACGTACCACATGATCAGCCGCGACCTGGAGAGCCAGCTGAAAAGCTACTACCAGCCGCCGCAGCAGCTGCACCTGCCCAGCGGCGGCGCGCCGGAGACGGCGCTGAGCCACAGCAGCTCGGCGCAGTCGCTCAACGACATGAACAGCGACGACGGGCTGTCCAGCAGCGGCGCCTCCTCGCCGGGTATGGGCGGCGGTCGGCATTCCGCCCAGGAGGTCATCTCCCCGCCGGAGTCGCTGCCCGCAGCGGATGTTGCCGCTCAGAAGATCCGCCCGCGTCTGGAGAGCCTCAAGGTCACCGGGTGTGATTTGCTTTGGTCGGGGATGGTTGGGTGATAAAAACGTGTATGTAGGTGGCGGAGAGCGAGCGGTTCCGCGGCGCGGAGGGTCCGCTGAGCGGGCCGCCGCTGTCGGCCAGCGCCAAGCCTTCGTTGATGAACTTCCGCTTCGGCTCCTCCGGCAGCACCGCCGACCTCTTCGACAAAATCAACCCCGAGCAGGTGGCCAAGTTCCAGCAGTCCGTCACCGAGTTCGCCGACAAGGGCAAGCAGAACTTCCAGAAGGCCGCCTCGCTCTTCAAGGTAACACTTCGTGACATAATAATCATAGTCTCTACAGGAATTATTTGAAGCGCTTAAGCTTGTTTAATATTGCACAATGCAGCGATTTCGCTCTCTACTAGCGTAATGTCGTGCGCGAATGTAGTAGAGTGGCCACTTCATAGCAAAACCGGATTAACCTTTAGAATAACGCCCATTGCTGCTAACGGAGCGACTGTAGTAATTTGGTGATATTTTTCTCGCAGCAGCCAATTTTTACTGTGTTTTGAACAGAGTCTGAGCACGAAGGACAACGGCATGGAGGGCATCCCGTCGTCCCTGCCGCTGAAGATCTCCATCACGGGCATGGGCACCTCCACGGAGACGGCGGGCACGGGCAGTCCGCCGCCGGCCAACGCCAACTTCGTCACGGACCTGGCCAGCAAGCTGCGGCAGGTGGGCAAGGAGCTGGAGCTGGCCAAGCACAGCAAGCCGCAGCCGTTCGGGCCCTTTCCCACCGGTACAGTTACCTGAGAATCAGCCCTCTCTTTTCATATACACATGTTGTTAATCAACAGGCCGGCTGAATCCGCTGGAGCGCAACAACTTGATCCGCCACGACAGCACCTCGGCGCCCTCGCCGCCCCTCCCGCGCCGCCCCATCCACATCCTCAACGGCGACGCGCCGGCCGAGAAGAACCGCGCCAAGCCGCCGGCGGTCAGCAGTGCGCCCGCCCCCGCGTCGGCGGCCAACAACCAGCTGAACGCGGACAACCAGAACTTCCTGAAGGAGGTGGTGGACAGCGTGATCGCCGGCGAGGCCATCAGCTGGCTGAAGTTGGGCCGGCTGAAGAAGCTGCTGGAGGACGAGAGCTACCGCAACTTTGCGCTGGCCCGCCTCAACGAGAACAACAGCAAGCAGATGCCGGACGACCAGTACATTGAGGACGTGGTCAGTTCCCGTTGCTTCCTTAACCCTCGTCGTTTTCGTTTCTTATGTTGTGGTTGACTTGCAGATGTTGTCGCGGGAGCAGTGGAAGGGCTATCTGAAGCTGCTGCAGCTCAGCGTCGCCGGTCTGGAGAAGACCTTCCAGAGCTGGGGTCTCGGCGGAATGGGCAGCGCGTCGCAGCTGTTTGAAATCGCCTACACGCACTACTGCGATTCGGCCAAGCCGGTGCCCGCCCCCGGACAGGCCGCCGGGTCCGCCTCGGCAAACTTCATGCAGCTCTTTCAACGGGTCAGTTCATAGGCCTTCGTCCAAAATAAAGAAAAATCAGTTTTTAAGTGAATATTGTACTAATAAGTTGCAATTTCTTTGCAGCCGGTGTCGGCATCGGCCACCTCCTCCCCGACCCCGACCGCCCGCCTGGGCGTCCACGAAGTGCCCTCCAGCGGACGCCTCCGCGCCTCGGACAGCGGCTCGACCTTCGCCGGCCTGAACACGGACCAGCTGGCGCTGGGCTTCCGCTCGGTGATGCACAGCGCGGTCAAGTCCTTCACCAACAACCCCACCTCCATCCTCATCAGCCACCACGACGAGCCGCCCACCCCACCGACGCTCCGACCGGCGGCGGCGGGTGGCGGCATCCCCCACAGTCCCCGCAGTTCCCCGACACCGCCTGGCGGCGACCTGCCCAGTCCGCTGGTGTCCCCGCGGGACATCCCAGAGTCCCCGCCCAGTTCGCCGGACACCGAGGGTCCAGGTGAGAGCGCGGCGTCCCCTCCGCCCGTTTCTTGCACTCCCTCTGATTTGTCCCCTGGTCACGCACTTTCTCCTGCAGATTCCCCTTCCCTCTCCCGCCGGAGTAGCCAGTGTAGGCTTTCCCGCTCCCGTTCATCCCTAAATGAATTTCCCGTCCAAAATGTCGTTTTATATTTGCAGCGGCCGATGGACCGTCGGCGTCCATGCTGCAGAAATCCTACGAGCGCGATCGGCTGTCGCTGACGGGGACGAACGCCGGGAATGGCGGCGGCGATGAGCAGCGGATGGGGATGATGTACCTGGACCCGGAAGTATGTCGCCTGATTTACCTTGCGTCAAGGAAAAGATATAAAAAACTATATAAAATTAATACGAAATTTAATTGCAGCGCTCGCCGTTCGCGTCGCCGAACAGCAGCCGGCGCAGCAGTCGCAGCACGGACGACGGGCACAGCTACACGGGCGGCGCCAGTCCGGGTTCGAGTCGCACGCGCAAACTGATCAGCCACCAGTCGATCACGTCGCAGAGCGCCGCCGTGACGCCGACGTTCAACGCGCACCGCAGCGTCCTCGACGATGTAGGCGACCGCCCTTCTCGCTGTCTACATGACACATTATTATATGATTGTGGTTTGTATTTATACAGAGCAGCGTGTCGGTGGCCGAGCTGGGAAACCTGAGCCGGAAGAGCAGTCTGAGCTCGGAGTTCCGCTACCGGCACGGCCACCTGCACCTGGTGTCCTCCTCGTCGGCCAGCAACCTGGCGGCGGCCGCCGGCGGCGAGCAGTGGGAGCTCGATTCGGTCAGTGTGCCGCCCACCGCGCACCGCAGCTACCTCTTTGAAGGGTTGTTAGGGAAAAGCCGCTCCAAGATCCTGGACCAGGCGCAGTTCTGGGACGACGCCTTCATCGACGCCGTGGCCATGGAGCGCGACCTCATCGGCATGGACCAGGGCACGTCCGAGCTGCTGGAGCGGTAGGTGGCGTTGCGGCTTACCTGGATTATCGTTAATTGAATGGAAATGACAGGTACCGGCACCTGACGGACGTGGACCGCAAGCGCATGGAGCACGACGAGGACCGGCTGCTGACGACGATGCTGTACAACTTCACGGCCTTCATGGTGGCCGTGCAGGTGCGCAAGCCGGAGCTGAGGAAGACCACGCGCCGCCTGTTAGGCAAATGCCACTTGGGCCTGGTCTACAGCCAGGAAATCCACAAACTCCTCGATCAGCTCGACGTCCTGGTAAGCGCCGTACTGCTACTATCTCACTGAACGTTGAGTTAAAATGTGTAATAACTGCAGAGCGGCAACGAGATCGACTTGAAGCCGCCGATCAGCCGGCAGTCGCGCAAGCAGTCCTTTACGGTGCACGCCGGCACCGACGGCTCCGGCGACATGTCCTTCATGGAGGCAAGCGTCTCCCTTTCCCAATTACCACAACAACCTGTTAACAAGGTTTCTGCAGGTGCGCGACAACGGCCTGGTGGTGCGGAGCGTCAACGGCGTGACGCTGGAGCGCATCTACTACAGCGCCCTCATCAACATGACCTACTCGCCCAAGACGCGTGTCCTGTGTCTCTGGCACCGCCAGGAGAAGCGCCGCGAGCGGGACCGGCGCGGGTCTAACCTGAGCCTGGCCAGCAGCAACGCCAGCGGGGCCTCCTATAGCCACCACCACGCAGGGGGCGCCCCCCTCCACGGTGGGCGGGGGCGGCGCGGCGGGGACGGCCAGCAGCACCAAGCTGAACCAGTACTACTGCAAGAAGAGCAAGGAGCTCTACCACTGCATCAAGGAGTCCATGGAGCGGGCGGCCGCGCGAGGGAAGGCGCCCGTCGCCGGTCAGTCGACGGTTTAGCGTGGTTGAGCATGTTGGTGACCTTTCCCCTGGTAGGTCCCGACGTGGGCGGCGACTTCCCGATCCAGGACATGAAGAGTGGAGAAGGCGGGCTGCTGCAGGTGACGATGGACGGCGTGGGCCTGCTGTTCGCCGACAGCAAGGTACAGGTACAGAGAAGACGCCTCCCGCTGCACCCCTTAACCAACTATCCCCGCGACATGTTCAATTAAACAGATCACTGCCTCTGTCTACTTGCAGTACTTTATGCCGCTGGGCCACATCCGCAAGTGCTTCACGCAGAAGGGCGGCATCTTCGTCATGGAGGAGTACAGTACGTGCTTCTGCTCTTCCACACCTTTAGCCTTCTTTCAGCGTGTTTTCTTACAGACCCGGACACGCAGCAGGTCATCCAGCGCAAGTACAAGTCGCTCATGGTCAGTAGCATCATGTCTTAACTAATCATTTTTGAATACTGAATCCTATCATCGGATGGATTGTAATTTGTAGGCGGACCAGATCTGCTACTCGGTGCTGTGCCTCTTCTCCTACATCGCCGCCGGCCGCGACTCCAACGCCGGCGCCAACATCGCCGCGCAGCCGGCCCCCGCGGGCGGCAGCGGCAGCACCAACAGCAAGGCCTCCAGCTGATGGACGATAGCTGTGCTGGTGTCCTTGTCGTGCTTATGTGCCGCTTCAATGCTGATCAAACCGGTGCCCAGCTCTGGTGCGCAAAAGCTAATACTGTATCCGTGGCTGCACTGTTTGTTGCTGCAAGCAAAGCATTCCCGTCGAATTCGGCGTTTGGTTGCATTGATGTTCTGAGCTGTGAGTCGCGTTGCGTCGAGTGTGTCTTGGCCCTGGTTTGCATTATTATATTATGTGGCTATTGTGGAGGAGAGAATGGAGCGAATGGACGTTATACAAGCGTCGCTATTAAATGTCACTGCTTTGCGTAAGGCGCATTCAGGCCATTCAGCGCCAGTCAGCCGTCCGCTCAACAGCGGCATTCACCGTCATTCGACTGCATCCACTTGTCTGATCAGATTGCCGTTTGCCGCGCGCATCCTTTGTCGCCCTCGGCGCATCACTCCACTGCAGCCACGACACTCCGTCAGCGTTTTTTTCAGCAAACACTCCGCGCCCGCACCGACCGCCAAACAGCGGCCGGTTTGCGTTGTTTGTGTTGTGTTGCACACACAGCATACAACGCCGGCCAATCGTGACGGGCATTTACACAGTGTCGTCCAGCCGACCAGAACCGCACCGCCGCCCCCGACCGGACCCGCGAGGGCGAGCAAACAGCCCGGAATAGCCGCCATCATAGTGACGATCTGTCCGTCAGCCAGCGCAAAACAATCGCCGAATGAACTTGATCTTTTTGCAAATTGGCCAAAGTGGCGATGGCTGTTGTGTCGGGCGGTAAAGTGATCCCGCAGAATGTCCCGTTCACAATCGCGCTGCTCGTCCTCAGTCCTCAGCGAGCATTTTCTTGAGCAGCGCTAGTGCACTGCGTGCTTAACATTCCGTGGCGCATCAAGTGATTTAAACAGTCGACACATTTCTTGTTGACACACTACAAAGTCAACGCAAAATCCAGCCAGCTCTCAGCTGTCTGCAGCCAGCAACTGCAAGCCTAAGCTCAAATATATACACTGCATACTTTTACAATTCCCCATAATCACTGTCTGCAGCTTCCAATTCGGCTGATGTTTCCTTTCGAATTTAGAAATGTTTGCGCATTCCCCTGAAACACAAAATCAGGGCATCTATTTGCACAGGAAGCCGGGGAATTTTCGCAAAGGTCACGGCGCTTTTCACTCACAGTTCGCAATGACAATTCGTTGTAGCGAGTTGCAGCGTGTGTGTTGTTGCGTTGTGGCAATGAAAAAGCTGGAAATGGAGCAGTCGCCGTCCATTGTGGCGGTTTGAATGGGATGGAGACGGTGTTTGCGGCCGGTGCGGTGAGACGCGTGGGATTGGGTTACCGGTGCGGCCGTAATTTCTAAGTGCCGTTGCACCGCATCTTCGTCTGTACAGTGACGAGGAATACGGCAGGTACAAGTATCCCCGGCTGCCGTCAAAGTCTGCAGCGACCAGTTCAACTGGTCGCCGAATGGACGGGACACGTTAGACACGTAGCCGCCACTTGATCCACTTACACCGCCACTTTCCCCACCTCAACATTGGCCACTATCTCTCCGGCTTCACTCACGCCGCACCGCTCCCCTCCGTCAAAACTGTACACGGCGTACAAGCACTTTGCCGCTGAATCATCGCTAGCTTCCTTTTGTCCACCAGACCGGCTCCATTAATCCCCAACAAACATCACATTGAAACATTACAAATACTCCCGTGTACAACTGCCGGACAAATTATTACACATAATTACTTGAGAAAATGACAGAAATTCTTATAATAAAATAAACAATAATGCGTATGTAATAAATAACGCGAGACATTGTAGAGTGTTTTTATAGCCAAATCATTACTTGTTTCGTCATTAAATCGTTTTGATGAAATTAGCCGATAAGATGATGGGTTGAGCCGGGAATATTGATTTCACTTGTGTCAGCCAGTCTGGCTCTGCTATTGCCTGTGCTGCGGCGGAGGTATTTACGCTTGGAAAATCAAATTGACATTGCTCGAAATGTATCGGATTCTAATGAGCAGGCAACCCGATCCGGGCTCAGTTGGCTCGGCCGCCGCATTAAGTGCTGTTGCTTCAGTGTGACTGCTGACCGGCCGGCAACAGCGCTGGTCTGCCTGTATCGCTTATTCAGCCGGCGCTGGTATGTACTATGTACGCTCATACGATGGTATCTTGTTGGTTTGAGTTTAAATTGTGCGACACAATTAAAATCTTGGCCCGTTTTCCGTATCAGATGATGCGGCTAATGATCCGCTTCCCATCCTGCTCTTCGCATGCCCCGCATTTTTCCTGCAGCGCGGCCTCTTTGAGCCGGCCGATGGGCATCGGGCTCTCACTGTCGCTTTAACCATTTTATATAATATAAGAAAATCAGATCGCTGCTTAAATAACGCCGCTGCCATTCATCAAACCGGCAACATTTCATTCTACACTGCGCTGTCGTGTCACACTTCCGCTCCTAACGGCGCCGTTAGGGGGAAGTGTCTCTGTACATTCTGTAATTGGCAACTAATTGGCCGGCGCGGAAAACAAAATAAATGGCGCAACGGCGAATTAGCGTTTAGCGGGATGATATTAACTGTAAGTATTGCGTGGATGGATACGCAAGAGCAGTTGGAACATGCGTAAAGCCGCTCATTAACATTACATACAGACACGCCTCGTTGGCTGGCTATCGCGCAGCACTAATCTCCGCAAAACACTGTACAGACGCGCGCGCTACAAAAAACCCGCGATCACATTGCCGCAGCTCGGATCGGATTCGGACGCCGCTAGTTGTTGCGTGTTATAGAGATCGACGCTGGCCAAGTTATGGAAAAATATGTGCTTAACGCGCTGATGCGCATCAATTCCCATACATACTTTCACTTTCAGGTACATTCTGCAGCGTGTATGCATTACCGTGTTATTCAACGGAGGAATACTAGTCAAAGATGTGTAGCAGTGGCAGCCGGTCGCATTGTTGTTGGCTTTTAAGTTAGTCAAGCGATGGCCAGAGTAAACAAAACAGATTCTAAGCCGATTACCTGCCAAATCGCTAATCTCCCGGCTGGACCACACTCGTACCTGCGCTATATGGCGGTCATCACCGCATTACACAGCGCAGACAGAGCGCTTCCATTCACAGCGCGCTGCCTCTGTCTGCGCCCTTCTACAGCATATCCGCTGTGCGTCTGTCTGCGCGGTGGCCCAGTGTCACACAGCATACGCTGGCTGACAGCTGACGCCGGCCAATGGAGATGGATGTTACACGGCGATGGGCGTGGGCTGCTTGCTCAGAGTGTGCTAACTGTTGACTGTTAACGGAATGGAGTAGCGTCTTGACTAATGCGGAAAGTGGATGGACAGCCGCGTTGTGCAGTTAAGAAAGTCAAGTAAAGCAGCAGCCGTTTGTTTCTACACTGCTCCGCAATCGGTGCCGCCGTTTCGATTACTCTTGTATCTGCATATTACTAGACAAATAATTAATCGAGGGCCACGACAGACTGCAGAGGCCCCGGTAAAGTGCAGCAGCAGCGGCAACACTCGAAAAATTATCCATTCTCAAGCCGCGCACAGTCGGCTCGCTGTTTTATCTCGGAAGACGGCTGCTTGAGCATTCCAACGTTAACATTAACATTAACGCTGTCCAATGGAGCCCATTCATTCCCGTCATCCGCAGTTGCAATTGTCTGTACCGGCCCGCGGCTAATTAACGCATCGATCATGTCCAACAGGATGGCTACTTTGTCGCACTCAGCGGCCTAATTGTGCCCTTTTACATGGAGCGACAATTAGTTTATTGACGGTTTCTGTAATCATTTATTTTCATTCACCTGTGTCCTTGATTTACCGCTTATTACTGGATTGTAAATGGGTAAGTAAAGCATTGTAGAAATCGACGCATATAAGGATAACTTGTTGCTTCGTTATGTTAAGCATAATTATTTCACGGCATGATCAGCGTGCCGATATATTGCATAAAATAAAGCGCACGGAAGAATTATACACTAATTTGAAATGTGGTTGCAATTAGCGTCTACGACGGCGAAATCATAGATGTACTAATTGCGCATAACTGCTTGCACATTAGCCTAGTGACAAGTGACGCATGCGGGCGTCGTTAACGTTATAACGCTTTTTGATCGCCGCGTTCAAACGTTGGCGCGTCTGTGAGTTAGTTGTGCGGGTGAAACAAATCGCTGGCTAATTCGCCCGATGTGTTTTTGTGTCGAGGCTATTCTTGGCCGGTCTAAATTTACCATCAACTCGCGGCGCAGCAGCGGCGTGCGCCGACGGTGGTGACCTTTGGTTTCTGCGGAAGCCGAAATTAATTGCGAGGGATTTGCGGTGGTGTTATGGTTATCAGTGGAACGACACTGCATTAACATTGGTTGAGGAAGCGGAAGGACGTTAACGTGCGGTAGCGGTGTGTTCGGACTGTGTTGCAGGCAGCGAAGCGTAGAGCGAAGATGGTTGCCTTGTCACAGCCCAACGCTATTTGCCCAACTAGCTGTGCAATTATGCTAATCAAGTATCTCTGCGCGCATGTCCCTGTTCATGTGCAACCGATTTACCGAATATCTTATGCTACGTCCGCATAACACGATGCGCCGTGTGCAGCACAACATGTGCGCCAGCGTTTTGATGCCCATCGTTTTCACAGTACCTGTTCCGATCTGAGTAAACACTGCTGGCAGAAGCAGCAGTTGCCAGCCTGAGAAGGATAAATACTTAGTTGCTGATTTCCTAATGCGCCTTTGATCGCCCGCGCATTGCATTTATGTCGCTGAATGCGGCCGATTTGAGTGTAGCGCCAGTACAAGTACAGTACACCAGTTGCGTCGTAAAGACAACGGCCATCGTCGTTTTCACTCTACGCGCCAATAATCGATTAAGTAATTAGTTAATCACTGTTCTTGCTTTGAAATTGCACATCTCCTTCGCTAGAGTGCAGCGCAGATAAGTAATGGATTTTAATAATTGGTGAATTGTGCTGTAATCGGCATCTTCGCAATGATTAACGGTGCGAAAGGCCGAAAGCCATAACGCCAATGCGCCAATGCGACTGCATGTGTACCGGTTTCCTTGTCGATAGCCGATAGCAGTCAATTAATTAACCAGTAATTAAAGCACTGAGTTATCCTAAGAGATGGGATAAATGGGAACCGGATCGCTGCCGGGAAAACCGTGCAGCGTATCAAATGAACAATGTACCTGATTGTCAGTTATAATAAGTGCAGTAATAACCGTTAACCAGTAGGCACATGATACCGACTGCAGACTAATGCATACAGACGTATATGCGGTAGTATGCGAATGTAGCCGGCCGCGGTGATTTTCGCTTGTACAAAAAATGAGGAGATACCGCACATACAGTAGGTTGACAGTATTAGTGGGGACACAATGGCTAAAAATTACTGTAAGTCAGGCCAACATAAATCGGGATAGCTGCGAAACATGTGTCTCTGCTCTGTTTTAGCGATTTTTGGCCAGCTACATAAACCATGTATGCATACGGAACGAAACTGTGTATCTGTATATGCTGGCAGTCGCTCTTAATTTTCCGGCGAATTGCGCACTGTGTTGAGAAGAAGCCCGAAACTGAGCAGTCGGATGAGGAGACGTGCACGAACGCTCAACGCGACTGGGCAAGTTTCTACGCTTATTCCAGCAACTGAACAACTGCTCGCGCTGATTAATAATTATTATTCACAAAGCCTACAAACATACATGTTTAATGGCTGAGGCATATGAATACTTCTATGTGCTTGTGCCTGCGTAAAGGTAAACAACATAATAAATAAAAATAGCTACCCTAGTAGTACATTCAGGAAAGAAACGGCTGTCGAATCGATCCAAGCGAACTAAATTAAAAGAAGAGCCCATGAAGATCTTCATTGCTAGCCTAATATCTACGAGTAAATCTACATAATTATATGATTATAATAATCACGTAATTTTCTACTCGTACCATTTGTATAATATGCCGATGAATGGCTGACCGGAAGTACTGTTATACACAACATGGTTGCCGGTGTGCCGTGTCGGCCTTTCGGCCCGCGCGCAACAAGTCGATCATTCTGTGTGGATTATTTATCCGGGTATACTTCCTTTGGCATAATTAATACTGGTATAGAATATTATTTACGAATACTATTATTATTATTCACGACTCGGTACGCACTGCGCAGTTACATCCCATCGCCATCGGCCCGCTCTGTCTGTAAATTAAAGCGTATTGCTTTGCATGTATTGTATGTATCGCAGTTGAACTGTTATACATTCAGTGCGTCTCCAGCGGGTCATGATTATTGTTGTATTCAATTTCCAATCGCAATTAATCAATTTATTTTGCTTGTATGTGTATTTGCGGCCTTCGTAGTTAGTTTCCACTCACCATTCGCTTGTTGGCGGCACAATTGCATAATACTTAATATATATACTCGTGCACAGCTGATTATGAGCGCGTCTCTTACTGTATACAGACATGTACAAATACAGTACTAATATAAAATAATGGCATTTATACTTCATAAGAAAACGCGCCAACCTGTATATTACTGGTTTTCAGCCTTTTCAGGCCAGTGCAGGTCTGCAGGACCACGCTACCCTAGGTGTGCGCTTTCCTTGCTGTACAGATAGATATGGCGAGTACATACTATATATGGCGTAATTAGGCGCAATTACGCGCAATCCATTAACCATTGATTACTCAACTGCCATCCAGAGTTTATAGCATTCGCTATATAATTAACGTGTCGCTGACGCTGCAGACGCCAACTGCAACCAGTCCAACTTCGGCGAGGTCAACCAGCTGGGCGGCCTCTTCGTCAACGGGCGCCCGCTGCCCAGCAGCACGCGCCTGCGTATCATCGAGATGGCGCAGTTGGGCGTGCGGCCGTGCGACATCTCGCGGCAGCTGCGCGTCAGCCACGGCTGCGTCAGCAAGATCCTGGCGCGCTTCCACGAGACCGGCAGCATCATGCCCGGCGCCATCGGCGGCTCCAAGCCGCGCGTCACCACGCCCAAGGTCGTGCAGCACATCCGCGACCTCAAGCAGCGCGACCCCGGCATCTTCGCCTGGGAGATCCGCGACCGGCTCATCGCCGACGGGGTCTGCGACAAGTACACGGTGCCCTCCGTCAGCAGCATCAGCCGCATCCTCCGCAACAAGATCGGCAACACCCTCCCGCTCGGCCTGCCGCTGCAGCTCAACGCCGTCACCGCCAGCCAAAGCGCCGACGCCGGTGAGTCTCCGAGACGGTCTTTCTTAACTTCGCGGTGGTGACCTTTCCGTTTTGCAGGGTACGGGACCGCCGCCGCCGCCCGGCCGCGCCCCTCCGACCTCCCGCCCCTCCCCAGCGCCCCCGACGACTCCCTGTACAGCTCCCTGTACGCCTACTCGGCCGCGGCGGCCGCCGTGCAGGCCATGCACTACGGTCCCGTGGCGCCCGCCCGCAGCAGTCACTCGGGCTGGATGGGGGCCTCGCCGGCCTCCCTGATGCAGCAGTACACGCAGTCGACATTCCCCTACCATTCCGCGCCGCCACCGGAAGTGGCCAGCTGCAAGCCCACCTACAGCGCGCCGTCCGCCCCGGGCGGCGGTGGCGGTGGTCAGTTCATGTCCTTGCCGGCGGGCAAAGCTTTCACCGGCTACAACGGCTTCGCGCCGCCCCACGCCCACCCGGGCCACGCCCACTTCCACGCGCACCAACAGGTGCTGCAGGAGGACAACGTCAGTGGGACTGCCAAGACGGCGGGCCTCGACGCCCTCATGTGACCGTCACGTTGATTGCCTTAACTCTGTACACGACCCGGACCGGATGGATTAAGTAGAGGAACTGTATTTTTCTTGCATTGTTCCAGTGCGCATGCGATTGGTTATAATGGTGTAAAAAGCGATAGAGCGGCTCTGATGCCACTGCTGTATTATCCCACATTGATGTATTCCATGCGTCGACTTCACTAATGATTAATAAAATAATACAAGTACAATAATTATCGAGTACAGATACCGAAAACAGCGCAATGTTTTACATTACATGAGGTACGAGTAGGTATCTACTGCACAGGTACATCTGCAGAAGCAAAAGTGACCTCAACAAATTACATTAATTCTGCAGTTGATGGACTATGTTACGAAGTGGTACATTTTTAATATTATGTAACTTTTTATACGAGTACACATCTGATCGTAATACTTATTACCATTTTTATATGCATATAATGTGGTGTACGTACACAGTCAGACTGTCATTATAACTGCCGGGCCGTTAAAAACCGTTAAAAACATCGTATTGCTTTCGCTGTACATTATTAATTTTGAATTTACGATTAGCAATCACAGCAGAGCGTATACGCGCATTAATTTAACTTGCAATACGAAGTAGTGGTACTGTAACATGTGCGCCAGAAATTGATACGGCATCCTGGATCCACCATAATGATTTGCAAATTAACAGGACAATGAAATAGACCATATACTTCCGGTTGTACTTGTAACTGGTAAAATAATAAGAAAATCTTTGCAGTAACCTTCATTAATTTTCATATGGACGTAATTGGCAGCGAAAGCGGACTGGTAATAATTAAGAAAACAAGTTTCACAAGCTTATTGCCGGCGGCGCTGCGATCGCCGCAGAAACAGATACGGCCAAGCACAGTTCAGTTCAGCGGAGCGGTCAGATCTTCCAGCGGATCCAGCGCCGCGGTGCTGCGCGCACTGTTCTGCCGGGACGCGCCGTTGCCGGTTCGTTTGCTGTACAACGGCAGCGTTTCCGGCGCCGCCGCCGCCGGGGGGTTGCTGGTGACGTAGGAGGACGAGCGCCGACGAATGCCGCTGTCCGGACGCCGGCGCAGCTTCAGACACACGTAGAACATGAAACTGAAGGCGAAATAGGAATGCCGCAGGAGATCGCGGAAGGGGTCACAGGCGTAGGTGATCTCGGTGGCCTTGTCGGTGAGGCACAGCGGATACATGCCCAACACCGAGACGAGGGACAAGGCCAGGTCCAGACTGTTGGTCACTAGGTAGAACACCGAGCTGCACAACAGGATAAGGTTGGCCGAGCGGGAGGTGCGGAAGGAGGCGCGGGAGGGGCCTCCGGGGGCCGCGGGGGCCACGGGCGTGGAGGCGGGGCCGTTGGCGGCAAAGTAGCTGCTGGAGCGCGGCAGGTGAACGCCGGTGGGGGTCCGCGGGGCGCCGGCGGCGGGGTGGCCGTTGGAGAAGGCGCAGCTGGTGCTCAGCGTGTAGTGGACGTCGCGCTCGGCGGGGTCCGTGACGGTCAGCTGCAGGTGGAAGGCGGGGACGACGCGCGGGCCGCAGTTGTAGGTGGGCGGGGCGCCGGCGCTGCTGAGCAGGCTGGGACTGTTGGACAGGCCCGGCAGCCGCCCTTGGGCGCCGCTCATGCGGGCGCTGCACTGCCGCAGTTTGAGGAAGATGAGCCGGTTCAAGACGATGATCACCAGCGCCGAGCCGAAGCGGATGATCACCTGTCGAGAAAAGATGCCGGTTATAATTGAACTGAACCGCCAGGGTTGTTGTTCAGTCGGACACGCACCTCGCCCCAGGCGTCGACGATGAGCCAGCGCAGAAAGACCTCGGGCAACGGCTGGAAGCTGCTCTCGTCCGGCAGGGGGTCGCCGGGCGCCGGGAACATGGGCCGGTGCGTCAGCGTCCAGTAGTAGAAGATGGGGATGATCGTGGAGCAGCCGGCGTTGCCGGCGTAGATGACGCCCACCACCAGGAAGCTGGCGGCGCGGCCCAGCGAGCGCTGCGTCTTGTGGCGCAGCGGGGAGGTCAGCGCGTAGTAGCGGTCCACGCAGAACGCCACCAGAATCCTATTCAACAGACACGCACTGTACCCAGAATACATGCTGCCTTGGAATTCTATTCTATTCGTACCGAGGAACGTGCTCCTGGATATATACCTAGCTCGCTGTATATACAGCGAAAACAGCAGAAAGGTCACAACACGCTTTTTCCCATAATTCTTTTATAAGCTGCACATAATAGAATTGACTAGAAGAAAAAGCGTGCGGTGACCTTTGTCTATGGTGTCTTAATTCTGAGTACAGATGAGTTTCGAGTACCCCTGCGAGGAGAAGCTGAGGAGCGCGTCGACGAAGCCGAAGAGGCCGTGCGTGTACAGCGCCAGCCAGGTCTCCCCGATGGTCCGGCTGCTCTCCGCCGGCGTCCACGCGTCCGTGATCAGCAGGAAGATCAGCCGATTCCACCTGGAAATACAGTAAATAACATTATTCCTGATATATCCAGCACGCAATTTGTCCTGGCCGCTATTCATAATTCCTCACTGCTTTATTGATCCCGTTCTTCCCGGTACTGTATCTGTACGTACCATCAAATCAAATTTCCTGCTCGAGGCATTATAATATTTTGATACGGTTAATACTTTATTGAGCGACATACGCTAGACCGGCAGAATAGCAATATTTATATGTGCGCGGTCACTGACAGACGTAATTAATCTTATAAAATCAATGCCGTAATCAATAAAGCATGCAATACCGTACTCGTACTGAAAAAGACACTGCTTCTTGAGCAGCACAATCGACAATTCACTCCATTAATATTTAGTTTTGTACCCGGTTGTTTGCAGTACTATATATACCAGTGTTGTATACTGTACATAGAATAATTGATAAAACTGTTGTTTGTCTCTGTAGTAATTAACCACAGCCATAGCCCTACTCAAGGGGCTTTCACTGTATTGTATACAGTGTGTGTGTACAGTGTGTGTATTGTCTGAAATACAATACAGTCAGAGAACCGCGTTGCCACAGCACTGCATTCCTTAATTTCCTTTACAGATAATACCGTACATAAGAAATACTGTAATATCTATAATAGATATATCTGTATTGTACACTAACTACAACCACACACACATAATATTATTACAATTACAAATGTATATTATAGTTATGTGTAATTATGACTTTTGTACCGCCAGTCTGAGTGTAAATTGCTTCTTACCTAAACAGCATAATGTGTACATAAAATATAGATAAGTTAAAATATATTGCACGAGTATAATATAATTATATCATCTTATTTTTTTTATTTATTATAGCTGTTTATTATTGATGAGCGAATACAAAATAATCTAACAGTCACAAGAAAAACATTACATTTCGAATTTAACAAACAGCGGAAACAGGCGGCCGAATTACAGAAAACATAATTATCATCTTATAGCTGCAGTTGTTATTTACTCAGCCCTCAGGCAAGTTACTGTACCACAAAATTGTAATTATATACCATAATTAGCAATTACTCGATGATTTTATCGAATATTCGAGGTATTTTTGTTTTCGTGGTTTACATATTTATATATGCGGGCCGTTGCGAGGCTAATAAAATTTAATATCGTATTGTACAGTAAAATAGTACGATGCCGCTGCGGCCCGATCATTCCCGGCGTGGCGGCCATGCAGCGACTAACTCGATTACAGAGTACTAACTGCGCAGCACGCGCATATAAACTACTTTTGCTTATTACGACTACTTCTGTGCATATTTATCTGTGTATGCCTTCACGCAAGTATCCAGGTGCAAATACAGAGTATCTTTCACGCAAGAAAAAAACCGCAGCACATGCACATGTAGTGCAAATCCGACTGTTGTGCGGATACAGTAGTTGGAGAAATTGATTAAGGAGCCAATGAAATTAGCTGGCCGGGGCGATGGCGATGCAGCGGGAGAGCTGGCGGTGCTCGGCCTGCGTCAAACGCCGTTTCCGGCATGATTATCTATCTATCTATCTATCGGATATCCTGCCTCTTTACCATACGAGTACGGGAAGGAATCCCGGGAGGGAACCAGAGGCCGTCGCGCTAATTGTTGACGAGGAAGCGGTACAACAAAGATCGTATAATATTATAGTATAAGACAAGACAGCTGATCTATACGCATAGGTGCTTTGTCCACAACAGGGTACGGTCACTGTGTATTAATTTCTGTGTTGGAGTAGCCGGCCAGCTGAACTGCGGCAGTACATGTACAAATGACAATGAACGCCCAATATTTTTGTGTCGGCATCCGCTGGGCGCTGGTGTGGCTCTGTTTACCGGTAAAAATGGCTGCACATACTCGCATAATCGTATACCGTATAGTGCAATTAAACGGGAAGAATAACGTGCAGGTGGACGGTCGTGCGCCACCGAGAACAACTGCCGTCGGCTGCACAATGCACGTATATATTATACAGCATTAGCGCCGGAAATGCCGAGAAGACAAGGAACCACAGCAACAACGCTCCCTCAGCGAGCAGCGCCGAGCCAACAACCGCTTTAACGCAATTAGGCTGTCTCACGCACTTAACTTCCGCCGCTAATAATAATCTACTCCAGGTAATTATTACTCTGTTTATTCCCGGGCAGGCATCGTACGGATCCCTTGTACGGCATCGCTGCTCGACATTTCCGCGGCCAAACAATGCCGGCAGGATCAGGCATCAGACGCGACGCACAAGCACGCTCATTTAGCACGTACAATTAATACGCCTTATTTCACAAATCACAATGCGCAATAATGAGAATTTGTCACGGTCACGATTATATTATAATTATTTTAACTAGAAACAAAATTGAAAAACCTCCGCATATATAGTCATTATCAATGATTTTCGAAGGAGTACTATCGAGGAAATAATTAATCCGGACTACTATCAGCGCTATCTGAGTTGGTTTTGAAATATTCTGCATGGATTTTTCCGCAACAAATTAAAAGTGCAATACGAGTACCATCTTGGTATGAACACCGGCACGACAACCTAACTACGAACCACGTTCTTCGTCACATTCACGCACGTGGCCGGAAGTGAGAGTGCGTTTAACCGTTTGGCTGAGTGCAGCAATAAAACACGTAATTACCCGGCAAGACGACACCACAAAGGCGGGCGGCAGTACCTTTTCTCGATAATTGTACTAATAATTCTACTGTGACTCACAGGTAGCAGAGATCGGAGCCGAAGAGCGCCAGCAGGAAGATCTTGCGGGCGCGCGAGCGGTCCAGCGGGCGACTGCCGCGACGGCGGCCGTGGCGGCGCTCCTTGAGGACCAGCCAGATGCCGAGGGAGTTGCCGAGGGTGCCGACGAGCAGCAGCACCGGGAAGGAGAGCCGCGTCAGCCAGATGGCCGCCTCGTTGGCGGACACGAAGGGCGTGGCCTGCGTGCGTCCGCAGCTGTCGTTCACCGCCGTCCCGCCCAGACTGGCCCACGTCCACTCCTCCGTACTATCGGCAACCGGTGGTAAGTCCGGGCTGGCGCGGCCGCCCAACCGGCTGCCGTTCACGTTAACGCCGCTCATTGTCCACGCAGGATAATCTTATTCAACAATAATTATCGCCAGTCAACAACTCGGCAATTATCGCAGTAAACGCTTGCAGAATGTTGCAGATTCACCACTTCCGGTGCGACTAGATTCTAACGCCGGCATATTCCTGGTTGACCGGTATATGTAAATAGTCAAGCGCACCTTATATGCTCAACGGCGCAACTGTATAGATAGATCTCTTCAACGCCGGCGGAAGTGCATTAAACTCACACAGGAATTGTCTCATCCTCCTTCACAATTCTCCCGTGGTTCCTTTCCTGGATTACATACTGCGTATGCCTGTATATGTACAGCGAAGCGTGACATATGCGTACACAGGCAAAAAAGAGCTATACTTCTAGCCATACAGACAGGCACGCCAACCTTAGCGCGGACGCAGCATGCTAACCCAATTAACAATAAATCCAATCCCGGCTGATGCAATAATACCGCATCGTCTTCAGTTCCGCCAATGAGAAGCAGCAAAAAACATCATCCTTCCTGTTCGGGCCGCACTGCACTTGGCCGACAAATTAAATAACCGTGTGCTCTCATATAGCCGTCTGTACATACATATAGACGGCGTTACCGGCATCGTACCGGCACTGCTAGCGCTGCGTGCAGTAATTTTATTACTGACACGAGTATGGTACACCGTAGCGCACTTGATCCAAATAACCATATAGTTTTATACACATATCCATGACACAGCAGATGCACTTGCGAAGGGCGACATTTTAATGATCCCCCCATCTCATCATTAATCGATCTGGGCAAATCTGCCGCCAGTTTCTTAGAGTTGCCTATTGCTCACGTACGACATATACCCGGCCTAACTTTCTCAGCTTTTACGACATAATCATGCAGCTGTCTATCAATACTCGTATATCAGCTGAGCCGGTGGTGGCATCATGGCAGTGGCGGGTCTTCGCCGAGTACAACAAAACAACACTGCCGGCTTTCTAAACAGTCGTGCCCTTTGCCAGAAATGCTAACGTACAGTATAGTACGCACTACGCAGCTAGTGAAAAATGGAAACGTTGCCGGTAATAAAGATTAACGAGCGGGAGGGTTTTACGGCTTCTTCAGAAGCTGGCCAGAGACAAACGCCGGCTCAACTACAGCTAGAGTAGACGAGCCTATCAAGTACGAGTAAAGTAATTGAGCTCCTGCAACGGAAGCCATAACACAACACAATGCACTAGGCTCTAAATTGTACATACATATCAAGGAAAAGATCCATATTACAACGGAAAACCCCGTACGATCTGGTCAGATCAAACCAAAAATTTAATCGAAAAACTGCTAACGCCATTCGATTCAGCATATTTGGAAACTGTGTCACATGCATTTTGATTTGATAATTATCCGCTCCGGGTCCCGTTCACAGACGCCGGTGCCGGTAGAGCTGAAAGCTCAAGGTGACCCTGAAACTAATTTCAGAGTTCGGTTGCATGGAATGATGGAGCCAAAATCAGTAAATTTAAACTGGCACCTTTTTAGATCAGCAAATTAAAAGGTTTAAACTTTTACTCACTTTTTATTAAAAGGTTTAAACTCACCTTTTAAAAGGTTTAAACAGCCACTCACTAGCCAGTTAGCTCAGAACTATACTCAGTACACAAACCATGCTGCTAGTGGATGGCTTCATTTCAACAAATCGTTGACAATTTAAAGCGCTCAAAAACATAACTTAGAATGATATAAGAACGCTCGTTAAAAGCCATTTAAAAGCAGCTGTAAAAGAAACTGACCATAGTAATCGCCAAACGGGCTGACCTTTCACAATCCGAGCAAAACTAAGGACAGTAATTAAGGCTAATTTTGTATATAATTATATTAATGATCAGAATCAATGCCAAATAGGCTGTTCACGTTGGAAATAACCATATATAGAAAACAAAAATATTAATTACATAAATTACAAAGTATTACCACTGCCACGCACATCGACTCAAAGTACAGTTTAGAAAAATAAAAATTGCATCATAAATACCTATCATTCCTCAGAAAACGGGTATTGATTTGGAGACTACGGTCACAGGGGTTCGCTTCTCTCCAGTGATCAGAGCTCGCTAGGTGAGTGGGTGAACAAACGAGTGGTAACCAACGAGTAACTGAGCTACCACTACTGGAACTGCACATAGTGAGTGACCGAAGAATCAGTATTCGCGGGTGCAGAGGCCGGTAGGCGAGTGGGTGACCAACTTACTGAAAAATAACCATTGCGCCGCTCGCTTGGTGGGTACGTAACGAAACGAGTGGTGGTGAGTAACTGAAGTACCACTACTGTTCACTTCACATAGTGAGTGACCAATTTTCATTACTGTCCAATGCGCAGAGCCGACTGAGAGTGTGAGCAACCAAATTACCGTTATTTTCTTGAGCGCAAATCGTGATAGGTGGTGAACAACTAAAGTAATACCACTGTTTAGTGCATATAGTGATCGCAAATAGTGCACGCAGCAGTACTAAATAAATCCTAATCAAAATCATTCGAGAAACCGACCGCAGACCACAAGAAACGCGGAGGCAAAGCCGAAGCCGTTTCTTGTTATTACATACTATAGATATATGTATATAATACAGTACAGTTTTGTTTATATCGATCAAAAGGCTTTTACCGACCCTGCACTTTTACCAAATGGCATCATTTGCAGGACTGTAAGCACATGTACGGCGCGTTACACGGTGCAAGAAACGAAGGAATCCACAGCGGAGGGCGGTCGCTCGGCGACTGTATGCGTTGCGCTTCTCTGGACTCTGGCATTTCGCCCATCCCGCTTTTGCCAGTCTGCCAGACACTGACCAGTGAGACACGGTCCACCGCCGGTGCTTCAGTGGCATCCATCCAGTTACTGCCCAACAGAACCACGGACTCGACCGATTTCCGCTCAAATATGATTATCCAGCAGATGCTGTATTCCCTGCACGAATACGAAAATTACGCATCTAAAAACTGGTACAGACGAAAGCAGAGCATACTATTACTGGGCGGTGCGCTGCAGCTCGAGTATAGTGCCAAAGTTGTCATGATTTTCTTAGCTGCTCATTGGTGTGCGACTGTACTCTAATAACTCTATAAGAATTTGCACATTTTTCCCGTATGACGCTACTTGTTTCTTGTTTCTGGACCAGGTGAAAATCTCATGCTAGACTGTCACCCTAACCGGAAGCCAGGCTAACTGCTCCGATGCGAAGTAGATTATAGTACTGTTTCCTTTCATTCGGAATATACGTTGTAATTTGTTGTATGCGTCTTAGCGTGTAAATATTTTATATAACTGGGACAAATGGATTCAGCTGTGCAAGTTCTGTAATAATTTTGTACAACAGTAAAAAAGACTGACAAGAAAGATGGAAAAAAGCTTGCAATTGGACGGTTGCACTGCTGAATACATGTAGCACAAATACTGGCTTGTCCAGCCCTCCCGAGCTGGCGGTTACCACTGCCGTGTAAACATGTCTTTGCATGCTTCTGTCAATGGCCATAGGCCAGTTGGCAACTGGCCTGAACCTTATCCGCTGTGCTGAGAAATTCCGAATTTGACTTTCTTCGTCGGCACTACTTTCCGTTTTCGCTTTTCCCTGGCAATTCTGCCTGTTATTCTAAGCAGACGTAATCGCCGTGCGTATTTCTGTTTCTGTAAATTTGTGCTAGTTGCGTTGGGTTGCACGATCAGCGCGAGCAAGCGTGTGACGGCGTTGGTTTGTGTGGTTGCTGGCTGGTGTGGACTGTGGAGGCTGTCAGTTGTGTCGCGTTCCCGTGGAGCCCGAAGTGCAACTGCATTTGCGCCATGCTGATTTACACAGACGCTGTGGCCGTGTGGAACGCCGTGGACGTGCAGCTGGACGACGGCCCGCTGCAGCACGGTTACGTCATCGGCGTGGTGGAGCAGGGCCTGATCGTGGATCTGCAGTGCAGCCGTCAGCGCTCGCAGTTCGTGGAGTACGGGCGCGTTTTCCGCTACACGGAGTACGAGCGCGCGCCCGTGCAGCGCGGGACAGCGAAGGCGCAGGTGCTGCTGCGCCGGCAGTTGAAGGCGGACGCGCCGTGGGTGTGGTACGCGGGCCGCGTCGTCCCCCACGTGGGCCAGTATGCCGACGGTGCGCTCCTCGTGCAAGTGCAGCTGCCGCACGGCACCGTCCAGGAACTCGTCCCGGCGTGGCAGGTGCGCGCGCCGCCCGCGGACGCCGATCTCAGCCAGCGGCGCGTCAAGAAGGATGATTTTGTGGTGCGCTGCTGCCCGCTGCCGGCCGCCTACTGGTCCGCCGGGATGCCGCAGCTGGAGAAGATCTTCAATGAGGAAATGGACGAGTCGTGCAGATTGTTCATCGCTCGGCTCCACCAGACTGTGCTTTATCTGCAGAAGGCCTATTACAGAGACCAACTGGACGCTGAGCAACTGGTAAGTACAGATACAGTACAGTCCGTACAGTACAAGTATTCATTCGATCAGTAATCTGCATGTTTAGATTTACTTCAATTAACTTCTAATTCTCACGGCTACTGCCAGACAGCACTACTGCAGTTATAGCAGGAAGCACTTGTCCTTACGTGTTTCGCAAAATTCGCATTACAAACATTTTTGCAATAGTAATAATAATTGGATTACTACGTACGCTATCGGGTCTGTACAGATGTGGGGCCCGGCTGCAGAATTGCGCTGGGAATTAAATCAAGCAGCACACCACTGCAATATAATGACGACCCAGTGTATGGTGGAATAACTGAAGACTGAAGTTGTCTTGCAGGAAAAGGTATGCCAGATGGCGACAGCGGAAGGCAGCAGCATCGCATCCCATTCCCAGCTGGGACCAGCGCAGCCGGTGTTGGCGGTGACGGTCAGCAGCGGGAGCAAACGGCGCAAGGTGCTGGACAGTAGCGCCGGGTGTCTGGCGCTGCCGGCGGTCGTGCTGCTGGAGATGTTCCGCGCGCTGGACTCCATCGAGCGCGTCCGCTGTCGGCGGGTCTGCGGACTGTGGAACGACCTCCTCACCACGGAGGCCCACTTCCCGGAGGTGCGCGTGTCGGCGGAAGTCGATGATTACGGGGATCAGGAGGCGTTCGATGAGGACAGCATGTACTGGGCGCTGGCCGGCATCCTCAAGGCTCTCAGTCGTCGCACGAAGCTGCTGGTCATCACGCGCCGGTTTCTGGGCAGCGTGGAGGCGCTCTTTCCCGCCATCAAGCTGCAACTGAACGGCGGCCGTCTGCCGCTGCTGGTCTTCTACCAGTGCGATTTCGGCAGCGACCGGCTGAGTTTCCTGGACGTTATCGAGCTGGCGGCGGGCGTGGCCGTCCAGTGTCCGTGCGAGCGACTGCTGTGGAAGGACTGCTACATGTACGATGGATTCCTGCAGGCTGACATTGCGCATCACGAGTTCAGCGTGCAGTCCCGAGACTCGCAACAGACCATGGAGCTGCAGCTGTGGGGGCTCTTCGAGGCCAATCTGGTCGTGGAGCAGCCGGTGGATCTGCCGGCCTTGCAGGCCGTGATCGCTGCCACCCATCCTCCGGCCGGCACGGGCCAATGCCAGCTGAGTAACCGCCGCGTCAACATTCTCTCGCAGGTACAGACAGATTCTGTATAATATATAGTACACACGTGATACACGTACTCACGGATGCGCACTGACGCACTGTATTTGTTCCATGTATTCCAACAGGGTTTGGACGCGGAGGACGGATACCAGGCGGCGGATCCGCGCCCGACCACGGCGCACTACCGCCACTGGAACTGGAGGTCCGACACCATGGCCGAGGTGGACGTGCACCAACTGAACAAGCTGTCGGCCGCCTTTCTGGCCAAAGTGTACCGCGAACCGCAGTCCGATGAGTGGAACGAGTAGTGACGCCAGCCAGATGACGCTGTTGACCTTAGCTGGCACTGTTGCAAGATATAACGCAGCGTCGGCACCGGCGGAGTACAGAATCGGTATGAGCCTGTTGTGCCGCGGAATTCCTCTTTACAGTCTGTAGTGTCTGTGTCGCAGATAAGCGGCTGTTGTTTGTTGTCGATTAGTTAATATTCTGGCGGAGTCGCTGTTCCCTGTGCAGAAAATTGATTCCATTTCCGTCAAATCTCCTTTGCCTCACGCTAATTGTTTCTGTTTTACCGGCGTCAGACTCGTGTCGCAGCCTTACTTTGCCTTTTGTAAGAGGTTACATGTTTCGCTACTTACCGAGGTGTTGCATTCGTACGTGTTGACAACTATTAATTATGTAAACTTGCGTATATTCACTTTGGATAGAAATTGTTGCTGCTCACTTTGAATAAACCCTCTTGCCAAGACGCACACGTCGGCGTGATAAGTCTCCCCGGCCGGAAGTGCAACCTCTTTCCTTTTCAACTTTTACAATGCAAACGTTTACACTGAATTTTATGGACGATTTGAAATACTGCAGAAATGTTACAAATCCGGCGTACCGATACTTGATTATCGTATTAATTTTATTATCCTACAGATAAGTACCTGGCATGAAAATCAATAACACCTCTTACTGACACCGGAAGTACGTTCTTTTCATTTTCAAAAGAACGCACAAGCATTTATCATTACAAACGCTTCACAGTTTTCTTTCAAAATGTTTTTTCTCAAACCGGATTAATGCTTGTAATGTTGTTTGAACCGTGCAAATTGTTACAGATTTTCAAAGTTATTGTTGGGGATTTGTTCCGATAAATGTTCTCTTGCTGTGCTGCAGTGACAGTGTGGCTGTGCAGTCACTTCGAGTGACTACTGTGCGGCCCGCACGGGATGGCGGCTGGCAGTGGCAAGTGGTTTTTAGCAGGCTGGTGGGCCGTACATTTCTTAATTTTCGAAACTGCGTTTCGAAAATTTCGCGTTGTTTTTGTTTTATTTCTCATGTTTCTGTTTTGTTATTGTTTGGCTTTTTGCTGATTGGCAGATTTTAGCGGAGAGTTCCTTACTTTCTTGGGAGAACTGGGTGGTTGTGGATCGTTGTGTTGTGTTTTTGTTAAGAATCCCAAAGTCTGGAGAGGAATGGTAAGTTGTGCATGTTGAAGCTCGCTGACTTTGAGTTGACTGTAGAGCATGAGCATCCATCATTCCCGATCGAACCTGTCATCCAGTTGTACCTGCAGTGGATTTTGTGTTGATTTGCAGGCGGAGAACCTGAAGATCTGTGAAATCGATCCTGATCTGAAGGTAAGCAGGAGCTGTGAAATGTCTAGCAGTAAGGCGGGATCTCGAACTTGGAACGAAGCTAGCTTTGGTGTGTTGCTTAACCGCACGAGGTGGCTGTATGCAGTGGCCGTGCCTACAGCCACGCTACACACAGCCACCTCACGCCGTGGAGTTGCTGGATTGTAACTCGATTCGCTGCGAATCCGAGACCGACCCTTACGAGTAGTTTTATCGTATCTGGATCTTGGCTAATGTACAACTATTAAACAACGCCACCAGACCTGTATACGATAGATACCTGTATATCGTATAGATACTCGTAATGGATTTTTACTACTGTGATTATGAATCGTGGTCATTTCACCGAGAGTTTGATGGTTTTTGTTTGACGGTGGTGATTTGAGTGATTTACTGGTTGACTGGTTGTTTATTTGCAGAAAAAGCTGAAAGATTTTCGGTGAGTGTTGGTTTGGTTGGTATTTGGCCTGTGCGTCTGCATGAGCTGAAATGCAGTTGAAAATGCACCCCGCGGGATGACTAATCACTAATGCATGGGTTGGTTGGATGTTGACAGGTTCCGCAAGGAGAAGAACAACGCGGCGCTGATCAGTAAGTGGTCAAGAGCACAGGATAGGGTAGGGTTGGCCTGGCCTGACCAGACACTATGGGTCCGGCCCCACGCCGAGAAAATAATGAACGCCGTTCAATGCTGATGAATGGAATAATTATGACGGTGCTGCATAATGCTGAATAATTGCCGTAATGAGTGATTATGGTTGTGTTGATGTTGCGCAGTGAAGATCAGTAAGGAGGCGCGACTGATCGAGTGCGAAGAAGAGCTGGCCGACTGCCAGCCGGAAGACGTGCGCGACGCCCTGCCCGAGCGCAATCCCCGGTACGTATCGGTATCTCAGTAGCTGACTCTGTACCGCTCCACGACCAGCATTTCAGCACCTGTGGCTGTAGCCGTCCTATAGCTGTTATTACTTGCAGGGCAGATCTCAGTATTGAGATCTGCCTTGTTACTTGTTAACTTGTCTTTATTCTGTATCCACTATCCAGTAATTTCTGTGCAGGTTCTTCTGCTACAGCTTCCGGCGCGAGCACGCGGACGGCCGCGTCTCCTACCCGCTGTGCTTCGTCTTCAGCTCGCCCCTCGGTGAGTCAGAGATAGACAGACCTGTCACGCGACCCGTCACCCTTCCCGTTCTGTGCTGCATTTCTTCCTTCCTCATGGCTGCTGTATCATTGTGTTTTGCAGACTGCAAGCCGGAGCTGAACATGCTGTACGCCGGCTCCAAGACGGCCCTCATCAACGAGCTCCACCTCACCAAGGTGACATCCGTTAGTCACACCACCTCGCCGTACCTACACAGACTACTCTCCTTCTTGTCTCTTGCAGACCTTCGAGCTGCGCGAAGTGCACGACTTCACCCAGGAGTGGCTGCTCGAGCAGCTCTCCCGCTACTGACCACGACAGAGCAGGCAGTCGGTCGGCAATGACATGACAGTACATCGCACTGCATTGGCCGGTACGATGCCATTCACTACTCCTTCCACAACGCCAGTCACAACAATTCCCCACGCATTTCCCTTTCCCTCTCTCAACACACACCAATAGAAGTAGTGATAGTGATTTGCTTGTTGATTTCTTATGCATGCCGTTTCTGCTCTCTTTCACACACTCCACAACTCCAACACTTTCCATTCCTAGACCTTTTTTTTAATTATTTTGTAATAATGTTATCCAAATTTTATTTATGTTTTTTGTCCCGTCAGTTGAACAGTATTGTCTATCTGTGTTGTATGCATTCAAATTCAGTAAAGGAATTCAGTCTGACTAAGTAACAAATTGCACGCTGAAAGTGAATGGATTATGCTAGTTGCGCCGACACAGCACAGCATATCGATACTAAGTACAGAAGGAAAACAAACGCAAAGGAAAGACCGAGCTATTTATCGGTGAAGGCTCTCATTTCTCAGCAACGCAACGGGTTCAACGCCGCTCCTCCACGGACGCGTTGACAGGGTGGAACAGTGGAAAACGGCGAATGTTTCCCCATATTATCTGACCATGTGCGGGTAGCGCCAGTCCTGCAGCGTCGTCAGGCCCTCCTTGATGCTGCGCGGCGACGTCCAGCGTAACAAATACGCCGGCGAGCCCGCCTTGTCGTTCGTGCCTGCAACATTGCCGCCAATCCATCATTTGAAGGCGAATCAACAAACTCCTCAACGCTGCTTAACGCACCCGAATGCCGCGCGCCGCCGAAGGGCTGCTGGCCGACGACGGCGCCGGTGGACTTGTCGTTGATGTAGAAGTTGCCGGCCGTGTGCAGCAGCCGCTTCTTCCAAATGTCCAACACCTCCCTGCAGCACAGCCACAGTCATCCAGGATTAATTCATTCACTAGACCTTTAACACACTAATAACAGCATTGACTGGCACACGTACTTCTCGCCGGCAAAGATGGCGCCGGTGAGGGCGTAGGGCGTCGTCCTGTCCACCAGCTGCTCCGCCTGGCTCGGCTCGGCGTGCTTGTACACGTACACCGTCAGCACCGGCCCGAAGATCTCCTCCTTCATCAGCCTGTCGCTGGGGTTCTCGCTCACCACGATCGTCGGCTCCACGAAGTAGCCCCGCCTACACAAACACATTCATCCCCTTCAGAGTGTCCACAGAACAAGGCAGCCATTCATTCGCTTACGACTTGTCCGTCTTGCCGCCGGCGATGACGTGCAGCGTCTTGGAGGCGTGCGCGTAGTCCACGTACTCCTTGATGCGATTGTACGACTATACAAAATATTTCTTTTTATTTTTTGAATATTTTAGGCTCTGTATAATTCATTTGAAAATTTAATGAGGCAATTAATTCCATTTAATGACCTTCTCGTCGATGACGGCGGACATGAAGGTGTCGAACTCCAGCGGGGATCCCAGCTTGATCTGGGCGTGCTGCTCCAGCAACTGCTGCTTGAACTCGGGCCAGATGTTGTCGGGGACGTACAAGCGCGAGCAAGCCGAGCACTTTTGGCCGCTGTACTCGAAGGCCGAGCGGATGGTGTTGTTGACGGCGTGCCGGATGTCGGCCGACTCGTGCACCAGGTGGTAGTTCTTCCCGCCCACCTCGCCCACGACGCGCGGGAAGTTCTTGAAGCAGGCCAGGTTCTCGCCCACCTTCCGCCACAACCACTGGAACGTCCTACAGCGGCATCCACAATATTAATTAAAAAAATAATAATAAATCAGAAGATGTAATCTTACGGGACGCTGCCGGTGAAGTTGATGGCGGCGAGGTGCGGCGAGTAGGTGATGGACTGCCCGAAGACCTTGCCCTCGGCCGGGACGAAGTTGATGACGCCGGGCGGGAGGCCGGCCTCGCGCAGCACCTTGTAGACGATGTAGCTGGACAGGGCCGCCGTCTCCGACGGCTTCCACACCACCACGTTGCCCTGTCCACCACATCAGCCGTTTTAACGTTAACACAATCCTCAATGGCAGAGCCACCGGAAACTGACCATTAACGCCGGCGCACACGCCAAATTCCCGCCGATGGCCGTGAAATTAAACGGCGAAATGGCCGCCACAAATCCCTGCGCAATATTTGTATTCAAGTAAACACATTTTAAAATAAATAATACTGGAAAAATGAAATTAAAATAAACGTGATGAAATAAAATAAAGCAGAATTAATTATAATTCAACAGACCTCGAGAGCGCGGTATTCCATGGAGTTTTTGGCGGTCTTGGTGGAGATGGGCTGGTAGCGCGTGACATCCTGCAAGAGTAGCACGTGAGCTGTCTCAGCAAACTGCCATTCAAAGCAGACAAAGCGCTGTTAGGCGTACAAAGGCGAACTGCACGTTGAAGCGGAGGAAATCGGCCAGCTCAGCCGCGGCGTCGATTTCCGCCTGGTACACCGTCTTGCCCTGGAGAAACAACAACAACACTGGTCTATTCAGCGGCGCGTCAACGGTGTTCAACTGTTCATTGTGAAACAGTCAAGCACCTGTCCGAGCATGGTGGCAGCGACGACGTCGGCGCGGTACTTGCCGGCGATCAAGTCGGCCGCCTTGAGGAAGATGCGGGCGCGCTCCTCCAGCGGCGTCGCTTCCCAGCGACTGCGCGCGTCCATCGCCGAGTCGATGGCCGTCTGCATAATGTCCTAAACGGCCAACCAACCTTTTCTTATTACCCTCATCAGGCCATTTTTCATTTTGCCATCCAGATTAATTGGATTAAACTGATTAACTGTACCGGCGAGGCGCAGTAGAACTTGGCCACTTTCGACTTGTGCTCGAACGGCTGCAACATAACAACACACATCCACGTCAATCATATTGACAGTACGAGTACTCGTACCATTATTACTTATTATTTTTAACCACATTTTTATTTTATTTTTTTACTTGTTGTTTGAATTCAGACCAGAAACGAGAAAGTTAAATATTCGATTGAATTTATATGATTACATTCAATAAATACATACTTGACAGGAAAACTGAATAAACTGTCAATATAACATTTGTCAAAGCGAAGCATCGCTAAATAATCCTGAAAAAGATTAGTAAGGACAGGAATTTGGGAGAGATAAGCTTAGCAGAACGTGTAGGAAGGCTAGTGCTGCAGCGGCAGACTGCGTGCAGTGTACACTAGGAATTGACGACATGGACGTACCATGGACTGGAAGCGGAAGAGCGCGTTGCCGCGGACCTCCTTGTCGCCGATGACGATGGGCACGTCGGTGATCTGGCCGCCCAGCCGGCGCAGCGAGGCCTCCACCTTCTTGCGCTCCTCACTGCCGGGCAGGTACTCCAGCAGGGGCTCGTTGACGGCCTGCCAGGCGCTGAGGGAGCCCGGCGGGGATTCCTCACTCTCCACGCTCTGACTGCTCTTCAGCTGCATGTGCAACTGCACACAGCGCTGCGACTGTCTGATGGCCCTGCTCACACCGCGCAACATTAACTAACCCACATCATCACCAGCTTCACTACAGATTGCAATCCCATCGGATTGGTATCGGATTCGGATTCGGGGTGTCAACAAAGCCTCAAAGCTTATCTTCCAAGCGATCAGCTGCGCTAACGTGGCCCACGGCGCTGTAAATTTGACTTGTCACTTGCCTCATGGAATTCCATGATAAACAGTTGGCTGCCACTGACTTTCTCCACCCGCGCGACAGCATTTTCACTTCAGGGATGAACCAACAAAACCCAAGGCAGCATCGATCCTCCCTGCTGATAAGACTCTTATCACCAACGATCAAACAATCAAACTTAAAACAGGCGAAGGCAACTGACAAGCAGTCACAAGTTAAAAAAAGGAAAATCACCGTCGCAGTCGAGCAGAGCAGAAATGTGGCGTAGGATGCCAACCACCCTCACGACGGCGTTTACGTTGACAGCAGTCGGCCTGAACGATTTTGCAATTTGGGATTTTTTGCCTTGCGTCAGCTTTTCAGTTTGAACGGTTTATTTTTCTTTCTGTTTTTCATCTTTCTGGATGGAGAAATTCCTTTTCCATTAAAAGTTAAGATTCCGTAGAAAAGTAGAGACCCAAAGAAGCGTTGTCAACCGTAAGAAGCCGCTGATAATCTTCGCAGCTACCTCATCAGCGTGGCGTGGCGAACCTGCGCGTCACTGCACATTGAGCTGCGCGAGCTGCCTTCCTTGCATTTTCTCTCTGCTGCTGGAGTAGGCCGTTGCACTTATCGGATCCGCCATGGGCAATCGGCTCGTCGTTGAGGCCAGCAGTGGCGCCGTCCCGCTGCCGCCCCCGCCGCTGCCCCCTAGCCCCGTCGCGGCAGGCAGCGCGAAGAACTCGGCGACGGCGTTGAGCAGCGCCAGTCCGCCATCGGGGACCCTTCAGCCTCCCGCGCCGCCCCGCTTCTCCCTCAACAACCCCGGCTCCTTCGAGGATCTGCACAAACGCGCCAAAGGTCGGTCTCGCTCTGGTTGCTGGCCCTTTTGCGTTGGGGCGGTGGGGGTTGCTGGAAGAAGCCTGTCGCCGTTGAATATTTGAGCTCTGTATCATTTTGATTGCAGATGTCTTCCCCAGCAACTTCGAGGGCTTCCGGTTCATGCTGAACAAGCCGCTGAGCAACCACTTCCAGGTGAGCCACACCGTCAACGTCGGCATGATGCAGTCCGGATACCGCTTCGGCGCCACCTACATCGGCCACAAAGTCCTCTCGCCCAGCGAGGTATGCATACCCAGCATTTACAAATTATTTGTTGATTTCCTTACGAGGGAAAATTAAAAAAAAATATTCCCAAATTACTCTGTTAAGTGAAACTTGGGTTGTATCAGGTTTCCTTCGTCAACGGTGATTTTGTAATTATTTTATCGATTTTTTCTTGTGATTGATGATTGATGGATGAATGTGGCAGGCGTACCCTGTGATGCTGGGGGAGATCGAGGCCAACGGCAACCTCAACGCTCAAATCATTCACATGTTCGGCACGCGGCTCCGTTCCAGGCTCATCGCGCAGGTACACTAATTAATCGAGTGTTAATAATTCCAGTCAAGACAATTTTAAATTAATTATTGCTGTAATTAATCGGTACCCGTTCAGTCGGGGGGAATAGTCAGAAGCGAATTGATTATGGATTGATTGATGTTGTCCTCGTTTGGCAGTACGACGAAGGGAAGCTGGCGGGTCTGCAGCTGAGCAACGACTACCGCGCGCGCGACTTCACGGCCTCGCTGACGCTGGGCCAGCTGGACATTGTGCGCGCCTCGGGCATCGTGGTGGGCCAGTACCTGCAGTCGGTGACGAAGGCGCTGGCCCTCGGCGCCGAGCTCATGTACCAGAAGGGCACGCAGATCCCCGGCGGCCACATCTCCATCCTCTCCCTCGGCGCCAAATACACCGGTAGGCAGTTAACGGCTCATCACCTTTACCTCCCATTAGTTGCCATTAAATCTCACAAATTATTATTGATTTATTCGCTGCTTCTCATTTCATCTTCAGTTGCTGCTATTGATTTCCCTGTTTGTTTAATTTATTATCAAATTTATAATTGTAACTTAATTTAAATTATGTATCTTTTAATCTGTAAATTATGGCCGTTGTATGTTTTGTTGTGTGCAGGCAGTGACTTCCAGGTGGGGGCCTCGCTGGGCCTGGCCGGCGTGCATCTGTCGTATCACCAGCGCTGCAGCGAGCAACTGCAGGTCGGCGTCGACTGGGACACCAGTCTGCGCAGCGGCGAGAGCGTGGCCAGCCTCGGCTACGCCGTCGAGATCCCCAAGGCCAACGCCACCTTTCGCGGTAAGATAACTATTCTTCTTTTTCATCTTTTCCCTGTCTGCAGCGATATCCTTGCCGTTGCAGGCTCCGTGGACACCAACGGCTCGGTGGGGGCCATCCTGGAGCGCCGGCTCTTCCCCCTGCCGGCCACCCTGGCGCTCAGTGCCTTGATCAACCACAAGAAGGCCGCCTCGCAGTTCGGCATCGGCCTGATGATCGGCGGATGAGCTCCGACTAATTCTGACTTGTTTTTGTATGTATTTCCGGGCGATGACGACAGTGACGGGCGCCGTTCGAATTTGATTGCTGTTAATTGTTTTACTTACTCGTATCGGACACTACACTGGCTTTCTGTCTGCATTTCCTTACAATAACTGACTAACGGTTGGCAATAAACACCAACAAACGAACAACACGAAAATACACAAATTCCCCCCTTATTAAATCCCTAAAAATCACCATGTAGGATCTAGTTGAAGCCGGGAATGAGGTGGCCCTTCTTGATGGCCTTCTGGCGCTTCTTGGCCTGCTTGGCCTCCTTGCGCTTGTCCAGATTCTTCTGGCGCTTGTCCTGCCGCTCCTTCTGCTCCTTGTGCACGTGCCCCGTGCGCTCCGTCCACTTCCGTTCCGAGCGTTTCTTGCGCTTCTTCTGCTCCTTCAGCGCCTTGCGCAGCTTGTCCGGGTCGTTCTTCAGCTTGACGCCCTGCGCCTTCAGCAGCGCCTCCTGCCAGGCCTTCTTCTGCCGCAGCTCCTTCCCCTTTTCCTCGTCCTCCGCCTGACAACATAAACAAATTAATAAAAATTAAAATCGATAATAATTCAACGCGGACCTCCGCTTGCTGCAGTTTGCGCTGGTCGGCCTCGGCCTTGTTGAGGAGGTGCGTCAGATTCTTGCCCTTGGCCTGCTTGGGGTGCACGGCGTCGGCGTCCGTCTGGAAGAAGTCGAAGCGGCTGAAGATCATGCGGCCCTCCTCGCTGACGATGCTGGAGGAGCGCTGCGAGCTGGGCGTGGCCGTGCCCGGCTGCGAATGCGAGGATCCGTCGGCCGGTTTCTTCTTCTTGTTCTGGCTCTTCTTCTCGCGCGTCTTCTCCTTCTTCTTCAGCTTGCGCAGTTTCCCGCGCAGCACGTGCGCCTCGTGCGACTCCTCGGGGCTCAGCAGGGCCTTGCGCTTCGCTGCAACAATTCACCAATCAAAATTTAATAAAAATTCGGCTCTATATTATCATTTTTATGAAAATATTTTTCGGCTGCGGGGTGTGTACCTTTGAAGGCGAGGAGTTTGTCGTGGAGGCGCTGCTTGAGCTGCAGCCGCGAGGCCTCCGCCGTGCTGATGGTCCCGTTCGCCAGCGATTCCTGAGCGCCGCCCGCCGCCGCGGCTTTCTTGGCCTTTTTGGAGGAATTGTGGTTGGCCGCCTGTTCCGGGCGGGAGCGCGGCGGGCTGAGGGGCCGCTTGAAGGCGTCGGCGCTGGGAGGCTTGGTCTTGGAGGTGGGCACCGGCGCGTGGTACAGGCCCGTCTGCAGATGGCGCAGCAGTTCGCTGGTGGGGCAGTGCTTCAACTGGCTCGCCTCCAAGTCATTGCGCTCTGCAAAAACAGACGCTTTTATTTTGGCAAAAATCTACAATGCACTGACGGCAGGAAACCACTTCGATTAATCGACACGCAAAAAACAATTATTACAGAATTTAAAAAATTTAAATCAATCATAAGACCTAAATTAATTTAAAGCGTAACACGAAGATGAATTAAACATAAAAATACAAACGAAGACAATTTAATTTAAAAATAAATACGAAAACAATTTAAAAAAATTCAACAATAAATACGAAGGCGGAAGGCAACTCTTGAAATAAAAAAATTTTAAGCCGATTATTTAGTAAAAAATTAACTGTAAAAATTAAAAACTGCAAACAGTAAAGTGGCAGAAGTTACGCAAGATTACAGTCGCGTGTTGTTGAATGTCAGTGTCAACTGTAAAAAGCGCGAACTCACCGGAGTAGTTTTGGAAGAGCGGATTGGCTAATGCGGGGGAAAGACTTTCGTCGGCGATGACGAGATCGCGCGGCAGCCGGTTGACCAGCGGCATGAAGGCGGTGAAGGCGCTCCTGCAGCGCTCCATCAGCTGCGTCTGCGCCTGCACGTCGCTCTTGGAAGGGTTCTTGGCGCGGGGACTCGCGCGCTTGCTCAAGGACCCCGCAGGCTCCACTGCGCTCTCCGCCTCCACCACCACCGGCGGCATGTCGCTAACATCTTTTTTCTTGCTATTTGACGCCTTTTTCTTGGCTTTCTTGTGGTTCTGCGCCGACTCCGGCGTTGTTCTGCTCAGCGCCGTCGCGGCTCTCTCTGATTTGGCCATTTTACGATTTTCGGTTAACTCTCAAACCACTGCAGCGTTTTTCACGAAAACCATCCCACGACAACTAGAATTCTCTTCTACAGAATAAATTTTCGAAACCGTTGGTAAAATTTCCAGCACAGCGATTTTTACGAACTCAAAACTTCAACTGAACTTTTCAAATAGAATAAAAACAAAATTATTATAAATTAAAATCGGATGAAATTCAAAAAATGCATCCTGGAAGAAGCCAAGACATGGTGGTGGACGGCAGGGGCCGTGTAGCGAGGCGAACCTCGTTAATCCTTCCGAAACTGAAACTTCGCCACTTGCAGTGCGAGAAGCGTGAATTCCTCAGCATCCCGCTTGATGTTTCTCTAATCGTGAAATTCATTAATTTATGCAAATACAAAATTTCTTAGCTGAAGATTTCTACCATGCAGGATTAAAATGTTAGCAGAATAGTCTGTCGCAGCAAGCAAGAAACCGATGTGGATCCGTATTCCGTAACAGCGTCGCCAGCCGTGCATCGTTGGCGGTGACCGGAATTTGCGTGCCAGACTGCAAGTGCAGTGCGTCTCGAGTTCGATGTGACTGCGCCAGTCAAAGTCACAGAGACAGTTCACTCGCTTGCAGTTGTCGCTGGCAGAGCACGCTGCGCTTCTGTTGATTCAGGTTGTTGTTGTTGTGCAGTTGTTCCGATTTGGGACTCGTTATCGGTTATCAGGGATGTTTGCACGACGAGTGATTTAATTAGGATTATTGCGTTCTACACTGTGCGGAGCAGACTAACGGGGAGCGTGTTGAGTTGTTGGTGGAAAGACTAAAGAGGAAGCAGCGAAATCGAAGCTGATGAAATTTGTGTTGCTGGCTGTGGAAAACCGGATAGAGCAGATTCGAAATTCAGCAGTTGTTGCGTTCTCCTTGTCGTTACGGTACGTTACCTGCTTTGAATTCTTCATTGTGTGTTGGTGGATAAAGCCTTCTTGTCGTTCCTGGATTGCTCATTTCTGAAAGCGCTTTGGTAAGAGTAAAAGGTTCTGCACTGTAAAATAAATGGAGAAATAATGAAATGGATGATTTAATACTTGCAGGCAGTTAATTAATTAATTATGGATTATTAAGGCTTAAGCAGTAATAATAATGTAATATTGGTAAAACCGCAATATAGGGATATGGCCAGTTTTGCAAAAAATGGGCTGATTATCGACGTATCCTACTCAGAATTTTTTTCTGAGTCGAATGGACCGGGACAACGATGGTTCCGAAGTCACGTGACCGAGCTATGGGCTAATTTGCATATGGGCGCCTTACCATAGTAAAGTAAGCAAATACCATACAAAAGACGGTGCATTACTTGTTTTGTTCAGAAAAATTCTGAGTCGAACAGTACCCATCTCAGGTGAATAATAAATCACGTGACCAAATTCTAAATTTTTTTAAATTTCGTCAATTTTCGGGCCTTTTAAACTAGTCATTCTCGTGCTATTTAACCACGGTGACGTACAAAATGGTAAAATGACCCACGAAAGCAGGACACGCTGATGACGTCATCGACTCCGTTCCTCTGAAATGAATCGTCGTGACCTTTGGAGTAAAGGTCATCTGAAGGTCACAAGCTAACATCTATTTTGGCGAATCACATTAAAAATAAAATCTAAGAAGTACAGGATATCGTAAAAACAACGAAATATAAGAATTACAAGAAGCATAAGACAACACAAAAATTATAAGAAATCATAAGAAATATAACGAGGAAACATAAGAAAGAGGTAACCTAAACTGCGAAACAGTGAACGAAACCAAATCAATTCTGGGGTGTCAGTTATTCATGTATCGTTTAGAGAAAGGAGTAGGCGTTGCGTTTGGTTGTTCCTTCTTCTGCCTTCTTCTGCGCATAACATTGCTGTGAGTTGTTACTTTTCCTGTCTCGTTTAAAAAAACGAGTAACATTGCTGTGGGGTGTTGTCACTTCTGTCTCGTTTAAAGAAAGAATTAACACTGCTTTGGGGTGTCACCAGTTCTTTCTCGTTTAAAGAAAGGAATAACATTGCTAATGGGTGTTATTAGTTCTGTCTCGTTTAAAGAAAGGAGTAACATTGCTGTGGGGTGTTACCACTTCTGTCTCGTTTAAAGAAAGGAGTGATACTGCTGTAAGGTGCTACTTCTTCTGTTTTGCTTAAGGAAAGGAGTAACGTTAGTTTGAGGTTCTACTTCCTCTGTTTCGTTAAAAAGAAAGGAGTAACACTGCTGTGGGGTGTTACCACTTCTGTCTCGTTTAAGAAAATTATGCACTGCTGTGAGGTGCTTCTTCTGTTTTTTGCTTAAAGGGAAGGTATAACATTGCTGTGAGTTATTACTTTTCCTGTCTCGTTTAAAAAAGGAGTAACATTACTGAGGGGTGTTACCACTTCTGTCTCGTTTGAAGAAAGGAGTAATACTGCTGTGAGGTGCTACTTCTTCACTTCTTCTGTTTTGCTTAAAGAAAGGAGTAACATTAGTTCGAAGTTCTACTTCCTGTCTCGTTTAAAGAAAGGAGTAACGCTGCTGGTAGCTGTAACCAACCCATATGTCTCTTTTAAAGAAACGAGTCACCTAGCTGTGAAAACACAAATTGTCTGAGAAATTACGCGAAAAAAGGTTGGCTAAATAATAGCATTACCGCTAAGCAACTATTATTTAATTGTAACTGTTTTCAGTATTTCAGTCAAGTGACCTTTGTGACCTAGTTTGACCTTTACGAGTGGAAAAAAATATGAGTCGAACGTGTCATTTATGACGTATATATGACGTCATCAGCAAGAAGGAGTATTAAACTCCTTAAATCCAGAAATGATTGAATAAATTCATAACTTGGTCATGCGATCTCTGATCGACGTGATTCACGTATCATTCGACTCAGAATTTTTTCTGAGTCGAATTTTTTTCATTCGACTCAAACTAGCTATAAAACGTGTGTTTATCACAGGTATTACATAAAAAACTATGACGAAGCACCTAATATGCAAATTGACCCATAGCTCAGTCACGTGACTTCGGATCTGCTCCTGTCCCGGCACATTCGATTCAGAAAAAAATTCTGAGTAAGGAGCATCATCAATCTTGCCATTTGAACCTTTTTTGGCCGTATCCCTATCTTGCGGTATTGCCTTTTAGGTTTTATAGTTTTATTTGTAGTTTAATAACTGTTTAAGTTACCTGCAACTATTCTATTTGTTATTGGTGGGCTTCTTCTTGGAGCTTCGTTATTTGAATTTATTTCTGATATTAAAATCATCAGTTAGGCAGCGAGCGAGTTGTGCATTTTTGTGGCTGGGGATGTTATGGAATGGCGGTGGCGGGAAATGGTTGTGGTAGCATTGTGTCGACCTTGGCATTTACGCGATGCACTCGTACAAATATTTATTACAAAGAGGCCCGCACCGTAATCGCATTGTTGTAGGACATTACAAACGGAAGAGAGTCGAGAGTTCTGGCAGCGTTGGCGCGCAGCTGTGATGTAGACTTTTCACGAGCAAATACTGCAAATTCTTTTTTTGGTAACGACTGTCAAGGTAAATTCCAATTTTAATATCATGCTCGTAGCAAATTAGCCATGTGTGTTTTCTCTGCCCGGTTCGGACGTTCGATCGGCGTCGAGTATTTGTTTTTCTTTGACAAAAAGAACATCTCGCCGTGACACATTTGGAGATTAGCTGTTTTTCGGTACGCTTCACTATCATTTTCTGTCAGAACAATAATTAGGTTTCGAATTTTAAATATTGATTATAATTGTCGTTATGCATGCGCCACGCCGGAATCAATATCCGCTGTGTTTTGATAAGTTCTGAAAAGCTCCTTGAAGGTAAGAAAATTAGATGACTGTTGAATAAAGCGAAAGATGGTTGTTTATGTTGATTAGACATAAATATGGCTGTTTAACTGTCGTTTCTATTTCTAACCGGAAGCAGATAAGACTCTGTTTGCTCGTCAGTTTGAGATTAGTGGATTAGCGCTTAATGTGTAATGCGTGAATCAGCGGCGCGGAATGGGCAGCGGGGGCGGGTCCATCGGTGGAGATTGCAGATTTCGCAGGTGGGGCGGTGCGCGGTTAATTTATGCAATGGCAGGCCTGGCATTAGCTATTTTTACTCTTTACTTTCCTGCAGTGATTTATCGCTCTCGCGTGGTAGCATATTACACTAAATTGTAAGAATACGCTGCTGACTGACTTTCCATTCCATCATAACCGCGACTCATCTCGGACTCGACCGACTGACCGCCACTGCTCAGTTGCACAGCGCCGACTCACTCGGCTGATAATCATAACTGTCTTTTATCGCGTCCACCGCGCGACACAATCAGCCCATTCATATTTGATATTGCCACTGTCCTGATTTGTGTGCCGGTTATTATTGTTATTGCCTTATTGCCTTGATCGATGGGCTACTTGTGATGGTCGTTGCAGGAGTAATGGCGTTTTTTGACGGGGGATGTTGAGCGGGAGAGGTGGCGCGAAGAAGGCGAAGGAGATGGCCCCCTCCGTCGTCAACGCCAATGGGAACGGCTGGAGCCGCGCCGGCTCGGAGGCCTCCTCCTCCACTTCCGGTCGCTCCCTGGCGCGCGGCATCAGCTTCGGCGGCCACGGACATGGACACGGACACGCCCCCCTCACCGTGGCGGCGCCGGCGCCCGCCCCGCCCGACGACGACGAGGTGGAGCGCCGGCTCAACGATATTCTGGTCAGTGCATCCCTTTTCTAACCCTTCTTCTTTAATTATCCTTTTTTTTTTAAAGAAATACGTTTTTTAATGAATTTTTTGTTGAGGAAAAAAATTGCATGTATTTTATTGGAAAATTTGTTGAACGCGTTGCCTGTGATTTGGATGAATTGGTTGTTGATGGTGAGATGAGTTGAGTGTTGAAGTGGCGTTGGGTTTCGTGTTTGAAGCGGACCAACCTTGAGGCTGAGCCGCATTCAGTTGAACGTTAGATGCCCCGGACTCGATAACATGACGCGTTGCGTAATGGCTGCTTCAAACGCCGATCGGATCGGATTTTATCTGGTTTAACTGCATTTTTGCCGCCTTCTTTTATCATTTTTGGAAAATCAGTAACGGTTTTCTTTTTCACATTTCTTCCGTGTTTTGGAAAATGGATTTTCAACGCTCGTTTCTTTGATCAAAAGATTTGTTTCGAAATAATCAGGCAATCAAGGAAAAATTAAAATAGAATAATATTTACAAAAAAATGTTAAAGCATCGCTATTTTGAAAAATTCTATATGCGTTAGTGGTTGAAATTAATTAGTTTGACTCTATCTGTCACATAAAAAAGGAATTAATACTGTATTTTGAAAATTTGTGGAAAAAGACTGTGTAATGGGTGAACTAATATTCCCGATAATTTTGTTTTGTTTCGGTGATTGAGTGAGCTTTTTATTTCTGTGCCAGATTTTGTAATAAAACTGGAAGCAAAACTCAATAAACGACATGGAATGTATAAAAATGATTGCGGAATTAGACCGCACAGATGGCTGTTTTTATAGGAATGTGGAATATTCAGGTTGCATTAAATCTGGTTATCGGTCGCGCATTGCCTGCTGGTTGGTGTAAATAGTGGTTAGTGATGGCGCACTCGTGACTCGGCTACCGGACAGTTATTGCTGTTATTGTCCAGCATTACAGCGTGCATCGTAAACCTTTGTTGGAATGTTTGCACGTCACTCACGATGGAAGAATTCAGCGACATGTTTTGTTAGCATTTATGATCTGAATGGCGCACGTGCAGCGAGAATAGTTTATAGCCCAGTTGTGCTCGATCTAGTTTGTGATATAAATAAATTATTATTAGTAAAAATTATTTTTGTATGTCCGGATGTGAAGAACAATGTGCTGATTGGTTTGTTGTTGCAGAAATTGATGGATCTCCCTCCGGACAAGGCCAAAATCCTGCGCAGTTACGACAGCAAGAAAAAGTGGGAATTGATCTGTGATCAGGTAGGTCTGCATTCTGCAATTGCGATGAAATTATCGTGCTTGTCGGTGAGCGCCTTGCCGGTTGGGCTGATGGGCTGGAAACGGTGCAGTTTTTTCGTTGCTCTAATTGCGTGCCATGCGTCTCTGTATTTGCGTCGGGGGGAAATTGTCGCGATGCGATCTGTCCAGTTTGATTTGATCGCGTCAGAATGGTGGATAATGGCGGCGCGTTTGCTTTCGCGTCGCGGCCCAGTGCGCCGCGCTCTTGTTCGTTGCTCGCTTGGATGGATGGACAGTTTGATACGATGGAGAGTTGAGTTGGACGCTTGGCGGCACAGTTAGCACGGGCGCTGAAGCGCAGCAAAGGCGGCGTTTGATCAGTGTTTGATGCTGCGATCAGTGCGATGCGGGATCACTCTCATCTCGCTCCGAGTTCAAGGTGCTCTCGCTCAACCTGTCGAAAGGCTGTCAGCGCCGCTCTCCTCGCCTTTCCTCTTCCCGATGCACCGCCCTTCCTCGTATCAATTTTAACCAATTCAGCAGCCACTTTTTTATTCGATGAATTTTCTTCTAGAACATTTTCTGGATTTTATTTTGCTTTTTTGAGATTGTTTTCATCGGAATCTAATTTTGTCCGTAGTTCAAAACATGCAGTTAAACTAGACTAATTTTTACAAATTATTGTAAGTCAAAACAAACGAACACGTTTGTAAAATTAATCGTTAATTTTTTTGAAAAATTTTTCTTTGTTTTTTGTCGAGTTATTTAGAATTTTCGCCAGGCTTTCTTTCCTCTTGGCTGCGGTGTTTACGCCGCGTTCCCATGGCCGCCAGTGGGCATTTGGGGTTGTTTGCGGTGTTGTGTTTGGCGATGATGACCGGTTTTTTGTTGTTGATACATCGCCGCGTTGGACTTAATGCAGCTAAGCGGATGTTTGCTGGTCAGCTTGCGCGGAATCGGCTTTCCGCAGATTGCCGGCACAGCACAGCACAGCGCAGCGTGCCTAATTGACGAGCAGTGTGTTGTCGCCGGTGGGAACTGGAAGCGGCGGCAGAAGAGAGTATCGCTGACAAAATAAGCATGCCGGCTGTGTTTTCATTAGCCTGTATCTCGAGCGCGAAATGCCGTGTGATGGCGGAGCAGTGAGCAGCGGCAGCTGTCTCGGCTGCTTGTTTGGCTTATTCATGCGCTGATCTACTTGAGCATCTGACTTTTATCGCCGCATTGCTTTCCGTCGGCGAATCGCGGCGCATCTAACCGATAACAGTAAATCGTTGACGGGTCTTCTCTCGTTAATCACGGCCGACGTGCGACATGTGGGTCAGGCACGAAGAACACGACAGCTAATTGATTAATCGCCGGACAAGCGATACAACACGGCGCTTTGTTTTTTCCCGATGACACCGCCTTGTCGACGATGTAGAAGAAGAATAAAAAAAGCAATTAACATGCAGATAACTGTGTAGGAGCGCGTGCCGCAGCAGGACGCTCCGGCGGTGTATCTCAACAAGCTGCGCCAGCTGATCGACCCCAAATTCCTCTCGGTCCGCGCCAAAGCCTTCACGCTGGGCTCCAAGAGCAAGTCCAAGAGCAGCAGCAACGCTTCCGGTCTGGCCACCTCCACGCACACCCTCCGCAACCTCGAGACCTCCCTGCGCACCAACAGCATCGAGTACGTCTCCCATTTCTCATCCTTTCCGCCAAAATAAATTCTAAATTTTCTAAAAAAAATGGAAAATTAAAAAAATTGTTTAGGTGGGTGCGGGAGTTTCTCAACGACGACAACTGCGGTCTGGACGTCCTGGTCGACTACCTCGCGTACCGGTTGCACCAGATTAAAAAGTAGGTTTCTTAGCACATATTGCAACGAAACACCGCGTTGATCCTTGTTTTTGCAGTGAAAACGGCGGCTCGGTGTCGGGCGGGAGTCTCAACGGGAACGGGCACGCCCCGGACGCGGCGGAGACCCCGGAGCGGCCGGCGCGGCACGGCAGTCTCAGCGGCTTCCACCTGGGCGGGCTGCAGCACAAATCGCTGCGCCTGAGCCGCTCCTCGGCGGCCAAGCGCCTCGGGCAGCCGCAGGACGACGTGCACGTGTGCATTCTGTGTCTGCGCGCCATCATGAACAACAAGGTGGGTTCTCCGACAGTTCTCCGAGGTCCTGACTGACGGAGAGTGTTTATACAGTTCGGATTCAACATGGTGATCTCGCGCGCCGACACCATCAACTACATCGCGCTCAGTCTGGTGCACCGCAGTCTGCGGACTAAAGCGCTGGTGCTGGAGCTCTTGGCGGCCATCTGCTTGGTCAAGGGCGGCCACGAGATGATTCTGGCGGCCTTCGACCACTTCCAGGAGGTCCATCACGAGCGCCACCGCTTCCAGACGCTGATGCGCTACTTCCGCGGCTACGAGGAGTTCAACATCGACTTCATGGTGGCCTGCATGCAGTTCATCAACATCCTCGTCCACTCCGTGGAGTGCATGAACTACCGCGTCTACCTGCAGTACGAGTTCACCATCATCGGGCTCGACGAGTACCTGGAGGTGCGTTCATTGGTGGGATGGGGATATTCAGGTTCAGAAATGAGAAGAAAGTGTTATTTTTCAGAAACTAAAGCACCACGACAGCGAGGAGCTGACCACGCAGATCGCCGCCTACCTCGACAACGTCTTCGACGTCACGGCGCTGATGAAGGACGCCGAGATCGGGCACGCGGCCATCGAGCACGTCGGCGAGCTGCAGGACCAGTTGTCGCATGTATGTCTTCTTGTGTCATTGTAAGTTGGGCTTCTGACATCGCTGTCGCTCCGTGCAGGCGCAGGAACGCGTCAAGAACACGGAGAACGCGGCGCTGGCCAAGATCGCCAGTCTGGAGAGCCGGCTGACGGATGTGGCGCGCGAGCGGGACGATCTGCGCAGCATGCACGAGCGCACCGACCACGAGCTGAACACGCTGCGCCGCACCATGTCGCAGAAGGAGGAGGAGGCGCGCCGCCTGCTCACCGTCAAGAACGGCGAGCTGGAGAACCTCCGCCTCCAAGGTACACCTCCCCGGTTCAAAAATTGTTGAATATTTTAAAAAATCGGTACATTGCAGCGAATGGTGCGGAGCCGCGCGGACTACTTCCGGCGTCATCCGCGCCCGCTCCCCCGCCGCCGCCACCCCCGCCCTTCGGGAAAATGGGCGGCGGCATCCCTCCGGCCCCGCCCGTGGGCATGGCCGTCAAGCGGACCGGCATGGCGCCGCCGCCACCCGCGCCGCCCGTTGCCGGGATGGCCGAAGCCCCGCCCGGAGGTAATTCGCTTCCTTTCTGCTTCTGCGACGGTGTCTAATGGATTTCTTGCAGCGCTGACCATCAAACGCAAAGTGAACACCAAACACAAGCTGCCGGTGCTGAACTGGGTGGTGCTGAAGCCCAACCAGGTCAAAGGGACCATCTTCAGCGAGCTGGACGACGAGAAGATTCTGGCGGTGAGCGTAATGTGATTAACGGTGAATAAAGCGTATTTAATGGGTTGTGATTGCAGTCGCTGGACTTCTCGGCGTTCGAGGAGCAGTTCAAGACGGGCAGCGGCAGCGGGAAGGCGCGGGAGTCGCTCGGGGAGCACCCGGAGGCCGGCGGGATGCTGCTGGCCAACGGGCACGCCGACGGCGTCGACGGCGGTGGTTTGCAGGCGCCGCCGCGCGGCCGCTTCAAGCGCGTGGAGAAGGTGTCGCTGCTGGAGCCCAACCGGCTGCGCAATCTCGGTAGGCAGAGGAAGAAACAGTCGAGGAAGGAAGAACTAAGAGCGGGGTGTGTGTTGCAGCGATCATGCGGCGGAACATCGAGCTGAGCACGGAGGAGGTGGTTATTGCGCTCAACGGGTTCGACATGCGCGCGCTGAGTCAGGACTACATCGAGGTGATGCTGCGCATCTCGCCCAGCGAGGAGGAGATCAAAAAGTATCGGGATTACCAGCGCGAGAAGCCGCCGCAGGAGCAGGAGATGTTGACGGACGAGGACAAGTTCCTGCTGCAGGTGCGCCGTATTTTTTGTCTAATTTTGGCTAGATTAATTTGTAATGGCGGTGTTGATGTTTGTAGTTGAGTTGCCAAGTGGAGCGGCTGGGCCCGAAGCTGCAGATCATGAACTTCATCAACACCTTCCAGTCCAGCGTCAGCAGCTTGACCCCGCAGCTGCAGGCCATCTTCACCGCCTCGCGCGCCGTCCGCAAGTCCGACAAGTTCGGCCGCGTGCTGGAGATCGTGTTGGCCTTCGGCAACTACCTCAACAGCAGCCGGCGCGGCCCGGCCTACGGCTTCCGGCTGCAGAGCCTCGAAGCGGTGCTTTTGCTTATTCCCTTTTGCGTATAGTTTTGTCGGGCTGCAGGTGCGTGTGTTGCAGCTGCTGGATCTCAAGTCGACCGACAAGAAATCCACGTTACTGCACTACATCGTGCAGACAGTGGAGGACAAGTATCCGCAGCTGCTCGACTTTGACGCCGAGCTCATCTTCATCGACAAGGCCGCCGACGGTGAGGCAGTTCAGTGAAAAATCAGAAAAAAATACAGTCAAAATTGGGGACGGTTGCGGAAATTGGATTGAAAACTGCCCAAAATATTCACCGAACTTAATGGAAAAAATGCAGTAAAATGAGTAGAAATTGGGTGTTGAATTATAGTGGCGCTGGAGAACGTGGTGACGGACATTCACGAGCTGGAGAAGGGCATGGAGATGACGCGACGCGAGGCGGAGATCAAGAAGCCGTCGGGGCCGACGCTGCTGGCGCGCTTCCTGGAGGAGCAGGAGGCGCGGCTGGGGCAGCTGCAGAAGGAGAAGAAGATCGCCGAGGACGCCTTCGTCGAGGCCGTGGAGTACTTTGGCGAGTCGCGGCGCACCATCCAGCCCAAGGACTTCTTCAGCAGCGTTCTGCGCTTCGCCAAGGCCTTCCGCGCGGCGCTGGAGGAGAACACGCTCAAACGCTTGAGGATGCTGGAGGCCGCCCACGCCGCCGGTGAGAAGCAGACCTCGCCCAACGGACTCCTCAAGACGCGCGCCAAGAAGACCCAGGTGAACATACATCACACCAAAAAAAGAAAAAATTGTCCCGAAATATTTTTAAATTTTTTTGCCCGTCAAAACAATGGCTGGAATTATTTGCAAAAAATATTCCCTTTAGAAAATGATTGAAAAGTTGTAAAGAATGAATAATTGAATGTGCAGTGTGTTGTTTGGTTAGGATGCGGTGCTGAACGAGCTGAAGAACAAGGCGGGCAGCATCAAGGAGAAGAAGCTGATCCCGCAGGAGGACGTGTACCACGGCGTCCTGGAGGACATTCTCCTGGGTACGCCCACTGTCAAATGATTAATTTTATCGGGAATTAATTAGCCTTACGTGAATATTGCATGATTTATTTGGCGGTAATAATGGGAATAATGTTTTGATTGCAGGACTGAAGAGCGAGCCGTACCGGCGGGCGGACGCGCTGCGCCGCTCGCAGCGCCGCAAGGACGGCGCGGCGCTGTCGCAGGTGATCACGGAGCTGGAGCTGTGAGACGAGAGCGGGAAGGGGGAAAAGGGCGGGACTAGTCAGGCAAAGGCTTCTCGGTGCGGAATGGAATTGCAGATGGATAGGATACTCGCTTCTGGACGAATTAATCTGGCCGTTGATTGTTGCTCACGCGGAATTCAAATCAAAAATGCGGGACCCGTTTTCGGTGGACCATTTTGTTAACGTAACGTAACACACCCTCACTCGTGCCGTTGGATGCTCACTTTTGTACACTCTCACTCGCTAATCTTGTTAATGAGGAGCCGGTTCCGTTTAGTCAGGTAAAGTTGCTGTTTTTTTGTGGACTGATTTTGTGCATGCGAAGAGTTGGTGTTATGTTTTTTCTAAGCGATGTTTCTTACAAATTTAATCTTGATCTCCGTTGAATTTGGATTACGCGGCAGTCTGGGCGAATTGCAGCGGGCGACATACAGATAATTATTTATCGCAATTACATATTATTAATTTTTTGGTCCGTATATTGCTATAATGAAATCATTGAAAAAAGAAAAAACTCTGCAAAAAGGATTTTAATGTGAAAAATCGGAAAAGCATTTGAGACGGCAATTGAAGTTTTCATCGGTTTCTTGTTGACTGCATTCCAAATTTAATGGAAACCGGTATTGAAAAGCAGCCCGCAGATAAGGCCCGCGGCCGGTCGACTCATCTGCGGCTATTCGGCGGATTACATATATTCACAGCGCCAATTTGCTCTGAATTGAATGCCGGTGAAATCACTGAAATGGATGATGCGGCGCATAAACGCGGTGTGCCAAACCGCAGACAACTTGTTCACCGTCGTCTGCTTTTGTTTCGATCGTTCTCGAAAAATTTTTATCCGCTCAGCCGCAATTACGATGCCTCGCGGCGAAACACAGAGCTGCTCGAATTTTTACACTGGCTTCAGCAGAAAATATCCGATAAAGTTCAGTGCGGGCGTTTGCGATTACAGCGTGCTTTAATTTAGGCCAGTTTTGATCGGCGCCGGAAACGCGTTAGTATCGTCGTTGTATAAACTACAGATAGTGGTAGAAATGGTGGGTCACGGGCACGGCGAGAAGATCGAGGCCGGGACGACGTTCGCCCGCGAGACGCTGAACGGGCGCGGCTGCGAGTACAACTACAACGACGAGTACTTCCACGACTTCCTGCAGTTCGCCGCGCAGTGCGGCGGCACCGTCGCCGATCTGGGCTGCGCCTACGGGGCCTCCACGAAGCGCCTGCTGGACGCCGGCGCCACCAAGGTCATCGCCAACGACATCTGCAAGGAGCACCTCGACATCTTCTACGACTCGCTCAACGAGATGGAGAAGAAGCGCGTCCAGTGCATTCCCGGTACAGTAACGGCATAGTTGTTAATCAGCTGAAAGCGTTTAAGTTAACCTTTGATACTTGTACTTTAATAAGGATCGTGATGCGAGTACAAACTATGTACATACCAAAGATAACGGCATTTATAACAGAAAGACTTTCTCTGTGCTATCCTGATCGGGGATCGTACCCATTACACAAATCGCGTTTCCCCGTTGTATTTGCACAGACAATCGCTGCTTAAAAAGCTCTTTCGCGCGCTTGTGGCCAGTGCAAGTCATTAGCCGGCTAATTACTTATAGTTATTAGCCGGCATAAATAAATTAATAATTATTAGCCAATTTTCCTTACTTTACCGGCATTTTAGCAATAAAACCACAAATTTTGTTGAATTATTTTTGGAATTTTCCGGTGTTTTTCTAAGAATAAACTGTTTACCTCAATTTACTTGATTTTGAAAAACTTATGAAAACTTGCTAATGGATTTTTGTTTAACTAACCGGGATTTTTAAGATTAGAAGATATTTTGTAGGAAACATATTTTTCCAGAAATTAAAAATAAATGCTTATATAGAGATAAATGAGTAATTCTTGGTAAATTTTTCCTGATTTACCGGCGTTTCTTGTCTGAATTCTGTGGATGTCATGATCAGGTGACGCGTTGGAGCTGGAGAAGTACATCCCGGCGGGCTCGTTGGCCGGCATCATCGCGGCCAGCTGGCTGAACTTTCTGACGCCGGAGCAGATCAAGGCCGTCTTTGGCGTCTTCTACAATTTACTGCAGCCGGGCGGGAAGCTGTGCATTTTAGCGGCCAGTTGCTACAGCGACCTGATGGAGAGCCAGCACGCGCAGGACGTCGTGGCCAAGCGGAAGGCCGCCGGCGACCAGTGGCCGGGGCTGTGGAACAAGGCCGAGCTGTATAAAGGCCCCTTTGCGCACCACCTGCCCGACTTCATGCACTGCCTGGACCCCGACGTGCTGTCGCGCGAGGCCACCGCCCGCGGCTTCAAAGTCGACAAGGCCGGCCACTTCGACTTCGGGAGTGTCTTCCAGGCGCTGAAGGTGGACGGCCGCGAGTGGACCGGCATCATCGCCACCAAGCCCAAATAAATCAACGCAGGTCGGAGGACAAGGCGAAAACACCAACGTTGACGTCCACTTCCGTTGTGCCTGTATGAATGTATCGCGTCTATATCAAGTCACAATGTCACATCACAATCCCTATCCCACCGACACCGACAGTACACTGGCGCCATGACAATCTTGCCATGCAGTACAGTTACTGTAATAGTGCTCATTAGTCTACAAATTATGTACACGTAGGCATAATGCCTGTACAACAAATTAAATCAGGGAATCTGCTACCTCTGTTGACAAATAGTTCACCTGCTGCGCTGAATTGCGCTGCATATATGATATATCCCTTTGTCAGTCGCTTTCGTCTGCTTTAACAGGAAGTACAATATATAGTTACAGATAGTTAATCATTATACGAGTACAGTATTCTGTATACCTAAACGGCAAACGCGGTTGTCACTGTACGAATTCCGCAGCAAATATAGATATTCAACAAACTTACGAATACTTAAGTACATATACATATTATATGCGTTGCTGCGCCAAGTTGGACATTTACTCCTAATTATAAATATAAAATTTTAGATACGTATATCAGAATAACTGCTAACTGTTTGCGTCGTAAGCTTGTTGGCTTACGACGCAATTGTTCGTCGGGCAGCTTGTAATTTGTTGTCGTTTACTTGGTAGTTTATCCAATCAGCTGGCAAACCACAAGTCGAATCAGTATCATAGGAAGCAGGAAGCATAAGACTTAAGAAGATTACCAGAGATTTGCAGATCTCAGTGAAGACAGGTAATCATTTCCTTAACACTTCGTTGACTAGCAGTTTTGAGCAACGCGGCTGACTTTCTTGGTGGAAGTCACCAGAAGCATCCTATTGGTCATTAAGATCTTCTAACCAGTCATTCTTTTTGTTTTAAAGAGGTTTGACCAATAACATCGAGCATTAAGACAAAAGAAATACACTCGCATCTGCGCCAGATTTACTGGCGATGAAAGAACTTGGGAACATCTTTTAATGAGATGTTCTGCTTATCTGCTAATTGATCGCATGGCTCCGCAGCTATTGTCTTTGCTTGGTCTACGCTGACCCGGATTCAACCTTTTATTGCCCTAGCGGTATGCGCGCGCACCTGATTGTTAGCTGCTCTGGTCGTTTTCCATGTATGCCTATCAGTCGAACAGCGGCATCATTGGGCAGTCTTCCCAAACCTCCCAATGCGCCCGAATTTTTTGTAAGCCATCGGCAACACATACATCGCTCAAAATTTTACAGTAGCGTGCTAATAGTGTTCAGTACATGGCCTGAATTTTTCGACATCTTTCATTTGCGCAATCGAGCGCTGTAACAGCTTGAATGTGAGTGTCCCAAAAAGATGGTGACTTCCACCATCCCAGTTCTGGACTTCCGGCTGCATTGGGTGTGTTGTAAAGAGTACCATTGGAAACTAGACGTTTTTTCACTCACACAGCCCAAAATTTGCTGTAAAATTATTTTTTTGAAATTAGTTAGTGATTTAATAAGGCCGGTTGTGGTGTGAGTAACCATGCTAGTCAACGAAGTGTTAAGGGAATTATAAGTGGCCCGGTACATAACAATTTAACATGGCAGTTGGCACCAAAGTCCTGTGTGTGCACGAACACTCAAATTCGCACACTCCCAGACAGCTTTTTGCTTTGTTTTATGACAAATTCTGTAGCCAGATGATTTCTACACGCAGGCGTGAAAATCGTTTGTGCGCGCAACATCAGCTTAGGGAGTTATGGCTGCAAGAAAATTCCACAAAGTTTAAATGCATTCAGGTGCACCAAAAGTCTCGTTATCAACGGATCTTCTTCAACCTTTGAATGGAAAGGCACATATGCATGGACATGGTTTTTACACTGAACCAAAGGTTCACCATTTTGTCCAAATTGTAAAAAGAAGACATTTAAACTCGTTCGATAATAACTGTACTTGTGTAATTATATTATTATAACCCGGTATGCAAGATATAAATTTTATAATAATTATTATGCTGATAAGTGTGAGTCTGTTACAACTGGCAATGGTGATATCGCACTCTGTATAAAAGCGTTGTATTAAAACGATACAGTAGTTGCTGTCAAATATACTACGTGTTGGGACTCTGATGCGAATTGTATCCAGGTCAAAACTCTCGAGTGCGCAACAATTCACGCACTGATTTGTGAGTCAAGCAGATTCATTGATAACGCCGCGCGCATTGGTCAGATGGAGAATCAGTTGCTGAATTAGAAAACCGAGCTGTTGAGCTCGGTTTTATAATTCGCGCTCACATTCATGAACGCTTGTCAACTCTTTTAAATTATCCTGCGCTGCTAATAAACGTTCGTAGTGATCCAGGCTGCATTAAATTAAACTGTATGTAATAACGCTGTACTTACTGTTCGTCATTAAGTTTAAGGTTTAAGATAATAAGGTTTAATTAATTAACCTAGTAATTAGTAATTGAGCGAAAATTTGATGAACTAACTAGAGTCATTGACGCCTAATTATAATTGGCACATTTAGCAGCTAATTAATTAGCGAATCTGCATCTGATTAGTAATTTCGCACCTGGTTTTTTTAGCGCCTAATTAGCAAATTTATTAAACATGAAAAAAAAAATAATTACATGTCATTAAGCTATGTGAAGTTAGTTTTCTTAATAAGTTTGCGCTTGTTGTGTTGCGTTGTCCATGGTAGTGAATGGCACTGAAGGCAGATTTAATGCAGAATTCACGGTGCTGTCGGATTTGGTGTTTATTTCTACGAGTGTACGAGTGTACGAGTATGCGTTATCAGTGGTGGGGAAATGTTTCAATTTTTTTCTCTTAGTCATAGCGGAAAAATGAGTTACCGATACGTGCGCAGCAGTCGTGCCGCAGATACAAGCGGGCTGCTGATATTTGACAGTCCTAAGTATCTGCCTGACAAGCAACGCTGATATCTTAGAATCGATCACTTCATAATTAATTAATTGACCGTTGACTGTACGCGTACGGTTCATGTATTGTACGTATGGTACGAGCAGTGCTATGAAAAGTACTGCACAAGGTATCTGTACGCATTACTATCAGATTCTATAAAAGTACTGTAGTCTTATGAATGATTTGACGAGATACTTGTAGAATTCGCGCATGCTTCCGACGGCTCGCAATCGCCGGCAACTGGCAAGCGTGTACCGCACAATACAGCCAGTCAGCCGCTGGTTGTAAACTTGCAGGAACGAAGCTGTAGACTTGACTATTCACAATCATATTAATTTTTAGTGGGCTCCCCGTGACGTGATCTTCCAAGTGCGCAGTCTGATGATACTGTAATGACTGTCTGTGTCTGTGACTGATGAACGGAGCGAAATTAGCTGACCACGAAGCAGCTGTGTAACTATTCCGCCATTAGCACGTTGCATGGGAAGCGGACGTTTCTGCAAGACTGGCAACACCAACATTAATTTAATGTAATGTCGATGCCACGGCACAGCGTGCGATTTGGCAGCACATGTCAGTATCGGTACGATGACAGTGGCTTCATCGGACAAGGCAGCTTCGGCAACACTTGCACCGCCAAGATTACGCAGCGCGGTAATTATGTCGGGGCGGACGTTGTGGCTGTGAGGTGCTTCAGTGTCATGGAGCAGGCATTTCTCGACAACCCGGACAACTACGCCAAGCTGCAGGAGAGATTCCACACGATGCTCCAGCTCAAACACAACCACTTGGTGGACTACCATCAAATCACCATCATTCCCAATATTGGAGCGGCGACCATTGAATTCATGATGGACTATTATCCTGGTAAGACCTGAAGACCACCTAGGAATATTAGCGATAATCAAGTGATCGAGTGTTTTTGTTGGGTTACACAAATGATGGTTTAAATTCGGTTTAAGCCAGGTTTAAATTCCCATGCTAGATTTCGATCCTAGCTTTTAATGGGTTACCTGCCTGCCGTTCAATAAACAATAAATAAATAAACAACATTGGTTAAAAGCTAAATCACGCAGTACATTATTTTAGCATATAATAGTGATAACACACTTCATCCAGCCTCCTCCCGATTAAGTAACTGGGATGTTGTATACGACAATACTCTGTGTCGGACCTGGGCCCGACACACCATGCATGGTCTGCTTGTCTGATCTTTGGTTTGGAGAAACTGAAACATGCTATACAAGTCTTTAACCTACTCTACTGACAAATCAAAAATGGATTTTTTTTTTTTGCTTACTTGTATGCTATTCTGTTATTCTGTAGTCTGTAGTGGTACTCGGTAGTTGCAGACGGGATAGAGTCGTAACAACTAAGATACAAGAAGACTTGATAAGATCTCAACGAAACTTTCGATGGAATTCTGGATGGATGTAATAAACTGGATGAGGCTTTGTTGTTCTTCATACGTAGTTACAAGTTACGCATTACTCGTGCCGCTCTACAGATACAATGCTTACTTCGAAGTACAGATAGTGCAGTTTACTGTTTACTGGCGTATATCTAAATAGATATTGTAACAGCAGCCGATCTGGCTGCTGTTCTAGAGTGGGTTGGCGTGTTGACCGTACCACGATGTTGTGTGGGCTCTTGGGATAAAAGATGGCACGGCCGGCAACGATGCTGGCCGAGGACGCTCTTTCTGACGTAACACAATTACTGACCGTAAGGTCCGTAACAACGGAAGTTAACGTTCACGGCATGTTTAATGACAAGAACAATGCCAGACAGGGAGCAAGTTTGGGCAAGAGTTTAACAAGCGGATCCCAGCTATAGCAATCTGAGACAAGAATTGAATTGTAAAAAATGTAAAGAAGGACAGCTAGCCGGTAAAGTAAAGAGAATTCATAGCGTAATGATGAATCATACAATAATTATAACTGGATGGTCTTATTACTCTTATGCCTGTACACTTCTATCGCTGCAATATAAAGGTACTCAAAGTCGACTTACTGTATAATTATAGGCGCAAAGCACATCCGTGCAGATTAATCAAAACTCAACCCGAAATAACCGAAAACGTTCTAGAAAGTAAAAGGATCCGAAACTAGCATTTTCGCGCAAAGCCTGCGAACACTTAGAAGTTAGAATTAATATTTTAATTAACATTTTATTTCTCCTTTCTCCCGTTTTTCATCAAAACAACTTGATTCTTATTTTCCTGGTTAGTTTACATAATTGCTTATTTAACAAAAAATATAACAGTTGTATATTACAGGCCTGCTACTCCAAGTTGGGACACTTTAGAAAATAAATTCTAAAATATTCTTTTTTGTCGTCTAGTGTCGCTTTTCGCACTTTTCTAGTATAACTTTTTGTTGCGCTTTTCTGGCAGTACCAAAATCGGAATCTCATGGCACGCCGGTAGGGACTAGGGAGACAGGGGCAAATTAAGGGGATGGGGTAAGGGTCACTTGTGAACTGCTAATATCGGCAACTCTCGTAAAATCCCCAATCATTATTTTTGTGCGAACCTTTTTTAAATCTTTTCAGTGACCGACAAGGTATCTGGGACGGTTAAACGAAAGAGCCTTACGCGATCAGTCCGCTGGGTGAGCTCGAAGGAAGATCTGTCACCCATAGACTTGTATGTTAAAAGGTACCTAGTAACTACCTACCGAAGAATGTGGTTGCCTAGTGCGCGGATCGCTTTGGGGAAGATGTTACTGCTTAGACAGATGTTAGGAAGGGACCATTAGTAAATCGTAATACCAATTGGAAGTTTTCAATTATCCAGAATATTTAAACTATTATTGATTGAACATGATAATTTTTTTAGTAAGCAGTGCGTGTTTTTTGGAAAAATTGAAGGTGAAACTTTTGCACCCGTTCCCGGCATGGTAGCTTTTTGCATAGAAACATATTTTAGAAAGTTTCTACTGATCATAATCTATCATAAAAAAATTACATTAAAAGTTTTGATATCAACGGCCGTAGATGACAAATTTTTGTTACTGTCCCAACTTGGCGTAGCAGGGCTGTACTTCAGATTGCAGGGAGGCAAAATACGAAACTTACTTTTGGAGCGTCCCTTGTCGTTCGCACGTGACCTTCGTGGCGGACGGTTTTGCCGTTCCCACTTTCTGGTCATTAACTAATGCTGTTGAAGAAAATTGTACAATTGATCTGGTAATGGATTGTAGGTGGGAACTTGCAGACGAAGCTGGAGAGGGTGAAGGACAGCGGAATCCTTCTGGATGTGCGCAGTGCCATCAGCCACGCCCTGGACTTCGCTGACGGACTGGCGTTCCTGCATGAGAAGGGCATAACGCACGGCGATTTGAAGCCGGAAAACGTGCTCGTCGATGTGTCCAGCGCCCAGGACCAGAGCGAGACTAGTCTGCGTATTGCCGACTGGGACAGTCTGGCGACCGTGCAACGCTGCAGTGTCAGTTCGCTGAGCGGCAAACATTCCCGCGGCAGCGAGCGCTACATGTCGCCGGAAATGCTGGCGGCCAGGGGACCGATGGTGACGCGCTTCACGTGGCCGCGGCTGCCCGGCCCCGCCACGGACCTGTGGAGTGCGGGCTGTATCCTGCTGCAGCTGGTGCGCGCTGTAACGGGCGACTACTGCGAAATACTGCGGCATCCGGTCAGCGGACAAGTACGCGGTGCGGATCGAAGCCTCAAGAATATGGCTTTCTCAGCGGCGGTTATGCAGGGCTTCATTCCCGTCGACCCTACTTGCGCGTCGATATATATACCTGCCGAGCTAACTGCCGGCATTCGCCAATGCCTGTGCACCGCCGCTGACCAAAGAATAACCGCAGCGCAGTTGTTGGATCACTTGTCGTCAGCCAGCGGAAACTGTACGTCTTCGACGCGGTAACGTTGTGTTGGCAACTTATCTTGATACAGCAGATATCCATGCCAGATGTGTCGCTGAAAATTGTGCAACGGCTGCATGCGTGCGAGTACGCGTACCAAGCAGGAAATAATCCATTTTCAATGTAGATAGCTGTGTTAAGGATTTGGCTGTGAGGATAATAACTCCTCGTGTTGTGAGAAAATCATTAAAATTCTTTTTATAAATTACAGCCCTGCTCAGTCCAGCTGGGGGAGGTTTGTTAAATAAGTCATAAAATAACTGTGTACACTGTTTTGTTTTCTTTCTTTTGCAGTTGCCTACCAAGTGCAACGTTTTACTGCGAATTTATGAGTGTCATAACCGGTACCCCTTGATGTGCCAGTATAATGAACCGAGCACTGGTTAAGGCAAGGGGATAATTATAAGAATCTCTTCAGACTTCGATTAGATAATAATTATTATGTACTCGTACATATATATTTTTATTATATATATATTATACAAAGCTAACTGAGCCGTTTTTTCGGCCAACTTCTCCTCCTACACCCTTCGACAATAATTTTTACACGATAACTCAAAAAATCCCTAAAATCAATTAGTTTGCGGCAACGACTTTCGTTTTTCAATCTTTTTATCCTCCGATTTACGAAACGGCTGTAAAACGAATTTCGCTGATTGGTCGATAACTAGAAAGTAACAGATGATTGGCGGAAATTCGTAAGCTAACTGAGCCGTTTTTTCAGCCAACATCTCCTCCTACAACGTTTCATACTTATGTTTACACGATAGATCGAAAAACGCCTAAAAGCATGTAGTTTGCGTCTTTTGGTTTTCGATCTTTTCGTTCTCCGATTTACGAAACGCGTTCAAAACGAATTTCGCTGATTGGCTTATTTTTAGAAATTAAAATAGGATTGGCGGAAAAACGGAAATTTCGAACGAAAACCGCTGAATAACGACATGCCGTACAATAATACGTTTGGTCAGGAGCACTTATCGCATTACCGTGCTGATGAATCGAAATGTACAGAAACTAGAAAGCTATCAAGTATTATACTCTTATTATTTTGTGTTATTGTCATTATTATTATTATGTACAAAGCTAACTTCGCGGTTACTTTCTCCCGTTTCTCCTTCGCCGTTCGGCTCTAAATTTCGTACGACAGCTTGAAAAAACGACTAAAAACCTGTATTTTGTCCCATCAACTTTAGTTTTTCGATCTTCTCGTCCTTCGAATTACGAAACATGACTAAAACAAAATTCGCTGATTGGTTTATCATAAAGTAATTACTGGATTGGCGGAAATGTATATATTGTCGAACGAAAACTGCTGACACAGCATAGCATATAACTAAATAACAGTTCTACTGTATCGATAATTTTAATAACCAATAATTTTAACATAAATATTATTCCTATAACACAAAATAAAGTTCTTCACTCAGTTTTGAAAACAAAAAGGTAATACTCAGAAATAAGGAATAGTAAATACTACCATTAGAAATAAACAAATTATAATAATAATGAATAACAATATTTATAGTAATAAAATTCAGTATTTATAATAATTGGCTCGAAAACCGGTTATTCAGTTAACACGCGTGATCATCAAATAAAAACAAACCATGCCCACTTAATAACATTTTAGTAAGCGGACGCATTTAGTCATTGTTACAGACGGAAATTTCCGCATTCTGATGGTTTTTTAAAATAAAATCATTTCGGTAAGAAAAAATTTAGCAAACGGACACAGCAACACAGAATTTTGGCCGGTTAAACAGAGTTTTAGGTATTTTCGCCGGTCACGCAGAGGGGGAGGGATTTCCGCCAGTCGGGCAAAAGGGCAGGGATTTTTGCCGGTTAGACAAAGGGGAAGCGAATTTCGCTGGTTAAAACTCGCACAATTTCACGTTCGATTTACATCGGCTTTTCCTGTGCGCCGGCCGGGCAGCACCAATCACGATCTCGCAATACGCCCATTTCCGGCTGTATTACAAGACATCAAGCCACTTGCGCCAAATTTTAAATTCAAATTCGAATTTCTATTTTGCAATATCTTCGCTATTTGAATTTTCATGTTGGACTTGGCTGATCATTACGATTCTAACTTTTATTAGATTCCAATAAAAATTTAAAAATGCTTGGGTCGACCCGATTTGATTTCAACGCATTCTGATCATTGACACCATCGGTAAACTACAATTCCAATGCTGCAGCACGTTCAATGCAATGACAAGCGATTTAGCAGCCCCAGCAGTTTCGAAGTGTGTTCAGGTTCTTTCTTTTGATAGCAGCTATGATGTCGTGCTATCTGGAGACTGGAGTCGACTCCCAGATCTGCAAGAAAGGTTTCGAGGTCTGCTGATAACTGAAGGCAGTCCAGGATAATGTGGGGAAAATTGAGGTAACAACAAGGTATCGACACAGCAGTCTAGCCCAGGTTAATCCTCGAACCCAGCAGAAGCTGGGATTAGAAAATAGAAAGGGGTCGACTTCAACGCTATGGCAGTCGACAATATGATGTCTTTTCAAAAAAGTGAGATACTCTCGTGAAAATCTGGAGCCAACTAGAGAGCATAATCGTAACGAAGGATTCCACTGTGCTGTTAGGGCGAAGTAACCGTGATAAACGCGAAAATCGTCATCCAGTTATTATGCCACATGAGCCAGATCACAATCATTACATTATGTAGTGGTTCCGAGGTCGACCTCGCGAGTAGTTGAAAATTTCCAAACGTAAAATGACTGAAATCTTAAAACTAACCAGAGGAAATGTAAGTATGCGAAACAGCGAAACTTAATCAAAAACTGAGCAACGTAGAAAAACCGAACGATGAAATGCTGTTGCAACAAGCGATTTAGCGCATTCAGTGACAAAATCTGTTCGGAGAGACGAATGCTGCTCGGAACAAGTGTTTTTTTACAGTCACCCTCTTTCGGGACTTCCCTTCCAGTTTTCAAAGAAAATTTATCCCAACGCTTCTATAGGAATCAATTTGTGTAGGATAACAAAAACTAACATCGTACGTCGACAGAATACGAAAACAAAATCCTGTTCTTCCGTAAATGCAAGAAACAGGATTACGGTGCGATTCTACACGGTTCCCTTTTTTGTTTTCTAACGTCACAACGCCAACGTTTTCAAGGAATTCTCTTACGCTGTTTTGTAGCCAATAAAATTCCCTTGGAATACATAGGTAGTTAAAGAAGGTAGGATAAAAACTGAACTTTCTGTGAATTTTTTAAGCATTTATTGCGCCTGCGCGGCAGTAGAAATTGTGCGAGTGTTAAACAGAGGGTAGTAGTTCATTATATTACAGTAGAGTTTGATAAACAATAGTTCAATAATCATTATTATCCTTTAAAATAATTAAACAATAATAAAAATTCAATCCTACATTCTCCCAACCGAGGCCGTAGGCCGAGGGTGGGCTTGTATATACAAGTGCAAGAGGAGCAGAAGCTGTGGTCACAGGCCGCCATGCCGCTGTTACAATTGTGATTGGTGAGTAGCCAGGAGCCTAGGACTCTGCTATACTGTGATGTACATAATACATATTTTGCACCGAGCGCGAAGCGCGAGGTGCTGCAATAAGTCTTCGTCAAGAGCATAAAATTTGTCTGAAGCCACGAAGAGCGACGTCACGCTTTTCCATTTCCACAATCCCAATACCATTTTTCAGTGGTGTTGGCGCTCGCGCTCGTGCAATAATGTGGTTCGCAACCACCGCTAGTATTGCTTATGCAGGCGAATTTTAACTCATTGATTTCGTACTTCCTTCCCATAGAGATCGCTGTTCAGCACGGCGCTGCTGTACAGATACAACCTTCTCACACCCATGGCGACAACGTACCTTGCAGGCCACAGGATGGGGACTCTTACAGCAGTCTCCCTTTTGTTGTTCTTCGATCAGGAAAATACCTGCATAGTGCATACGTACACTGGTCGGAAGTACGATACTTACGATTAAAATAATAGGACCGCTTTACTACGGTACGAGTATGTACTACTGCCATATCACACTCTTGGAATTGTTTAATCCGCGCTCAGAGGAATCATTCAGTTTTATGGGGAACGAACGCAAGGTTAACCTACGCAGCTGCGATTTCCGCTTGCAAAGATCAAGAAAAAGCGGGCATGACGGAAGCACATATTATATTATTGCACATCTCCGCGTAATGCTTAATTGTATTAAACCGCATAAGGGCCAGAAAACTTGAAGAAAACTGAGAATTACATAAGAAAGAATAACCTAAGAAACCTAAGAAACCCAAGAAACCTAAGAAAACCTGAAACCTGAGAAGACCTAACATGACCGAAATGTCCACTTGCCCAAATGAATGTTGGCCGAAATGATTCTGTAACGGTTGCAAGCAATGCCAGTATATATACTTGATACTTCTATGCACGCAGTACACAGCCAAACGACATTACGGGACTGCAGCAAGTCGCCATCAATAAAGCTTCGTGTCCTGTGCAATAAGCTGTTCTGTCTTGTATGACAAGTCCATCTGGTACTGCCGTACTGGTATTCGCGGTGGCCGGATGACCCAGGTGAATCGTGCTCCCGTTTTCTACAATACTGCAAATCGCGAATCCGATTCGGTGATCAGTGCTGTTAACGTTTAAGAATGCCTTGAGAATCACAGTACACATGTTTAGTTTATGAATACAACGTTGTTAACGTGTGTTTTGCGCTCACAATTGACACTATGTTCGGTGATGACCATGATTAGAATCTGGTTGGACGGTACATATTTTGCCCGATAGCGTTTGAAACAATGGGCCCGTGGGGACCTTCTGCCATAGCCATCGTTAAAGAATTGGGTAAGCGCTTACAGCAATACACTGGTGAACCTCGCTCTCACGAATATTTGCGTCAGCGGCTGTCGCTGGAAATTCAACGCGGAAATGCAGCTTCTGTTCTTGGCACGATGGAAGGAGCGAATAAATTCAATGAAATATTGTTTTTGTGATAATTACTGCCCATGTTATAACTGTTCCATTCCCATTGCTGTAAAGTGCGTGTTGGTAAAATCCAATAAAAAGCGATATACCAGGAAAAAAATGGTTGGAATGGTTTCTCGTCGTTCATAGAATGTTTCTGCCACGCAGGTGTGTGGTCAGTCCAAAAAGAAACAATCAAGCAAGCCTCGTTTTCTCCTGTTGTGTGCGAACAGTGCTGTATTTTAATTGCACAGCATGGGATTGGCCCGAACATACAGTAGTACGTTACTTACAAAATGATTACGACTTCCAGTACACAACACAAAGGTACGTGACGTACTGTGAGGAGAATAACTTCCTATTAACAGTTATATTACAAAAAGCTAAACACAACACGGCTTAGAACTACCGGCTACATAATTATAGCAGCAAGTAAAAGTGCAGTATCGGTACTGCTGCTGTGCCATACTTATACAGTACTGAGTGAGTACTAGCCTACAGTAGGCGGTTGGCCACGTGAAGTAAACATGTTGACGCAAACGTTAGTCGTAGGTAACTAGGCCGTGTGAAACGTATTTGCTGTGACAATCTGCAGCACCTGGTTAGCCGAGATGCGCTGATGCGGGTCAAAAGTTAGGCACTGATGGAGCAGTTGTTGGATAGGGAGCGGAAGGGAATCCGGTACAACGAGGAGGTATCCCTCTGCCACTAACAGGGCGCAACCGCGATCACCCGGCCTCCATATTCTCCGGCTCCGTCGAGCGGAAGTCGCCCTTTTCGTTGGTCAGCAGCTCCACGTGCTGCGGAGCATAAAAAAGCACCGCCAGTCGGAGGACAATGCAGGCAAAACTGAAAATATCCGTCATCTGGTCCGGCTTGCGCAGCACCAGTTCGTCGTCGCCCGGCCGCACGTCCATGGCGTGGCGCAGCAGCTCGGGACTGGCCCACCGGCGAGTTCCTTCTCGGCGCCCGACGTCCGCCACCGCGGCCGGAGGATCCCCCAGGAACAGGCTGTCATCCAGATCGCCGATGACCAGCACCTCCTGGCTTCCCGCTTGAATTGCCCCCTGGACCTGGATGAACACGTTGGCAGGCTTCAAGTCGCAGTGAACGAAATGGTTCTCGTGCAGGAAGAGCAGGCCAGTGGCCAGTTGCCGGACGTATCCGTATAGACGCTCCGTATCCCCGCTCGTCCCGCTCTTCTGCAGGTCACGCATTTTACACGCAGGTCTCCTCCTAGCAAACGAGCAGCATCGTTTCACCACACCGGCATTTACGCTCCATCGCGTTCAGTACGCGTGCAATATACTACATTATAGTTATTATTATGTACAGTACGTGATTCTTCGCACAGCCAGCGCCTTCGTACACCTACCGCTGCAAAAGGGCATGGCGAACTCCACGGAAAGAGCATCCGGCCCTTCAGCTTGGGCGGTGATCTTCCAGTAGCGGACGATGTTGGTGTGCTGCAGTTGCAGCAGCGCGGTGTAGCGCTGAGCGTTGGCCGCCGGTAGGCCCTGATTGGCATTCCGCGTGCGAATCCTGGTCTTCTTCACCACCATCCCATCGGCCACCGCCGGCCCGTCTCCAGCCAGGTCCGGCACGGTTATCCGGGCTCGGAAGACTGTGCCAAAGCCCCCACGACCGATTTGGTCGGCGCTCGTGTATGCATACACAAACTCGGCTCCCCCATGCCACACGACGTCCATGTCCAGGCAAATTAATCCAGCCGGGCTCGCGGCGAATCAACCTTCCAGTTCTCAACGAACGGCATTAATCCTCAAAGAATCTCCGTGTGTACGCAGCGGACGGATTATAATATTATTTTGCGTCGTTTAACCGATCCTGCACTAATATTATTAGTGCTGGTGGACAGCTCACTGATCGCCGAGCGCAGATCTGCCGTGAAGTAGCGCGCCCGCGACGGCGAGACGGCGAACAATACAAAGGCGGATGGATTGCGCAGTCGGCTCAGCAGTCCGCTGTCGCGTTCCGGGGTCATCGCTGGTGCGTACTACCGAGTACGCTCCAGTTGGAGTACAAGACCACGCCCCATGGTATATGCATGCGGCGCAGTGATGCCGGATACAGTCATTAGCGTGCCGGCACTGGCAGACGGCAGTGCTATCAACGCACACTATTCATCGTTTCGCTGCACTCTACCGTCGTACAGATACTGCAGTTGTTCAGTGGCTGTGCTGCAACTTCGCGGGCTACTCTGTACTTCGTCTTCAGCCAATGGTGTGTTAAATTCCGCGGTCAACGGCTGTGTCGTTGCGGCTTTATCTGTACACACGGCAGCGCTGGTCTTACTTGGATGCCTGACTAGTGACTTTAGTTGTGCAGTTACAATAATTAATAACTATTGTAACTGCAAAATTGACAGTCAAAAACTGCAAAATTGACAGTCACTAGTCACTACAGATGACCCTTTGTACGTGTACAAATGCAGCATGCAAACGCCAGCAACGCGACACTGCAATGTGGCAATGTAGCGTAACTAGCGTACCCAGTGAAAACGTTACGTTACGTTGCTAGTCAAGTATGTCGGTGCGATAGTAGAGATAAAGGAAAGCTACATTGTTATACAACTAAATAGTTGCAACAGGTTGCACTATAACACCTGAAATGAAGCTAAGTGCAGCACGTTGCTAGCACCATTTAGGACACCTAGCTTTTTACGTACAATAACCTTATATCCAGTTCACCTACTCCGTGTCCACTAGCTATAGTGAGGACTTGTACATGTTTCATAACCAAACTGATTGTTTACGGAAATTAAAGCGGAGAAAGCAGCGACCAGCTAGCTTGTAGTCTTTGAGTGCCGCGAACTCGGTTGGCCGGCTCGCGATCGTCTGCCGATGAGCAACAACTCGGCTTGACGCCAGCAGTGTTAGTGGCTCGTCAGACGAGCCGAAGCTCGGCTTTGACGAATGGACCGGGAATGGGATCGAACGAAGGAGTCTGCGAAGTTCAGGGCTGGAGTAAAATATCGGTAATGTCGGTGCCAGCTAAGTTTTTCCGTTCGATGCAGTATGTTGAGTTGGACAGGCATCACGCAGACCCGGGGGTCACGGGTACTCCCCGTCACAAAAAACCTCAATGTCATCAAGGAAAAACACCGGCTAGCTTCGCTCGCCCACATAAAGAAACCATAAAAATTCCCCTCCCTCTTCCTGACCGCTCAGAATCCCTTCCTTTAATTTTCCCTCCCCCGTTTCGACCCTGGCCAGGCCGTCGCTGAAGCATCCCCACACTGAATATGGAATGACTACTATCGCCATCGCGTAGAAGTACACGTAATCCAGTCCTGGTTTTGTGGATCATGGGCGAGTGACTCGCATGTAGTGAAGGTTATCATTGGCATGCAGGGAAACGCCAGCGACTTGGTTCCCGGGACGCCAGTTCGCCAGTTTAGTCTACAGGTCAAAGGCGCTTGCTGGATGATTTCATTTGTTAATTGGAGTAAATTTACAGTGTGCTCAGTCAATAGAATTCAACTCTGCAGATTCTGGAAGCCTACCAAACCACAGTGAATGGTATTCGTGGTAGATTCTTCTACAACAACCAGCCCCTTTTCTGGTTTATATATTGCGTCTACTTTCGGTGACCTTATTGATTCCAAGTTGCTTGTGTGTGCTTTCTTCATGTTTTTCCATACATTTTCTCTACTATGTCAGGCACATGAGCCTGTGCGTGGTGCGTACGGCTCAACATAGAGCGTACTTGCACCCACTTACATGCCATATTGCCTCTCTCGTGTACGTATGTGTGACGCTGCACTGCACTCATCCACTGAAGTGGATATACCGCACAGCGCACACACTGAGCGTACTTGCTCTCTCGTTCCTCTTTCGCAGTACTACTCAGCGTTCATACGCTCGCGTTGGGTAGAGTCCAGTCTGCGCATCACACAGCTGATTCACGTCTTGGCCTGCATCACCACGCACGTGTTTGCCGCCAGGATCAATTGACACTTACTCGCCAACGAGACGCATCAAGAACCCTTTTTAGCACACACTTGCTATTTGGCCAGACGTGCCTTTGTTCTTTCTTCCTGCTATTACGCAGCATTGTCAGCCTTTATAGTCTAATAAAGACGCATCGTTAGCTCCTCGCCATAGTCTGTTACATGGTAGCAGACCTATAAGGTTTTCCTTCCTACGGACCCTTTGAGGAGACGGTGGAGGCTTCATTTTCGGAGAACTCGACAGGAGTCCTTTTCAGTCACTGTCAGGAGACTGCTGAAGCAGCCACTGCTTTGACTGTCGATCCAACTGATCGCATCGTCTTACAGCTGTGGTGAAACGGAGATCACTGAAGTGATTTCTGCCCAGCTGGTGAGCACAGTTTTCTTGTCTCTTCCACACTGAAGAGCGCCCGAACGCACGGCTACTTTCTCTCCCAACTGACGGATCAGACTCGAACGAGAGTCTGCAGCGCGAACGGATTACTCCTTTATACGGGGACCATCGGTTTGAACACCGACCCGCAACTTTACTCGCGGATTTCCATCGAGAAACGACGGATATCCGACCTCGGACGGAGTGCAACCGACCATAACCGACACCGACACCGAGACAACTCGCCGATGTGGAAAAGGAACTGGCCGACACACAAACGGCCTTGGTCGCCTCGGAACAAGCCGCGGGACATTTCCACGAAATTCTCAACCGAGCTAACGAAGAAGCTGAAGTGTACCGGAACAAAGTGGACCGGTACATAGTCGAACTACGGCAGGCCGACAACGAGGTCGACCAGCTTCGACTATTAGCCGACCGACTCCAAACCGAGTTGGAAGTGCTAACGAGTTGGAAAAGTATATTTATATGTATACGTAGATGTACAATGTAGACCATTGTATATTATATAGACACATGTAGGTGAGTACATGCTCATCCACTGTGCCGTCTGTGCGTACGAATAAGCGTTGATCAGTTAGCGGAAAAGGATAAAACAGCAAAGGCAGGCAGGCACTGTTTGGCCCAAGTCCAGTTAGAGCTAGGCCTAGGTCTGACGCATGCATGCTGGTGCAGCACATGTGCGCGTCAGCGCGCATGAGTTGTCCGCGTGTGAGTCGCATCATCAGCAATAAACAGCTCCGTCGTTTGCAGAATCCATTCGTGCACGGCTGGATGCGGTCGGAGGAAGCACTCCACATAGCCAGCATGTTCCGGGGTGACGGATGCAAAGGTGAACGTGATGGGGTGCAGCATTCCGGGGCGGTTGTCGGGCGGTTGGCGGTGACGCTCGCCGCGCGGACTGGCATGCGCCAGGCCCTCGCCGGGCAGCAGCGGACCGTAAGGCGGCTCCGTGGGCCCGTGCAGCAGACGCCCTTTGTGGCGCCACAGGACGTGGTTGAGGATGTTGTGCAGGATGGCGTCCGGCAGGGGCAGGCGGAGGTCCAGCGTCAGCGTGACGCTCTGGCCCGGGGCGGCGGTCAGGTGGGTGGCGTTGGGCGGGGCGAAGACGTCGGTGCGGCGCGTGACCAGCGGCAGCAGCATGTACCGCTGCAGGACGCGGCGGTCCGGGGTGTAGGCGGGGCCGGAGGGGGCGGCGGCGCACTGCACGGAGCCCCCCGAGCGCAGGGTGACCTTTAGGACGGTGAGGAAGAGGGTGTCGTGCGAGCGGGTGAACTGGTACTCCTGTCCCGACACGTCGTCCGCCGGCAACGGAACTGCTTGGTCCGCTTCGTAGACGGTGCGGTCCTGGTGCAGCCAGAGCACGTCGCGCCCGTCACTGCCGGCCGGCACGACGCAGCGGAAGGTCACATTCTCCCCGAGCCGGGGCCGGGATACCACGCTGTCCCTCACGGCCTCACTCACTGCCAGCCGCGTCAAAATGATCCGGTCGTCCTGGAGGTGGTGCTTCAGCGCTTCCGACACCATGTCGTTCACTAATCAGGAAAAGAACATAAGTAAATAACAACAACTGTACTGGGCTTCTGTCAGCGGAAGATCGATATACTATATATCGATATCCTCGTATACATATACTCGTATATAGATATAGATATGCATAATTATATCGAATATAATAATTATTATGTCTATAACGCAGTTGCATGTAGGTACGGTACTGTATTAGGATTGTGACTGGCCCACGCGTACCCTTTCCAGCTACTCACAGTCACAGACTCACAATCGGGAGAGTTCACTGGCGATAATGTGGTGGCCCGCGCTGTCGACCGATCAGATGTCGATGGTGGTCTATTCGGACATCCCGCACATAGCTGTGCTTGCCGCAACATCCCGATCCAGCCGGCACAACAGAGCCAAACACTGGCCAACCGCCGTACAGCTGGCGCGTGCATCGTCAACCGCTAGTGCCACTGCTAGCATAGCATCGTTAACGATCAATATTATTAATCTATTAATATTATTAATATTATAATATTATAATAATATAATATTATTATATAATAATATATTATATTATAATATATTAATATATTAATATATTAATATACAAATATATATATATATACATATATATATATATATATATATATATATATATATATATATATATATATATATATATATATATATATATATATATATATATATATATATATATATATATATATATATATATTAATATATATTAATATATTTATATTAATATATATTAATATATTAATACTATATTATTAATATTATTATATTATAATAATATAATATTATTATATTTTATAATATTATTAATATTATTATATTATTAATCTTTACATGCATCCCACCACCCTTTTGGCAATGCAAATGTGCAATTGCTAAACTTACTGTAATTATTCACAGTGCGACAAATTCATCGGTGGATCGTTGCATGCGCAGGAGCTAAGCAACCGCAGCTCACGTTGCTCAACCACTTAGTCTTAGGCAATCAAAACCAGTTAAGGACCGCGATGTGCGGCCTAGCTGTGCGTGTCTTCACTTACCATTAATTTAATGTATAAATACCAAAAAATCATCAAATAACAATTTAAATACTGTATTTCGTACGGGAAAAAAAGTGACACCTGATTCTAAAGTTTGCGAGCTGGGGCAAAATAAATTTTCTAGTGGTTAGGTTCTTCTGAATTTTCTAGCTTAGCAGAACGCGTTCTTTCGAGGTGACCTTTAGCCTGTCTAATCGGATTGCCATTGCCGTACGTATCGTGTTAACACGTACATTGTGCTGCCGTTACTATTAGTAAGCATACCTGACGGAAACAGTGCGGCGGGGCGGGCCGTGGTATGGCTGGAGTTTAAGTTAACCCATGAGTTTGTATTTCACGCTGTATCTTTACGTAGGAACGAAATTATTCACCGGTCAATATATCTGAGGTGTAACAACGGACTGATCACAATTTTAAACCTTTACTTGTACACGTTTTAAGAACACTTAAAGAAACAAGAGCTCATTAAACATTTCCGCTCTCTCAACGGTACCCATAACAGAAGCGGCATGACCCCGTTGTATCTCTAGAGACAGTCGCTGGCGAAGAAATTCGTGTGAGCGGGCTTCTCCTGAACGAGCCCGTAGATGCTTTCTCAATTCTTTTATGATGGCAATGGCCGAAGGTCCCCACGGGCCCATAGTCTCAAAAGCATAAGGTGCGGAAATGTACCGGCCGTTTAAGTAAAAGTATAACCTCGTCTCCTTTTCTTCTGCCTGAGTGGCGGCCGATCCGGCGTGTGCCGAAGTAGCTTGGATATGGGAAGCGCAACTTTTAACGGTATCGACGCATATATGTGACATCCCAAGCCAAACACATCTTCCTCTGCCGCGCGAACGTTGGACATCCGTCTGGATGTACAACTGATCCCAACTGAAGATGCACTTGTACAATTTGGACTGGACTTGTCACCGAGTTCAGTTGATGCGTGACAAACACTCGCACAACTGCCGTGCCGTAATTCGCTGGTCAGCGGCGGTGCACAGGCAGTGCCGAATGCACCCGCTGAGCTCCGGTGGCACGGCTGCGGCATCCGGGACCAGGGGCACGTAGCCCTGCAGGACCGCGGCGGCGACCGCCGCATCCTTGAGGCGGCGCTCGGCGCCCCGTACTGCGCCGCTGACCGGATGCCGCAGCAGTTCGCGGTAGTCTCCCGTCACGCCGCGGACCAACAGCAGCAGGATGCAGCCCGCGCTCCACACGTCCGTGGCGCAGCCGGGCAGCCGCGGCCAGGTGTGCCGGCTCTCCATCGGTCCGCTGGCCGCCAGCATTTCCGGCGACATGCAACGGGCACTGTTGCGGGAATGCTCCCCGCTCAGCGAACTGAGGGTGTTGCGTTGAATGGTCGCCAGACTGTCCCAGTCGGCAATACGCAGCGTCTCGCCTTGAGCGTCGGAGCTATCGACCAGCACGTTTTCCGGTTTCAGGTCGCCGTGGGTTATGCCGTTCTCATGCAGGAAGGCCAGGCCATCAGCCAGGTCCCGGGCGTGGCTGAGAGCGCCTCCACAGGTCAGGAGGATTCCGCTGTCTTCCAGACGTTCAGTTTTGCCTTCACGTTGCCACCTACCATCAGTTACTCCATCATTATTTTTCATTTTGTCAAACATTCCGCGATTTGCGCTGGTAATTGTATGGCATACAACTAAGGATCTATCTATACAAGTTGCTCTAAACCGGCATTAGATGAGATGTTCTGTTTTATTAGGCCGCCTGTTTCTGCTGTCGGTTAAGGCTGTGGAATTAGTACATCCTTATTATGGTAGGATAGAAAAAACAGTTTTGGTAGGATAGAAAAAACAGTTACAATAAAATTATAACGTACAGAATTAAAACATCAGATACAGAATGGAAGCCTGCCAAGTTTGCGCGCAACATTGATCGCACCAAAACGACTACAACCGAAGACTAAGCACAATCAATAAGTTCTTATTTTAATAAATTATTTAATTTTCATTATTTTAATCATATTTTTATTTTATTTTATTTTTTTTTATTTAATAATTGTATAAAGTTTTTAGCATTTTATAAAGTAAGTACCATCACTCCCATTTAAGTGCTCGTCATCGTTATAAAAATGCCATGTATGTGCTCTTCGTGAACTCTGTTTGGGCGGTGCCCTTGAGAGCAGGGGTCACGCGCAAATGAAGTTTCCCCTTGTAATTACATATTAATGTACCCATTAATGTTATGACCTTTCTCCGGCTTTTCATAGCTTCCTAGATTCCCTGTTTTTTTCTATGTTTTCACGAAACGCAGTAACCGCCAGCCAGAGTTGAACAATATGGTAATATAACAAGAATAGTGTGCTGTGCGCATCAGGATTAAATCATCGCCTATCTGTGTATAAATCTACAATTCGTTGTCGGGTGAACTTACTAGGATAATAATCCATCATAAATTCGATTGTCGCAGCCCCGTAAGTTGGAAGGATGGTGATTTGATGATAGTCCACCAGATGGGGGTGTTTTAGCTGGAGCATGACTTCCAAGCGCTCCTGCAGCTTGGCATAGTTGTCCGGGTTTTCCAGAAAGCTCTTTTGTTTTACACTGAAGTTTCGCACGGCAACAACGTCATGACCAACGTAACTGCCTCGCTCCGTAATGCGGGCTGTAAAGACTTCGCCAAAGCTTCCTGACCCAATCAAGTTACTGTCATCGTAGTGATACTGGCATGTGCTGCCCAACTGCTGCCACACAATTTGACGTTGTACGGACATTAGGCCGTACAGACTGACAAAAAAACGGGATACTCAATAAGGCAATCGTTGGCCATGGTTAGCTTAATTGTGTCGGTAGTTCAGTTATCCGTTAAGCACACGATGCCATAATATAATTCCCATTCTCCCGTTCGTCAGCGTTTGCATTAATTAAACTGCGTACTGGTCAACACAACAATCACGAGGTACCCGTTCGATTTCTCCACAGTTTCATTCGTGAAAATGTTTGACTCGCTACAGTATGTACATACTATGCAGCTGTGTAGCAATTACCGGCGTTACCGCAAGCTTGTTGACAAGCCGCCGGCGGCATGCGTGAAATGAATGCGATGGGCTGGCAATCATAATGACGTACAATAATCTCGTATCATCGTGCTGTAGCTGCGCTCTGTACGATACTTGTCGAAAGTACTGTAGTAGTATCAGTGCTCACTGAGTCAACAGATAACGGACTAACCGGTAAGGAGTGCCGTACGGGCAGATTATAAAGTTAAACTACAGCAAAAGAAAAAATAATGATACGAATAGGTCTTATTGGCTGTCATATGAGTTAAGTTGTTAACCATATTCCATAATTGTAGTACTTGATGCACTTTACAAATGCTTATGCTTCTCGTATGTTAGTGTTACGATGATTGTAGTCGCTGTAAATAATTTAAATCACGATAAAACTAACGTAGTGGCTGTTTGCCGCAGTCATAAATTCATAATCATGCACTGAAAGCGCCCTTATAATTGTTGTTTTGTAAAAACGATCTCAAGAGCGCCATTGAATCAAACGGAATCTCACATATGCCACAATTACTGTAATGGAACCAGTCCCGTGTTGCGGGACGGAATTAAGGACACAAATGTGCATTCCGTTTCCTTCACTGCACAGTAGCCAGGACGTTTATAGCTTGCTAGAAGTGACCTTTATGACGGAGTGAAGTGCTTCGCTGTTCGAGGTTGTTCGCCATATCCCGGTGCGTTGGTGAAAGACAAATATGCCTGCCTGCGAAGGAGCTTTTACCAGCTTCGCCACGCGTGAAACAGGACAGGACAGCTTAAGACTGGTTTTTTGAGAGGGACTTCGGCACTTCCCTTAGGCGACGTGTCTGCACCCCGCATAGAACACACACAAATTAAATTTGTGTTTCCCGTCCGAGCTGATTTAAACAGGTTATAGATGTTAAACGAACTACGGACAGCACGATACTACAAGATCTAGAACGAAACTAAATTTCCGGAAGAAGAACTGTCCACGTATTTGCTTGCATTTTTGAAGCTGCATAGGCTGTTTTCAAACTTTTCCTTCTTCTCACGGCGTGTTCTGCAGTGCAGCTACGTAGTATGAAACGTTTGGATCGGGCAGCTTTTATATCGGCATTTGAGTAAGTACTTACTTTTTTAAGGGAAGTTGATGCAGGCAACCAGCAACCTGCAGGCTGCGGCTGCATATGATAGGAAACCGATGAGTGAATCGGCAGACGGCAAACAGCACTTATACATGCACAGCGTAAACTTATCATACATACAGTAGTATTGCACGCAATAGATAGGGATATAAAATCCCGTATTAAACATCAATAATAATTTAATGTCCTTATGAAGAAACAGCCCTTCCAATGCCGTGATAGTCTGTAATATTGTCGCTGATTCTAGTACAGTATATAAATAAAACTTCGTCAATGTATGCAATTGTGTACTCGAACTGATTGCAGCGCAAAAGGAACTAATTGTCAACCATCAGTCCTACTGTTAATGAAGTTTTAACGCCTTAGTTTTGGCAGTACAAAGCCCTGTTATACAGCTCCATTTCATGATGCAACCGGACGTGCCGGCTTGCGCTCAACAATTAAAGATATCAAGTTAGACATCCATTGTTGCGCCGGACCGGTTCGGCTAATCTAATGGACTTCCTGTAGACAACACATTGGGTCGGGTCGGCAGATGTATGGGAGGAAATCCACTTTCCTGCCGGGCCGGGCTCGCCAGCAGTCAACCGGCCAGTAGATCTGCCGGCTACAAGCGCGCACGTACGAGTTGTCCTCGTATTATCAGAAATTAACACAGCTCCGTCGTTTGCAGAATCCCGACCTGCGAAGGCGAAGGTCGGGCGGTGCAGCTTCCCGGGGCGGTTGTCGGGCGGTTGGCGATGATGGTCGGCGTCGGCGGACCGGGCAGGAGCGGAGCGGAGCGTCGGTTGAAACCCGTCACCAGTGCAGTCCGCAGTCCGCACTCGTTACGCGTTTCTAACGATCGCCACAACGAATCCACGATGATCTTGGATGAGCCGGGACGTTGGCAAGTTGAGACAGGCCGGACTGGCCGAAATCATTCAACGCCATTTCAACAAATACCGCTAGTGGGCGGAAAAACAAACTGTGCTGTACATGTTTACGAAATCGGCACATTTACAAAAACAACGTGAGGACCGACGACGAGATGCCCAGGTGGCCGTATTGTCGCTCCGCAGGATCCAGGCCAAGCAACGTATAATTGTCGCAGCGACAATTATACGCAGTCCTTCTGCAGAAAGAACAAAACTGGCATCTGTCGGACTGCCATTTCTACATGTAATGCCACCACTACGCGTTAGAATTTCTTGGGTTATAGTTATACTCGTACATACGCCGTTATACAGACGTTATACATACGCCGGGTTATAGTGTTTGCTGTGCTTCTAGTCAGCGACTCAGCGTGTAGAAAATAAATGTCAGCACTGCCGCGGAAATTAAATGCTGAATCAAACGGGTACGTACGCGATTTCACAAGTGTTATTATCTCAACAATTACTTAGTGCTGACATCGCACTGCATTAATATTCTGCTGCTGTACGTTCACTACGTTGCCGCCTCTAACTGCCTGGGCCCTGTTTTCATTTCCTCGCACGTCGCTGACTGGCAGTGGCGGCACGGTGGTAAGCTTAAGTGGTTTTCTTAGTCACCAGGTCGTCCATGCAGCCGGAGAACTGCGTTGGCCAGTTTTCTCCCAGTCTTGGACAGCTTTTACACTTTTACAGCTGCTTCGTAGGACATAAACAAGCTCCAGTTCCAAGCAGGGTCCATTCCATTTAAGAGGAGTAAATAGCACTTACAAAATTAACAAGTATAACCGAATACCGGGATATGAAGGTAGCCTAACTGTGCCGGCGTGTATCACAAAATTATGCCGTATGTGCACACTACACAATACCGGTGTATTACAAGTATATGCAAGAAATTATTATTTATAATAGGACAATTTCGTAGTAAAATATTTGATCTCAGTTGTTATGGACCTTATGGCATATTCGTGCTGCGGACCCGTCAGTACATGTATTGCTGAGTTAATTCTCTCATCATCAGCAATAAAATGCTGGTTCCCAAATCGATAATTAATTTTCTAATTGGATAACCCTCGAGCGTAGTGAGTTATTTAATGGCAGGAGTTATTTTTAATAGTCTCTCATTTTTGTTGATCTTTTATGCGTTGTGCAGATTATAACTTTATAAGGAGCATGCCCTGTCGGCTAAATGTTCCGCGACGATATCTCGCGCAGCGAGATGACCTTGCGGCAAAATGTCTGCGACCGAATGTCCCGCGACTAATTGTCTGTCCTCGGCGTGATGTCGCGGTGCCGATTTCTTTATATGCCCACCCTGTTAATAAGGGTCTTCCGAGTGCAGATATGCAGACATGCAGTGCGCACTATACGTACTCGCACCCGGCTTCTGGAACGCTGTCATAGCTTGCCACTTCGAAAATCACGGTGTTTGAACTACAGTACCGTGTAGCTCGTTGTAGACGGCAATCTGGAAGCTGATGCCGCTGGAAATTGAAAGCGGGAGCAGCGCAGCGCTGACGAAAGTGACTAGTTTTAGTGTGAACAAACAAACAGGAAGTAAACAACAGCAAAGCACCAATCTGGCGCTTGAATCTGAAGAAATCTTGTCAAGTGGTAATGAGGAAACGCGTACCCACTACTTTGGCTCCCAACAACAGGCCGACGCTTATGCGGTATCACTGATCGTCTAGTCAATTTCCAACAATATTTTTTGAAGGTAGAGCGTTTAACCCCGCGCCGGCATACCTGCAGCTAATGGCGTTAAGGCGCGCTTTACTTCGGTAATCGTTGCCTGTCGCTCTCCAAATTTTCTTTTGTATCGTTTTCCAGACTGCGTGGTCCCAAACACACTGGTGTACACGAGCGGGTTGTGCGTGGTGGTATATCCGTCTGACGTCTGTACAGATATGTGATATTTATGTTGAATATCTAGCAGCGATTCGCTAAGGGATTCCACTGGAGTGTGACTCGTATGCCCTGTCCACGATCCGGCAAAACATGGGAATGCCATGCCGCCGACGTGGCGTGAACAGGGTGTACATATAAGCTGACTGCCGGGCCAGCTGGCGGCGGTGTTGTCCTCAATAAAATGGACGTTTGCAGACAAAATAGATCCCACTGGTTACAAGCAGGTGATCATTGTCCACCGCTGAACGGCGCATCGCACCGGACACTGAGGATCGCTGTACAGTTTGAACCAATCTAAGATGCACCGGAATGACCTTTGTATATATTATGTGCTATATTATTGTGCGCTCAGCTGCGCGCATACTGGTCGACGGAGCAGGAAGTGAAACGACTTCCAAATTCATCGGCATCGGTTGCTGTTGACTAACGGCCACGGGTGTTGTCTTTGATGCTGATGACCTATTGTAACAGTATTTCGACGAATAGTGATCCCATTGCCTTTGACTTTTGTGGGACCATCTATAAAGGAAGCACGAAAAGACTCATGGGAGGAACGCGAGTTTCGACGAGGCCGGCCAGTTTAATTTGGCGAAACAGCTATTCCGCATCGGCATACAGATACAGGCCGACTTCCGACATCGCATTTCTTATACGAGCAATAACGCTTGCCCATATCGTTTTTGTGTGATCCCCATGTTAACGCCCAACTTTCGGCTCGGGTGGCGACTGGCGAGCGATGGCGGCTGCGGTTTCGAGCCGAGTTGTTGATTATCGACAAGCGAGCGCGAGGAGCGAGCGGCACTCAAAGGTCACGAGCAAGCTGATCACTGCTTTCTGTTCTATAATAATTAAGCAATGCGCTTCCCTGTCGAAGGCTGGATATTCTCACCACTGAAAGTGTAAATTTGTGGACAAGTACTGTTTGTACGCACAAAGGTCACTGCTGTATTATTGCGGTTAGCAGCGCGATTTATTTGCAGTTGATGGCTGCATGTTGTACGGTGTACTACGTAGTTGTGGTTTTCCCGTCTAGCTGACAATGAGCGGTATAACGTTAAATAATAAATCTCTACCGGATACGCTTCCGAAAGGTCATATGTTGTTTGTGTTAGCAAATTAATCGCGGGAATAACGCCGGTAGAAACTTAATAATATCTGTACATATCCGGCACAAAAGCCAGCGCTGTCATGTGTGTTACCGTTGACAGTACAATCACCGACCATTGGCGAAAAAACGAAGCAGTCCAGCAAACTGCAGCGCAGCCGTTGGATTACCGGGAAACGATGAATACTGCGCGTTGGTACCGCTGCATAACACTGTATCCGGCAGGATAAACGTACACGGGCATCGAATGACAATATGTGATATGTCCGATGCTCTTTGCTTCACCGTCATCTCTATTAAAAGTACGCAGACGGGCCCGGAACGAGAAAGCGGACTGCTTAGCCGAATGCGCAACCTGTCTTTGTACTAATACTATTTCGGTATAGTGATCGGCTATCGCGAGCTGCGGAAAATAAGCTCGCCAACGGTATTCCATGTCAGGCTATCCGATCAGTGCGCTTTGTACCCGTACGTTAAAACATTAAACGCCAATACCACTGCTAACGCAGCAGGTTAAATGATTAGGTTATCTTTCTTGAATTTTGGTTCATATATTAATTATACCGGCTAATTAACGCTTGTCACCTGTAGAATCATACGTCAACGGCGGGGATCAAACATTTCCGGCAGCATTGTGAAGTAAACATGGCGGTCACCGTGTGGCAAGGAGGACGGATCGGCATTATGTACAACTACAGGGAAACCGATGAGATCGGGCGCGGACAATCTGGGAGTGTATATGAAGCGCGAGTCACTGCTTGTGGAATACTGGATGTGGAGGACGGCGTGTCGGAGGGCGATGCAGTGACGGTAAAGAAGGCCAGGATTGATTCTTACGCCGGACCAAGAACTGTCCGGAGCTAAAATGGAGCAATTCGCTGCCGTACTGCGACTAGACCACCTTAATGTAGTGAAGTACTTGAAGATCACCGTGCAGCGATCGCTGCTGGACGCCCTGTATGCCGAAATCGTAATGCCTTTGCACATGTACACCGGTAGGTTACGACGGGAGAAGGAAAACGTGTTTAGCGCGTCGCGAGTGAATGTTGTTCTATTACGTTGTATGATCCTGTACTGGTGGAACATGCGTAAGGTCATCTGTAAAAACGGCAGACTGACATATTTAACGAGTACTCTGTATTGGTAGCGGGAACGATAGTTTGCATGGGACGTGGTAATGCTTTCCTTATGACGTCGACACTTATTCAATTGTGACTCGTAGGTGACCTCCAAGCCAAGATGGTGGATTTGACGAGCCCCGGGGCCAATCGCAGTCTGAACGTCCTGTACGGCTACCTGCGGGATGTGGCGCGCGGCCTGGAGTATTTGCACTCTCTCTCACTTCTTTGTCCACTCGGACATCAAACCCGCCAATATATTCCTCAAATTAAACCCGGCAACGTTGACGGACTGGATATATATCCTGGTGATTGGGGATGCAGTCGACGATGCGGTATACTGTGGTCCCGGACCCGAGAAACCGTCAGCGATTGACTTGGGCTCAAAAAGAGGCACGCTGCATTACTGCATTATGCCAGCCCGGAGTTGTTCCGGCACGTGATGCAGATGCAGGACGGAGAGGGTAAAGCGAAGCGCCTATCCCGTCATTTATCCCGACGAGCGAACCGATATTAATTTTACAGCTACGGCTGCGTCTTTCTGCGTTTAAGCGGCATCTTTTTCGGTGTGGCCACCAGTAATCTGCGCATATTAATCCGGAGGGGGACCGGAGGTGTGCTCAGCCAAAGATTTGAAGGAGCGGGAGTATGTCGACCGGCTGGTACAGATAGAAGGCTATACGCCCTGCGTAGATGGTTCGATTCTGTGCCGCAACACGTACAGATAGCGGATCTGCTGCAGCAGTGCCTGCTGTTCGACTCCGCCTGACCGCCTGACAGCCAAACAGCTCCTGACAATTCTCTCGCAGGAGGACTGCAGTCTTGTCTAAGGTCTAAGTCTAAGGCCGGCGACTGGGGATTGCAAATTGCACACACTGCCGCCGTTTGCTTCCTCTGCGCTTCATCGTGCTGGCATCGGAGTCGACAAAGAACTTCTCAACGTCACTACTATACTGATCGTTTGTCTATGTACTGTAAATAAGGTTAACTTCCCATACAGTTTGGATTGTGCAGGGTTTTAGTTGTCTCATTTTACATTCACTTCATCATTTCTGGAGGATAATTTCCGTGGCATTCTAATTCATTCATTTTCATGGCGTTTCCAGTAATATATGTACAGAGTCTGTACTTCTATGTAATTCGTATTGGCGAGATGGCACATTGGTGTAAACTTTGATAACGGTATTGTACTGTACGTCAAAAAATGTTCCGTCGCACGGCGCGGAGTTTTCGCAATCGCCAATCGGCAAGGCCGCAAGCGCATGCGCAGCTGTATGGCTCCCCTTCGAAAATGGGTCATTTCTAGTGATAAAGCTGAATAAGCAGTAGAAGGTGAAACGCTGTAGTAAAACACGAGTGTACAATTTACAGTAGTAGAATTTGTTTGAATGGTATGAAGTAGTATGCGAGCTTACCATTAGTTCCACGTTAAAAGAATGACCATATCTGCACGAGTGTTGATACTCAAGGGCAATACATACAAAATATAATTACTCATATATACAGTTATACACCAATAGTCCAACACACTCGTATAATTACAGAAAGAAACCGGTTTGAACTCGTACAGAGATAGATACCTTTTTTCAAACGTATTGTATTATGCAATTTGTGTGTGTACAGTTCTGTAGATTTTGACCTGCTGTAGCGAAGTGCGAGGTGTGGGGCAGCCGCAAACGACCGCGGACTCGGAAGGTCACTGGCGCAGTGGGTGAAGATGGAAGCTTTAAGCACGCGACACTGGCGCAACCGAATTGCGCCTATCCCACCCGTCGGACCTCGCTACGGCCCGGAATGCAAGTACCGTAATATGAAAAGTAAACAAACATACATATGTATTCTGCAGGATCAGGATTTAGTCGTACCGCTTCCGCTGGCGTCAGTGATAGCCAAGCTAGTGAAAGTGAGGATACTGGATAAGGACAGCGGCGAACACAGAGATGAAGTCAGAGATGTCGGAGCTAGTTTTTAAATTCCGCCGCTGCTCATTAGCATCAGCGAAACTGACAAAAGCAGCTAGGCCCTCGCGCTCTAGCCGGCATGCGGAAAGCATTTTCAACCACATGTGCAATTAATACAGCAGAAAACTCCTCTGGAATGTTCCCCATGGAAACCTTGCGTAGGCGCGTGGATTGATTACGAGTAGATGCGGAAAAAAATTTCAAATCTGCGTGTCTTTACGACTCCAAAGGGAGTCTGACAGAAACGGCAACTAAACAGGCAGGATCAGGCTAACCTTTAACTTTCCATATTTCCCCGTTATTAGGGGATATAGACACAGGCGCAAAAGCTGAGTGCCAACAGAATCATTCTGACCTTTCCGTTAGAAGACGCTGGATCCTACACTAATATCATAAATACTAAAACGGTCAAGTACAGCGGAAATTGGTTTCTCCAGCGTGAGATGCAACAGCTGCAAGAGCGTGCCAATTCCGCTCCGTGAGACAGTATATTATTATCTCGTATTTTTTCTAAAAAACCATTAACGCACTGTTTATCAATAAAACATAAGATATGCCACACCGACTGATAATAAATTTTATTAATGACTTAGACAAAACAGTACTAGTACGAAGTACTTGTACTCTGTATCAGCAGTACGCGCGATGCCGGTTATGCTGTAGCATTTACAAACAAACATACTCTGTAGTTATTCAGTTGAAAAAGGTGTCATATTAAGCCGACAGGGTTGTGGTCAACAAGTCATCATTGCGGGATGAAATTTATTAGTTTACAATATTTATTAAATTATTCTCTACTACAACCGACGATGAATGATAGTGACTATTGCACTGCAATAAGTGACAACAAGTACGTAACACAACATTGGCAATCGCTGCTACGATAATTAACTTTATAGTACGTATGTACATTAAGTAGGTACAGTTGTACAGCACCACACCAGTGCGAAATTAAAGGATGTTCTTACATGTACCTAGGCCTGTCAGAGTCACTTGGAAAAACAGCAAAATCGCTATGGCTTGAAGGTCCACGAGTCTACTTTGTATTAGTTGATGTGTGACAAACGATCGCACAACTGCTGCGCCGTTATTCTCTGGTCACCGGCGGTGCGTAGGCAGTCTCCAATACACGCGGCTAGTTCGGGCGGCACGGCCGTGCATGCGGCATCACTGACGAGGACGACGGGAATGTAACCGCTCATAACCGCTGTCGAGAAGGCCAGATCTTTGAGGGTTTCTGTCGCGCCGGCGCCCCGCACTTGCCCGCTGACCGGATGGTGCAGTATTTCCCTGTAGTCTCCCGTCATGCAGCGGACTAACTGCAGCAGGATACATCCCACGCTCCACATGTCCGTGGCGCAGCCGGGCAGCACCGGCCACGTATGCCGGCTCACGGGGGGTCCTATCGCCCGCAGCATTTCCGGCGACATGTAGCGCTCGCTGCCGCGGAAATGCTCGCCACCCAGCGCGCTGACGGTGCTCCGTTGAAGGGTCACGAGATGGTCCAGGTCGGAAATACGCAGATTCTCCTGCTGCAGCTGGCCATGGGCGCTGGAGCGGTCAATTAGCACATTTTCCGGCTTCAGGTCACCGTGAACTATATTGTTCTGATGAAGGAAAGCCAATCCGTCAGCGAGGTCCAGCGCGTGCCCCACAGCCTCTCTACAATGCAGATGGATTCCGCTGTCTTTCATCCTCTGCAGCTTCGTCTGCAAGTTGCCATCTGCAATGGATGACATAATACTTTTGCGTTTCCTTCTGACCGGCATTCGTAACTGACAGAAACGTACAATACACGGACGGCCATATACAGTATACAACAGTCAACTGTCTGCCAAACACCTTGACCGTTATTGTACACCGCGTCATGTTTCCTATGGTCTACCGGAGGTAACGTTTATTCAAACATTTTGCTAGTTATGTCGCTGGAGTGCGCTCTTTGTGGAGTGCGCGTACCCATTATGTACTGTTGTACATAATATAGCACACCAGTACTTTATATTAAAGTAAGTATACAATATTAACTAAATAATAATTATGACGTTGAATATGTGTACAGACACCTGTGCTTGTGCGGTAATATCAGAATGATTATCATACTACGTACTACAGTTCTACTCGTAGTACTGTAGTAATGCAACATATTGTTGGCGCGTAATAATGAAACATATTCGTTTCTCAAAGCGGTGCATCGTAGCGGGTTTTCGGTACTGTATGTGCAACCGCACACGGTGTACGTCGTACCGAAGGTCTCCAGTCCCTTACTCCCTACGCCATCGCACACCAGAGTGCATTGGTAATTTCTTGCCCAGTTTTGTTCTGTAGCGCCATCGATTCTTGGGCGCAACATTCTTACAGTATGAGTACAGTACGTATATTGTCCTGCCTAACACAAATGACACAAATGTAATTCCTGACTAAATATGACAGATTCTAAGTTATTACTGTTCGTTCTGCATCAGCCGATTCTGTACTCTAAGTAACTTAGATGTACGAGTATACTATATTGACGGGAATGCGAAAACAAGCTGCTTGTCTGCGGCAGGTTTCAAGTTGCAGCGTTAATTCAGTATCTGCCCAGCTTATTCAAAGCAGCTTCAATTTTGTAAAAGCCGGAAATTCTACTTAAAAAAAGGCATGTGCATTGTGCGTACGAGAAAAGCAAAAGGAATCTGCACGGTAAAGTTGTAAATTCAAACGGCGATAATCGTAATTGCAAGACGAAGGTAGGTGAGCAATGGCACAAACATAATCTGAATTTCGGACATGTTCGGCAACAACCCCCAGCGTCCCCCCACACCAAAACGATGTTGCCAAAATTTGAAGTTTTTGGCAACATCACAAGCTGCCTTCCAGAACCACGCACTTCCTGCTGCCGAGCACGGCAAGATTCCAAACAGGGCGAAAAAGGTCAGCCAATCACAATCATTCAGTGACGTCATGAATTTTTGATTTTCGCCGACAGTACCAAAAACATTTATCGCCAGCAGCACGCCCTGGGCCTGAGTTTTCGCATCCGCTACATTATACGTATAGAAGTACAGGTAATACTCATGTTGTCGGAGCAAAGCCTGAGCTGAAAAAGAAAAATGGCGAAAACATTCTGACGTCTACGAAGAGATGTCAGCCAAGTGCAACCATACAAAAAGAGTGCTTATTACAGTATGATGCCTATAGTACAGTACCATTCACAGCCAGCATTCTCACTAGGATAATAGTCCATCATCAACTTAACCGCTGCAGCCATACGTGTGGGAATGATGGAGATCTGATGGTACTGCACCAGATGAATGTGTTGGAGATTGAGCAGGAGTTGGAATCTCTCCCGTAACTTGCCATAGTTTTCAGGATCCTCCACCAGACTCTTGTGCATTATGCTGACCCGTCTAACAGCGACAACGTCCTCTCCCACATAATCGCCTCGCTCCGTAATCCTGGCTGTGTACACCTCACCGAAGCTTCCGGATCCAACCAAGTTACTGTCATCGTATCGATATTGGCAACTACTGCCAAATTGCTCAGTCTGACGCGGCGTTAACATTGGACCGCGGGATGGAAAGAAAAATGATCAAATTAATTTCGGTGGTTGTGATTGTGAATAAACTGATACATGTACACTGGTACTTCACTTCTCCAATAACCACAAGACACACTGTAATTATTATCCCATTCCATGCAGTACGGCAGCGCCGTATAATTATATTCAATTGCTATAGGAAATCAAATATTCACGAAACGTCTAGGCTTACCATTAGGTGCACCAAACTAACTAGTAAGTAGATATATATGATAATATTATATGCGATAACAGGATAAGTAAGTACCACATGTTGCTGATTTCACTGGCTATGCATACCTCTCTATTTTTAACAGCACACGATTGCCGGCGACTGTGAGGCGTCGTCCGCCGGCAGCATGCGTGAGTCAGCGTGACTGCACTCGTAAATAGTATTTCCCGTATCTGACTATAATTATATCAGATTCTGTGCTCAGTCACTGCTCATGCACTGCTCACCGAGTCACCATGCATATGTGATATTGGTACTTGCTCCTATTATTATGATTGTGAAGGGACCGGAGTCGTCCCTCCTCTGTGTATGCTGCAGTATCTCTGTTTCCGCCCCTTATATTATTTGGGAGTATATATGTAATTATCTATATGACGATGATGTGTATGAGCTCCATCAGAGTGTTAGTGCTTCAGTTGTGGTTCAGTACTAAAGTTCTTTGCCGAGTATTAATTATAATAATATTTTCTCCTGCAGTTCCTCGCCACATGAGAATAAGTACAATAATTCAGTGGACAGTATTCAGCTGATAGGCCTAGGATAACTGACCGGTGAGGAGAAAGTATGGCAACAAGTGCACAGCGTGGTAAATAAAATTATAACCGTAGATACCGGTAATACGAGAATACACGAGAAATCTCCCAAACACCGATCTCCGTCCGTCCTGCAATAACCGGCAGCAAACCATACGTACGTATACGCCCATCATATGAATATCAGGGTTCCGAACCGGTAATTATAGCGGTCGCCACTCGCCAGACCTTCATAGTTTCATCACTTTCATGTAGCGCTCGTTCACGGCACATATCCCAGGTGGAACTGCATTTGTGAGACCAGTGCCGAGTACGTGCTCCCTTAAAGGAACCGTAACACAACCAGCTGCATGCAGTCGTGCACCTCGACCGCCACAAATCCAACCCATGCAGTTATTTAGACGGCATGCAGTGACGCGGCCGCGGTCGGCTGCCCCAGCCCCGGCCCTGTGGTCAGTTCCTTCTACTTGTCCAATAACATTTCCCTTCCTTGTTAAAACCCGAAAATTTAAGCGTGCTTTGGCCTGCGCCATAATCCAGTGGATATGATCATATTCGGGAAAAAACTAAGCAACAAGAAAGAAAATGTGCGACAGTGCTATGCAGAGTGCAGCCGGAAATTTCTTGACGCGCAGCATTCTGTACCGGTATCGAGTATGTATAGGCTAGCTGACAGCGGCAGCGTGATTCCGTAGAACACAGTGACCTTTATTCCATCTGCTGGCCCGGCCCTAGCGCTGTACATGGACAACTACAACAATTATCTGTACAGTGCTCATGTTCGATGCGGTACAAGTACAACTACGATCGATGATAGCGATCATGATACGATGACCTGGCCATGCACCGGGTCGGATCGAAGCCCTCATATGCATGCGACGGTATAATTATAACGCGCCTCCAAACCGACAGCATTTGCAATGTACGAAGCGTGTGCCCCGGGAGTCGGAAGAAATTCAGCAGCTCGTGGCCGGAAAGGCCTGAGAACGGTATCACCGCCCACTGTGCACATGTGCCGGCCGCAGCTAGGCCCGGAACGTGTGAAAGAGTTGTTTAGACAGCGACCAACTTCTCTATCCAGATATAACGCGGGAACGCCGTCGGTGGGATGGCCATTGATGGGCACAATTCTCGATTAATATTGGGATCGCCCTGAGCAAGTGCTATAATTGCTGTTATGAATTTATTCTGCTATAAATAAAGTGTTTTTGCTATATATAAATCTCGTTTTTTTAGTACTCAATTTGTACTTACAATCATGTGAAGGATGCGATACCCATTTTACAGGCCAGTGCAGGCATTTATTCTGCTACTTAGTTTGGACTCGTATCGTGCTACTGCTGCTTATTACAGAGTACAGGGTACGACTACAACAAATTTACTTTCCGCTACCGTACAATGCGTACATTCATCATGATCAGTCATCATAGGTTTGGGCACAGGTCGCACATGAACCGTGGTCCTGGAATAGTGTGCCAAGAGGTTGGGCAAGTTGAGCTGCGGTTGCTTAGCTCCTGCGGTTGCAACGATGCAGCGATGAACCGGTGTCGCATGCAGCGTAAATAATCAACTGTGGCACTTGCAGAACTGCAGTGCAGGAAGTGTGGATGCATGGGAAAATGCATGGTGTGCTCAGCTGTAGCTCGCAGCGGCACTGGCCGTTAGCGACGGACGCGTCCGCTGTAATGCGGCCGTTGGCCGGTGTCTGGCTGTACTTGTACTGCAGCTGTGCCGGCTGGATGTCGATGTCGATGTTGCAGCAAGCAGCGTGGTGCGCAGGATGTCTACCTGCATGGACAGATATCTGATCGGTCGACAGCGCGGGCCAGCACACTGCCGCCCGCTGGGCTCCAAGCAGTGTGAGGGTGGAGCTCGACAAGACACGGACTGAGGGTGTTGAGTGACAAAATCAGCAATCACTTTCTGTTGAATGCTAAGCGTCCCTCCAGAAACAAATAATTCGCATTTTGCAATATTGATTTCCAGCCCAATGGAACGTGCGTCCTCGACAATTCGCGTAAAATTTTCCAACACGCTTGCAGGGGATCCGCCTAACGTTCCATCGTCCAGAAACCAAGCGCTGAGCTCCGTAGTCAAGGTAATGGCTAAAACATGAAGAACAAGACAGAAAAGAAAGGGGCCCAAAGGGTCTCCCTGTTGCACGCCACATTCGGATGACAAAATATACTGTTCCACCGTTGTCCCTTGTTCCTTGTTGTGCCGACAGATCTAGAAGGATGTTCCAGGTCCAGCAAACAATTAGCGGTTATTCGGCTATAATAAGGCATTTAGGTATAACGTCCGGCTGGGCGCAGCAACGCAGTACATGTGTGTATGTATACTCGTCAATTTCTTCAATATTTAATTGCTACAGAAATTCGTACATTGACGACCGCGTTTAGCTAGACGAGTATAAGTGTATAACCGTATGTATACTGTATTGTATTATTATTATTATACTCGTATTGCGGACGAAAGCGAGTGAAACATAGACACCGCGTAGTACAGATGCCGCACATTTTCCAAACATTGATAACTATCACAAACCGGTTGTCAGGGCGAGTATCCATCCGATGGAATAAATGGATACAGTTTTCCTATCGTACAGTACTTACAGTGGTAACAGTTTCCTGCACAACGTACTTATCCATTATGACACTATATTAATATACAACAATAATTGTGAAAATTCTTACAATAATGCTGTATTATAAGCGCGAATAAGACTTGGGTTATTTTTCTAATGTTTAAATTGTTACTACCGCGCAGTGTAGCAGCGTTTGCATCTTTCGTTAATCGAGTGGCTAAACTGGCTATTGCCAATAAAGCGCAAGTGCGAATGGCAATGGCTCTTAAACAGTTATAATGGCGATTGGCGCAAGCAATACAGCCGGCACGAAGATTAATTACTCGTACGTGCACTTACACGCCGCTACATAGTTATAATTATCATTATTTCGTTGGAAAATCAATACTTTACACATCAGCAATCTGTATACATACTATACTTATAATAATTATTAGCAGCGTGTGGATGGCCAGGATGGCGCTGCGCAACGGCCATAACTAGAGCGAAGTGCGCCGCGGCGATTTTCAACCTGCAAACTGAAGCAGCGCATTGTTCCCGGTGTCGTCTGTCGGAACGGCAGATGCGCACAATGCCGCTTCACTGTTCTTGATCACTGTTGTTGCTTGTGACAAGGACATTTAGGACGGTCATTTGTCACCTGCACAATGCGGAGGTGTCTCTCCGCGACACGGAAAAACCGTTTTTAATTTAACTACTTTTCCAGTCGGCGCGCTGATTGATGGGCGCAATAACTGCATTAATCGGCCGACGGGGAAAATATTTTGCTGTAATATGTAGATTACATTGTATAATTAATCGCTGAGGATGGTTTCACACGTAACATCCGAGATGGATACAGCCGTGCGGTAACAGCGCTGCCCGCGGGCGGTTTGTTTTTCAATTGGCAATTACAGGAATGCTGGCTGATTAGCATTATTGAACAACACCGCTTCGAATAGCGCTGCCAGCCAATCAACGTCAAGGTTATCCTGACTGCGCCGCGGTGCGGTGGCCGCGGCGACAGCCGCACACGCGCCGCTGTCGTGCTCGCGGCTTTAAAATTCTTATTATCATTGTTATGCTCTTCTTGGCAAAAACACAGCTGCGATCAATAACATTTAGAAAAAGAAACGGTTATGTCGCCGCTGTTATGCTAACCGGCGGAGTGGAATGAATGAATAATTAGCCGGCGATCAATTTCAGAGCAACAGACGCACGTAAATGTGCAATTTGTCCGTCAGATGCGCTTCTTACCGCGCTCACTATATAAGCGCGCGTTTATGGCCGCCATAATTCTTGTCTTCACCGCGCATTCGAATCGTCTTCCCTTCTGCATCGCTTTTCGGAATATATTTTGATTTCTCATTTCCCCGCTTTATCATGAAGCTGCTCGCGTTAAGCACCGTCTTCCTGTACCTCGTCCACGGTATGTAAATAAACCGACCAATCGGCGCAGCGTCGCCTGTTAAATTCAGCCAATCAACGATGAGCAGGAATAATTTCCTTTTTATTTGCATTAATCGGGCTTTTTCTGGGAGTATTTTATTTTGATTGAATTTTTTTTTATTGCAGGCAGCGTGGCGGGCAACGTGGACTGCGACCAGTGCCTGGCGCAGTGCTCGGCGCAGAGCATGATGATCTCCGGCTCCAGCTCCAAGAAGACGTCCGCCGCGGGCGGCGGCGCCAGCGTCTCCGGCAGTGCCTCCGCGTCCGGCAACCAGGCGGCCAAATCCTCGGCGGCCGCGGACAACACGGGCGCCGACGCCGACCAGGGCGGCGAGGAGGCCACAACCGAGGCGGCCAAGGGTGCCGCCAAGGGCGCGGCCGTCTCCGCCTCCAAGTCCGCCGGTACGGCAGCGGCTAAGCCGGCCGCCGCGGATTCCGGTGACGAGGAAGCCACCACCGAGGCGGCCAAACCCGCTGCCAAGGTCGAAGCCAAGAAGACCGTTTCCGGAAGTTACTCCGCGTCCAGCGGCAAGAAGGCCGAAGCCACCACCGCCGCCAGCGACGAGGGCGGCGATGAGGAGGCCACCACCGAAGCCGCCAAGCCCGCCGCTAAGGTCGAAGCCAAGAAGGGCGCCAGCGTATCCGGAAGTGCTTCGGCGTCCAGCGCGAAGAAGGTCGAAGCGACGACGGCCGCCAGTGATGAGGGTGGAGATGAGGCCACCACCGAGGCTGCCAAGGCCGCCGGAGGTGCCAAGGTCAGTTCAGCCACGGCGTCCAAATCGGCGGAGAAGGCCCCGGCTCCGGCCAAATCCGAGGAAGGCAGCGAGGAGGAGGAGACGAAACCGGCTGCCGGAGGTGACGCTAAAGCCGCTGGCGCCGGCGCCAAGGTGTCCGGATCCGCCAAGTCCTCCTCGGCGACGCTGTTGACCAGTCTGGGAGGCGAGAAGAAGGCCGCGAAGCCCGCCGCCAAGGACGCCGAGAAGAGCGACGACGAGGACGAGCAGAAGACGGACCTCCTGCAGGCCGAGTCCAGCGAAGGCGCCAAGGCCGCCGTCCCCGCCAAAGCCAAGGGCGCCAGCGCCGCCGGATCCGCCAAGGCGTCGGGATCCGCGTCGTCATCCAGCAAGAAGGAGGAGGCCAAGGATGACGAAGGCGCCGGTGAGGATGAGGGCGACAATGCCGCCACCACCAAGAAACCGGCCGCCGCCAAACCCAAGGCGCCTGCCCCGGCCGCGCCGGCTCCGGCGGCGGGTGGTGATGAGGGTGGTGATGAGGAGGAAGGCACGACGGAAGCGCCCAAGGCCGCCGCTAAACCCAAACCCGCCGCTAAGCCCGCCCCGAAGGCGGCTGCTCCCGCGGCCGATGCTGACGCCGACGCCGGTGCCGCAGCCGGCGGAGAGGACGAGGGCGGCGCCTATGGTCCGAAGAAGACGACCAAGCCCACCACGACCACCACCACGACGACCACGACGACGACCACCACCACCAAGAAGCGCCGCCCCGACTACGGCGGCACCGAGCTGATTAACACCGAGGTCACCGAGCCGATCGCCGTCATTACCCGGCCACCGCGTCGCGGAAAGACCGCCTTCGACCGCCGATAAGCGTTTGATACTCTCACGACCTGCGTTCCTTTTCTCCCTGTTTTTATGAGTATATGAGCCGGCCTTCCGTGCCGGTCGGCCGGCTTTTTCTGGTTTTGTATAACGCTTGACTGCGCAAGAAACGGCTGCTAATTAGTATTTTGACAGCTTGCTGGTCACTGGACGATGCTGTTGACGTAACGGACGGTATTGAGTTTTTGCTTGTGATTGCTCTTGATGGGCTGCTGTCGGCCAGCATGGCGTATTATGAAAATTATTAACAAAATCGTTGTGATGTTGCCAAATAAATTGTTTATATAACGCTTATATGAGCTTGGCACAACTGCTACATTAATAACAACATTCCGCAGCAGCGGATCGCAGTAACTCGCATGAATCAAACAGAACATGGAGCTAAATGTAAAGGTCACCGCGGACATTAGCGGAGCCGGTTTTACTTGGGCGTGTTGGCGGCGACGGGCTGCGCGGGCAGCTTGACCACTTCGGTGACCTCGCTGGTGATGGGCTCGATGTTGTTGCAGGCGTCCGTCTTGCACTTGTAGTAGGCTGCAAAGCAGTTAATTCGGAAATCATTTCTGAATTGTCTATTTTTATTACCTCCACGACTCGCATATGTTTTTTCATGAAGCCATACGTACATTCGGCGGAGATAATTGTGTTAGCGTTATCATATCTATATTACACTAATTACAGTAACAGAAGTACGTAGATACAGTACAGGATTTCTCAAGGTAGAATTAATTGTTGAATTAGTTACCGGCGGGCAGATCGTCCGACCAGGTGTCGAGCATGGCGCACTCGTTGATGCCGAGATTAAAGTCCTGCACGTGACCGCCGCAACCGCGGTACACCGTGATGTCGCCTGCAATACACAAACGCATGCAGTCAGCTTGCAAATATGCCGGTTACTTGCACAATAATTATGGAGCCTTCGTTCGGTTAAGCGTGATTCCGCGCAGGCAGTTAAGTGACCTGACCTTTGGCGTTGCCGAGGACGACGGCGACGCAGTGCTTGGAGTCGTCGGAGCAGTTGCTGGGCTGGGCGTCCTTGATCTGGCGGCAGTCCTGCCCGGTGGAGACGTTCGGCAGGCACACGAAGCACCGCAGACCGGCCGCGTGCCGCATCAACACGCACGTCACTGCGCAAAACAGACAAACCATTAGAAATTGCAATTACTGATACCGCGTATCAGTTTTACTGTATATACGCGCTAATATTCCCTGTACAATACACATATACGTGACAGTGAACAGCGTGCAAGTGAGCGCGACTTCCGCTTACTGAGGTAATATTATTACGGCGAATTAAAATGGACAGCACAATTTTAAGCGTCGATGGAGCTCCGAAGTTCAGGTTATTCTTCGAACTAGATATTTTGCAATAAAAGGCACGTAAGACAGGAGTTTCTTCCTTGACGTTTCGTTGGAAATTTCACAGCTACCATCAGAAAATTAATGTTAGAACTGATTTGACAATAAATATCGCTAATTTTCATAATAAATATTGGTGAAGAAATGTCCGAGGCTAGGGAGCGCTAGCGAGTTTTGGTTGACTCGTGCCTTGCCCGTTATTGAATTGAGCCGCACATCCGTCTGTGCAGATCTCCCCGCTCGGATGTTGCGCGCATAAATGATTTTGGTTGTGTTTTTAATTCTTGATTGTGCAATACTGACCGTAGTGGAATGACTGACTGTTATGTCGCTAAGCAAACATAAATAAAAAGCAGTAAAAATTTTCACACCAATGTATATAGTTATATTGGATATGAAGTATAGATGGTATGGGAAATGAACTGTATATAAATATTTAAAGTGACCGTGCAGCACAAGTACAAGTACTTACCTATGCAGCTGACGAGCAGTGCGCAGGCGAGACTCCGTGCGGAGTACATTGTGGGGCGTTGGACGAATTCGAAGGCAAGGCTAGTGCGCCAGGAAAAGAGGAGTGCAGGTCGAAGGACGCGGATGGGATCGTAATGAATCCGATGCAGATGCGCTGACGTACTATACGATTATGTACATATATGTTCTGCCTACTATACCAAGAATGAATAATTACATATATCCGGCTACTGCACTTGAGAAGCATTAGCTTGTCAACATGCACATCGGCAACATAGAGAAGCCGCGCCAGCGCGTGTGCCAACTCGCTCTATCGGCAACGTGTACTTGTACAGGTTGTACCGCTGCAGCACGTTGCACCGTCTTTGCCTTCAACAACGTGAAATTCGCCGAGTAGAAGACGGAATGCAGCGGGGATGCCTCGCGGACACTTGCCATGAAGATCAGAAGCAGTTACTGCTGACTCGAATTGCGAATGCAGCGTTGCTCGTTAGTTTGCCTTTCATGTGTACGTACAGATCAGAGATCATAGAATGTACGTATATCTGTATGGCTGGCGGATGCTGGTTTGGACGTCAGCCCCCGGCGGCTGCCATATCCGCTGCACAGCCGAACCGAGCCTACCGGCGCTCTGCTCAAACGCTGCTCCGCTGCACTGGCGTTCTGGTCGCCAGCTGTGACCTTTCTGTTGTTTCCGTGGCCGGTACAGCACTGCATTCGGCGCGAACGGAAATGGCCATCGTTTGCAAGACCAGTCGGCCAGACAGCTCACAGTCGCCGAGGAGAACAGTCCAGCTAGCCGGTTCCAAAGGTCACGGCAGTGGCTCCGGACCGGGGCAATGTTAATATGGATGACGTTTACGCATATGTATAGCGGTATAACTGATGCTGTATAATATTATGCGATCGACCAGAGTGATAGGTGTTGATTACATGCCCACACGGTCACATTCACGCCCTGATGAGACGATCACGGAGCTAGCGGAAATGCACTGTTAAAGCCGCATCCGCCATCTGGTACACCTGGCTGGCACGGCCCCGCGAACCTGACCGACCCACGGATGCGGGTTTCTACAGGACCGGCCGACTTTCGGCGCACGACTGTGCATCTCAGCAAGCGGATGGTGTGCCCCAAAAACGATTTTCATGCCGAAATATAGCACCATTTTGATTGTAGAACGACAAAGGAAACAGCAACAGAAAGTGTGCATACGGGAACGGCGCGTGCAAAAGCGAAATTGTCAGTGACCTCGTAGACGGTCCGTACTGTGTATCGGGCGGAAAATCTTTCCTGGTGCTGGCATTGCTTACCTACTGCTCTACGGATTAAAGCCGGTTATACTTGTACGTAGTACGTACGTACAATATGATAGATAACACAGTCTAATAAGAGAAAGCAGCATCCGCGCCGGAAGTACTTGTGGGCATTACCAGCCCCGCCGCGCGCCGGCGCTATATCTGTACGTTAGGCAACGTACCGTCTGTACAGATACGCTGAGGCACGTGCTGTGTTCGCTCATCTGCTTAATCCTCATTTGCCGCGACCAGCTCTGCTCCCGATGGCGCAGTCAAGTGGATCCGCACGACTGCGACGGCCATGCTACACGACTGCACGGCGAGCGGCAGCAATGCGATCCGCGGGCGGCAATTGTCGTCTTTTGTCCCATTTACGGCCAGTCGACAGCTGTACGCCGTGCTTACTCACCACTGGCCAATTGCCGTTATACATATATACAGATACAATATATGTACCGGCCGATTTATCAAGAAACTATTTGTGTCGTGACCGCAAATTGCCGACGGAGCGAGCGCGACAACACCAAAATATTTCTTCTAACCAGTATTTCTGCACAATACAATCAGCGCATAATTGCAATCAACCTACAAAGAGCAGCATTTCGCGCCGGCCACGAAAAGAGAATAGAACGGAAGAGCTGAGAATCAATCGGAGCCATCGCTGGCGATGGACATGTTTACTGTACTATTACTAACCGACACTTTCCTTCTCCGTTGAGATTGCAAACAGCATTCACTCGTCCAATTATTTTATTATTCTACCAGCTCCGCACTTCTTATCGTTTTTACGCTCCATTGCCGCCATTCTGTTCTTCGCGCCGCGCACAACAATTCTGATCGACAATTGCTTTATTATTTTATTATTCTTATTTTTCATTCGCATGTGAAGCGTCGAGCTTGTTCATACAAAATTGGGTCGGATTATTTTCGTGGCGCAGTATTAATCTCATTCGAAGATGCAGTATCTCGTCTATTCGCCGCTGCTCCTATCAGTATTAATCCAAGGTGAGCGCACATTTTCGTATATATAACGGTGACCTTTATATATAACTTTGATATATGGCTTATGCATATGTATATGTGTATTGTGTGTGAAGATCGACATTTGTGTGGATATTTATTGACTGGTCCATGTTTAAACAGTCAGCCAGGCTATCCAATGCTTCTCCTGTCTGTCCAACGAGGCCGCCGGGAAGTTCTGCCGGAAGGTGTCGGAAGCGCAGATCATCACGTGTCCCAACGATGCCACGTGGTGTAACGCCCTCGTCTTCCTCAAGAACGGTGAGTGCACTGCTTCTGCGTTTTTAATTAACGTAACGCGCACTTCATTAACTGATGGATGCAGGAAAGGTCAACGTCAACCGGGGCTGCTCAGGGAGTGTCTCCAGTTGGGGCTTTGGCCGCTCCGAATGCGACATTATGTCGGCGGAGCCGCTGATGGACGTGGGCGTGGCCTTCTACCAGTGCCGCGGCGACGCCTGCAACAACATCGAGCCGGCTGACGGCGCTCCGACCAAGTCCGACGTCGTCCTGCTGACCAAGACCGTCGAGGAGGAGACCCACTACCGCCCCGCGCCCGCTCCCAAGGCCCAGACCGACGACGACGAGGAGAGCTACGGGCCGCGCCGGACCACCACCACCACGACGCAGAAGCGGGTGAATACCACGCCACGGTCGTACCCCGAGGAGAGCACCGAGGAGACCACGGAGAAGCCAAAGGTCATCACTCCCGCGCCGGTGGTGACGTCCCCGCGGGCCCGCACCACCCCGGCGCCCGTTGAGGAGACGACGGAGGAGACCGAGTCCCCTTATCAGCCACGGGTCACCACCAAAGCTACCCCGGCCCCGGCCACCACCGCCCCGCGGGCCCGGACGCCGGCGCCCTACCCCCAGGACTCGACGGAGCTCAAGGAGGAAGAGGACACCGAGGCGCCCAGCTACAAACCGGCGCCCAAGACCACCACCACCACCACGACGACAACCACCACCAAGCGACGCCGACCGGATTACGGAGCGACGGAACTGATCGACACCGGCGTGACGGAAGTCAAATTCCGACCCACCGCCCGCCGAAGGGTGGCCTTCGACAGAAGATAGAGTGTCTGAGCCGCTTGATTGATTTTGTTGGAATGTTGATACTGATACGCCGACGCAGTTACCTGTTGAATGTGGGCTGTTTTCTGTAACTAGTGAAAGCATGCTTTCTGTTTCTGGAGTAATGAGAAACTGAGAATGGAAAATGGATCTAGTAAAACGTGCGCCTGCGGCGCTGTCATTAATAATTGAATACACGACACGGCTTTACAACTGACACGCTCAGCTGGCCATTAGCCAGCACGTACACACCGGTACGTACGTGCTGCACCCGGTAGAGCCGATTCGTACGTCGGCTGAATGGTTTTTGGCCGAGTTCCGGGTGGCGCTGGCAGCGTGTACTGTGCGCCTTGGCGATCAGATAAGCGTATCGCTGTACGAATTCTTTATCGCTCCGCAATGCAAGACAGCGCCTGTGGAGTGCAGCGTACATACAGACATTGACCCGGCCTGTGTTTTAAACTGCAGTTGCGGTTGCGCCAGTAATACGGCGCTCGTTGATTTCTGGTAGAACAATCATCGCAGCTGCTGCTGGCTGCAGTTGCAAGTGAAAGTTGTCGATCGCTGCTGGCAGGCCCGCAGTTTTGGAACGCTACTCGCGCCTCACCTGACTGCCTCTATCACGTGCAGCAACGATCTTTATTTCTCATTCCAGTGTCTCTGCTGTTTTTGCCAGGTTGCAAAGTTCCAGCCAGTGGTTAGCAGGGAAGACGGCGGACTGTAATCTCGGTCAGCTCCAGAATCTTGAATCCTGTCTGTGCGCATCTCTACTGCTCCCTGTAGCGATTACCCGGATTAGTGTAGCGCTGCCTGTGCAACGATCGCTTGCGCCTTGATTTTTCTGTGATTTGCGCACTTCGACGAAACAATGGGTAAGTACCAAGTTCGTACCGTTAGGGATGCAATTTACGGTTAGAAATTTATGAGGAAAGGGTTATAGAGTTACTAGAGATGTGGGCGCTTAGACGCAAGTGTTTCGAGAAAAGTGCAGCAGAAAGTACTACACGGTTGCAGTTGACCAGCGATTGCGGATTGTGAGTTGTGTTTTTTCGTATTGGCGACTTTGGGTTTCTCCCGCTCGTTGTGCAAAAATTATTTACTGAAGATCCAGTAAAACCGCGCGTTTGTAGAAAACGTGAGATGCTGGATTATTGTGAAAATAAAATTATTTTGGCGATTAAAATTGTTCTGTAAATGGTTAATTTAATATCCAACATCATTAAGAACGGTCATTAAGAACATTTTAATTGAAATTATTTGGTATTAATTTTAAAGATTTTATTACTTTTACTGCTGCGTTAAGAAATAGTCAAATGAGTGAAGATAAAAGAGTGAGAATTTCGGTTGAAAAATTTTTGTGAAGAGTGCAGCGGTGCCGACACGAGGAAACCTGGCTTATACTTGCATTGCAGTAGCCGGAAATTAGTTGAAGCGCGGCCAGCTGATTTTGTGCGAGCAGTGTTGCGTTGATTATTGCGGGCGATAATGTCAAGGTTGCAGGCTTGCAGCGGCGCGGTGACTAATCCGCTGTATCTGTACATGTAGCGCCGCTGCTGGCTGTTTCTTGAAAACCTGTGAAAAATGTGCGCGCTTCTTACGCTTAACAACGAGAGAAAACGGTCGGCGCGGACTGCGGAATCGGATGTTACGTAAGGCCGGGGTGAAAGTGTCAGATCGCTCGCTGTGGCCTTCGTATTTTAGTATTTTACTGCCCGTCACCGGAAGTTAACGACAGGCCACGTTTGCACTGCTATTTCACGGCATTTTCTTCTATTTTTCGCAAGTGCATCGAAATCAAAATATTGATGTTTTACGATATAATTTCTACTATCAGTCTGTCACCGAACACATGCAGATAAAGCTTTCTGCCTCTTCGTAAAATGCATAAAGGCTGAGTCGCTGACCTCAGATAAAGCCCAAGAATTGTCTGATTTATCCGCAATATCTTGCGCTATTCCTTACATCCCATATTGCGGCAGAATTTTCATTAAGAATTTATAGCAAATGTAGTAAGTAATTAATTGTCGACTGTGTGAGCGTGTTGACACTGACGATTGGTATGCATGAATGTGTTGGTATTAAAATTATTTTATAAATTACATATAATATACATGAATGTAAGTATTTGTATTATTATCGAATTTTTTATTAAATATTCACACATTTCTGATTGATAATATTTCTGCTATTGTTAAAATTATTTATGTATTATACGAGTAAGTGCTGATATCTATATATGGATGTTCATGTTACAAGTAGACTAGGGTAGTAGTCAGTTGCTAACTTGCTAGTAATACTGGAGATTTGTGAACGCGTGGTGGAAACGGCGGGTGCGTATCTGTAGAGATATCTTGGCGTGAAAATGGCGACGCCTGATTGTGAATGGTGTGAATGGTGTGTATGGTGTTGCAGCGGGTAAGAGCGCAGAGACGGAGGCGGGCCCGTGGACGATGGTGGCGCAGGTGCGCAGCGACGACAGCGTGTACCGGCGCGTCAGCAGCGTGGCCACGTCGGAGCTGCTGGAGCGGTCGCGGCGCTCCAAGTTCGGCGAGGAGATCATGTCCAGCGCCTGGTCGCCGGACGGCTCCCTCTTCGCCTGGGCCGTCGGCACCGAGTTAGTCTCCATCCACAACGTCGCCCAGATCCTCCACACCGACCGGTAAAAGTTAATACATCATTGAAACAATTTATTAGCCAACAAATTATTGCACTGCTGTATTATGGTGTGGAACTAGCACGAATTTAAATACAAGATGAAATGGCGAAATGAAGTAGCTACATGTGTAGACCGGCGACGAACGAGAACCCGGAGAGTCTGGGGCGCGTGGCGGTGCTGGACTGCGGCGCCGGCGCCTCCGTGACGTGCATGTACTTTGGGTCGCGCGTGTCGGACGTGAAGTGGCACTCGGGCGAGGTCAAGTACAACCGCTTCGAGGAGCAGATGCGCGGCCAGATGCTGCTGGCCGTCGGCCTGGCCACCGGCGACATCAAGATCTTCGACGTGGCCACCGGTATTCGCTTCTGTGTCTTTCACGTTGGGCTGCCTCTGTTTCATTCCCTAATCGTCATCCCGTTGCAGGCAAGATGATGATGGTGCTGAAGGACCACACGGACGCCGTGACGGACCTGCAGTTCTCGCCCGACGGCAGGTGAGTGCCGGAATGGTCTTTCCAGGGAAAGAAGGCTGACGACGCTTCTTGTTTGCAGTCTGGTGCTGCTGTCGGCGTCCAAGGACACCTCGGTGAAGCTGTGGGACCTGCTGGACGACGGGAACATGTTCCGCACGCTGCCGCGGCTGGACAGCGGCAAGCGCCACGTCAAGGACGTGTCCTGGTCGCCGGACGCCAAGCGCATCGCCACCGTCGGCGACGGCAAGATGGTGCGTCCTGTTCCCTTATCCTCCGCCTCTAATTGAGCAACAAGTGCTGTTTATTTACGCAGGCGGTGCTGTGGGAGGTGAAGAACTACGAGATCGAGCGCCAGCTGGAGGGCCACCAGAACGACGTGACCGGCGTGCGCTTCCACGAGGACGGCCGGCGCTTGTTCACCTGCAGCTTCGACACGCGCGTCATCTGCTGGAACATCAGTGATGGGAAGAAGCTGTTCGCGCTGGAGCACATGCAGCCGCCGCCGACGAGCATCTTCGCCTCCGGGACCAACGAGCACGAGGTGACGCGCATGGACCTGCGCGGCAACCAGCTGGCCTCCCTCTGCAACGACGGGTGAGAGCGCTTTGCCTTGCTGGTGTTCTGTTTTGAAGAGAGCGTTGGTGTTGACAGGATGCTGCGCATCTGGAACGTCGCGGGCGACAGTCAGCCGGCGGCGCCCGAGGCCGTCCTGGAGATCGTGCCCGACGCCAAGAGCATCTCCTTCTCCGACAACGGACGCGTGCTGGCCGTCGGGTAAGTGCTGCCGAGCTGGCTGACACTGCATACAATAAAACTAATAATTATTCAGTTGTTTAACACAACAAAAATCAGTGATTAATTGGCTGACACGTGTGCTGTACAGGTGCCTGGGCGGGATCCTGCAGTTCTACGCCCGCAGTCGATAGACTGACTGACAGACACCAGCCGTTCCATCCCGTGTTAATTAAGGTTACGTTGTCGCACAGTTGGACATTGCCTGGTGGAATTAATTCTTAACCGAATAATAACCAACCGTCGCTTTACATAATCCGAATTGCGAATCAGTGTTTCGTGTTGCACTTGTTGCTGGCCTGTTGCGCAGCATGCGCAGCGTCGTGATATGACGCTCCTTTTGCTGTGCTTGTCCAGTACACGTTCTGTTATAATTATCCGGTGTTATTAACCAGAGTCTTATTAATGTAGGTATTACTCAACACAATTATATTTGTATTATCTATCTGTTTCAGTTTGTATAAGTAGCCTACAACGCCATGACCAGCTGCATTAAAATACAATATTATTTTAATTTTCTTCTTGCCGATGAGTTTGTTTTATTTAAGGTCACTTCTATGCGCCAGGAAATTTCATGGCGCATAGTCGTTTTGCTATGCGCCCGGAAATTCGCCGCCAAAATAAAAATTTTTCATTCCAAGTTATTAATAACCTAACACTGTGACTTTGTGAAAGTACTTTTTGCATAGCCAGCATAAAAATACATGAGATTCATTACAAAAGGTACAAACTACCCTTTCGAATAACTCAATTTTTACGTAAAATTATGAACTGGAAACCAGTAATACTTGTGATGGGCGATGGGCGTTACACCTAAGGAAGCATTTGCGTCTGCTCGAGAACAGCACGACAAACAGAAGCGAGCGTTTTTTTGCCGTGATAAAAGCGGAAATGAGAGGATAATGCCGGCGAACACACCTGAAAATGCACCCGCGGAATGCATTGATGTTGTTATGGCCGCGTTGGGAAGTAAAACAGCACTGTACAGTTTTGCCGAATTCTCAAATTAAGCAAAAAAGAAGGGCATGTACGATTTCCCGGCAGCCGAAGGAATAAGAAGCAACGGTCTTACCGGCATGTTAGTACCTGGGTGTGTTGTGAAGTGCCACCGACCGTACCAGGTTATTCAACAAGCACGATCGGACTTGCGAAAACCCTTATCCAGCCCTCTATAACCCTTATCCAGCCTCTTTGTGATCCCACCGGATGCCATCTTGTGACTTTAAAAGCTTCTTGGCTCCCCACCCAACTCAAAAATCTCATTAATTACTATGTACCCTTGTATGGAAACCGACGGACTGTATTAAGATGTAAACATGGATACGTTGCAGTCAAGGAAATTAAATTCACAATGAGTGTCTTCCCGTCCCGCAACAAGGGATTGGTTAGAATAATTGTGGGATATTTGCAGCAACGTTTTGAGTCGACCTTGTCCTTTCAAAAAACGCAATATCGAAAACGCCAATTATGAGAAGGGTCCGCATTTCGAAACTGACTAAACGAAATTCTTGAAAACGGAAGCGTTGAAGAAGCCGCCAAAAAAGGAGGCGTCCATAATCACGCAAAGCCCGAGCCGCAAAAAAGTTCGGTGTGTGTTACCGCAAAAAAAGGTCGATGATATGCGAAAGCGCAGAAACGTCCCGGAGAAAGCCGTCTTGACGAAAAGAACGGTGTGCTCACTGTGCTGTAATAACAGCTGGGACTACAGCATCAAGCTGATATAACGCGGTTCAATAGGGGCTGCATTGTATTACATACAATAAAGAATACCTTCACTGTATACAATACAGTGAAGCTCCTTGAGTATGGCGAAAGTTGATAGAAACTTCTACCAGCACTGTTGATCAGTGGTACTGTGTTAAAAAAGTGACAGTGATAAAGAAACAGGCTGTAATCGTAATCAGACGTGTGGGTTATGATTAGACTTCGTAAAGTGATATTAACAACTTGAACATACTCAAATTTTAATTTTGCGAGAAATTTCCTGGCGCATAGCAAATTGACTATGCGCCAGGAATTTTCCTGGCGCATAGCACTTTCGTTTATTTAATACTCGTATCGGTTATCTGCAGAGAATTGTACCATTTGTACGTACAATTATTCACGTGCTAATCAGGAAAAATTTAATAGCCGTCGAACGGAACCCTGAGTGTAGAATAATACAAAAAAAAAACAGAGAAGAATGTTAATGTTTTAACATTTACGTATATGAACAAGTGCAGTATTGTACAGTCACCGGTGTGGGCATTAATGTTCGCAGTGCGCTTGACAATATAATTCAGGGGAATCATTCGCTGGCCGCGTAAGCGTCTTGATCACGCGGAGGCAGGTAACGGCCGGCATTCCCTTTGCATTTCCCGCCCGTCCCTCCGCTCAGCTTATGCGGCGGTCTCCAGGGGTTTGACCTTGGTCTCGTACAGCGTGCTGCCGGCCATCGTCTGTCCGACAGGGATGACCTTGGTGGGCGTGACGGTCTCCACGGGGCGCTTCTTGAACTTGTCGGCCAATAAGGAGACGCCGCCGAAGGCCTGTCCGCCCGGCCGCTGCCCGCTGGCGGTCGTCGCGCGCAGGTCGTCGCCCTGGCCGCGCTCGCGCCGCAGCGCCGTCCAGCGCAGGATACTGAAGATAAAGGCCAGCAGCCAGGCCGCCACGGCCAACCAGTACGACACCTGCATGCGCCAAGGGAAAAATTAATTAAGAAAATAGCAATTAAATTAAACGAAGCCGGTGTGGCGTTCGTCTTGTAGACAGTCTATCACTGTATATACATACCTCGGAGGTGAGGAGGTCGTAGTAGGGGTCGTAGCCGCGGAAGAGCGCCACGGTGGCCTCCCCGGGGACGCAGCTGCACGTGCAAATTAAACAGCCGGTTAGAATCAGTTAGCATGATCATGTCAGTACAGAATTCGACGGGACTGAGAATAGACTCACGTGATGGGGACGTTGATGAAGCGGGCGGCGATGACCTTGTTGGACTGGCAGAACCAGTACAGGCCCGCCTCCAGGATGCCGGCGCCGATCAGCGTCAGCACCAGTCCCAACAGGGAAATCACCACGAACGGCACCGCCGACGTTTCCGCTCTGCAACAGATTGTGCATAAAAATATTATATATATCAAACACAAGTATATCTATACGAGTGCATACCGGTACGTGTGTACAATACTTTTGTACAGAAAATGGCCAATAATCACATGTAACTAATTAGCATGGGTACTTAATTGTGTATCCTGCACTCTTACGGTATGATGCCGGGCCGACGCAAGGCTTGTACCAACAACGACAAGTGGTAGATAAACTGCAACAGAACCTGATGATGTACAATACGTTGTCATTTCACTCATGCATGTGCAAGTTGATAACTGATACAATAATTGATACAATGCGATATTAACTATTATTATCGTATTGTATCTGTATCTGGCAAATAGTACGTGCTACACAACAAATACATGTACTGTAGGTGAATCAGTACGAGTACGCATATATAAGTGGAATGTCAGAAAACGTCACGACGTTGGAGCCTTAATTACATGTAGGTACGTACGAGGATGAGGCCGAGGATGACGGAGATGATGACGGGCATATACGTGACGTAGTTGCAGTTGTGCACCGTGCCGTACAGCGCCGGCACCGGGAAGCCGGGCGACGTCAGCTCGCTGAACAGCGGACAACCCGCCAGCCGCGTCTGAAATACAAATACAATATACATGTAGATTTTTTTTTGGTACAATACTTTTTATTATTAATTAATTATGCTAAGCCAGTTTAAACATCCAAAACACAGACAAGCGTCACACTGCATCAAAAGACAGCGGAAACATGCGGCCGAATCACAGAGAACATTTGATCTAAATTAGCCGAGGCTGGTGTCGTTCCCAGGATGGATGCCGCAGATAGATATACAGTACTATCTGTACATTAATACAGAACGGTAATAATATAGATATTACAAGCAATTACAGTACTATACGAGGAAGTGCGCTTCCGTAACATTTTCTTATCACTTCTGTATTTCAGTAATAATCCATTATGGTACAATACAAAAGACAGACTGTAAGTGCACCGCCACTGTATATCTGTTATAAAGATTACATATACGATTATTTAATACCACACTTAATATTTGACTTATAATTATTACTGTTGATCTGGATTCTGGACTGTCAAGATACAATATCCAATCAATATCCGCCGATCCCAAAGAAATAAAAATAACATGTCTACTTTTCCACGTTGGATGGCACATTATCAATTACTCTCGAAAAAGTGCGCGCACTTGTAATTATGCATAATTATTATGTATCGCTCGATTAGCATATATAGTATATAGTCTATATACAGCATATAACCCGAGTATCTGTACTGTAACAGTGTACATACACGCTACAATTAGCCAGCGTATGCAAAGTGCAATAATTATGTATACGAGTATAAAAATTACTGTACGTGCACGCTTCACTGCCCGCTTAACAAGAACGGGCAAAGTCCGCGTGAAATTGACTGCCGACCCATCACTGCTATTTCCGGCAGTATTCTTTTACATTGTGTGCTCGATCGTATTCGTCCCTTTATTATTTGCCGGTCATTTACGACGTACGTTATTAGGCGCTTTCTTAGCTTGTGCATGCCACGGCTTCGATTTACCTTCAATTTACAGTCGAATTAATTTTAGATATTGTACTCTACATTGTGATCGCGCCATTAACATGTACAGGTATATCTGTACACATGTAAGGTAATACATGTCGTACTTGTCACTTTTGCAAGGTCAGTTTCTTCCTCGTCAACATGCGCTCCCTGGATGCCTTTTATATACTCGTGTATAACACAAAATACGCAGTATACCTGTAATAATTATACGATATTTACGCGGGCCGAAAGACGACTGATCGATATGCTCTTCTTTAATTTTAACAATTATTCGCAATTCGCAATCGTAGCTGAACTGAAAATGGAAATGCCGCCGCTACCAATTAAATGAAATGATCAATACGAGTATTCCGGCAAAAATGCGCTGCACAAGCTGCAGTCGTGTCTGTACAATATCTGGCCGACGCCGAATTGCAATATATTCGATCGAGCGACATTTTTTATACTGCCAGCACATCCTCGCACATTATTCTAGTCAAAATATTTCCGGCTTCCGACGCTGATTTTTCCCCTGTCAGCGGCTTCCAACACCCGCACAACATATATACACTTCCGCAGTCATAAAAATAACATTTCTAAAACATACGCATACTCGTACATATAATATTTAACGCGCGGGCAATTTAGTAAAAGGATCTCAGTAATTAAATACGGGGATTACAGTAAGTGATGGAAGAAATCACATTTAAATAAAATCAATTAAATATGGAAAAATGATGTTTTTCGCGTACCGTGACCAGGCCCATGCCGACGGCCTGCGGGACGCCGAGCGCCACGATGATGACGTACAAAACAACCAGCGCCACCAACATCTGCGCCGAACGATCCATCATGCAGTTGAAAGATAACTTAATCCACTGATATATATAAAACTGTATATGAATATCATCTGCATCCGCGCCGCCACATCGATCCTACATTCTCTTCCTTCTCCGCATAAAGGAATAACGAAAATCCGTGACAAATAAATTAATCAGCGTGAGAACCGCTCGCCTTGTACTTCCGGTGGCCGTGTTGAATTCGACCGCGTGGACATATAGAAAAACGTGGTTACCGTTCGTAATAACAAAGCGCTTTCTTTCCGTCTTCGCGATCTCTCAAGCCAACCAACTCTCCAAATTCAAAGCAGAGTGATGGTGAGAGAAAAATCAGTCGAGTTGGCAGTGCAACTGCACGCACGTAAACCAGACCACAACGTTCAAATGTGTGCCAATACAATGCAGTGAAGGTTAACGACAGAAACTCTCCACTAGCGTCACGAGGCTGCTTCCCTAGTGGGGCTGCTATGCAGCGTATGCTTTAGCGACAGCCTCGTGACGGCACGCCACGGCAATGCCGGAAAAAGATGGCTTGCCGCGCATAATCGATATTTTCACGGCGCTGACTGGCTTTACCTTTCCTTTCCGGTATGCGCTGCGACTGCGAGCGGCCGTCGTACAGGTGAGTTGATACTGTACAGTGTACATCGTACCTGTGCTGATCGATGAGTGGGCGGACCGGTCTAACGGCGGCACTGGCCACGGCTAATTTTAAATACTTACGCGCAGCGTACAGCGCAGTGCACAACCGGTTTTTCCGGTTGCGTATTCCACCGGACTGGCCACCGTGGCCGGCGCTCCGATTACAGAAACACTTGAAGCGACACCAACTCGCTAGTCGCTACCGAGTCCGGACGGAAGGAAGCAACTGCCAGCACCACCATCCGCGCATTCCGCGACATGTGCTCTGCGTTTATTAACCGCTAATGTTGGCTAATTATAAATCACAATTAAGTCCTTATTTTTTCTTCACTTATCCACCTTTTTATTATTTTTCTTCATCAACTTTATTAATTTTTTATAATGATTTCTCTTGTATTTTTTTAATTTTAATTCTTGCTGTATTTTTCTTGACATAATGGACAAGCTGCAAATATAAATAAATTATGTTTTCTTTTTTTATTTTGACATACAGTACTGCCGTAGCGCAACAGGCAAAAATGCAATAAAGTTGAGTTTAACTAAAGAAATTCTCGTTTATCTAACAAGACACTGGTCAATTAGAATCAAAATCAATCAATCCCGAGCCAAAACAGTAAGCGCTCTATTTCTAGCGGATTATAATAGCTCCACATACTGCTCAGAAGAAATGACTGCAATCTGTACAATACAAACCGGGCACTGGTTGAAATTAACGCAAAAATTCCCACCCATCAACCGGTTAATTCCGCACACAGCGCAAAAGGCCAAAATCCCGCGATTATCCACGGCAGTTGACGTCGCGGATTCATTTGGGCTGCAGAATAATCTCGTCGCCGTCGCGGACGTTGAAGGAGTGCACGGCCCGGCGCTCCCCGCGCATCTCCTCCATCCCGACGACGCCGGCCAGCACCGCGTCCAGGTAGAACACGCGGCACCGCATCCCCGCCACCTTCTGCAGCTCCTGCCGCAACTGCCCCACCGTCTGCTTCACGTTCACCTATTTATTCACATTTTACTTCAGTTAAATGAATTATTACCATTTTTATTGCATTTAAATGAATTAATACGATTTTTATTTCAATTAAATTAGTTATCGAAATTTGATTATTATTTTTACCTTGAAGGGTCGTCGCTGGACACTCCCGTAGCTCAGCCCGACTTCCACATACTCCGGCGCCCCTAGCTGCACGTCCAGGAGGGGCGCCAGCGGCCCGTAGCGCCCGAGAAGCTCGGTGAAGCGCGGACAGGGCGGCGGGACGTCGGCGCCGTGGAAGTGGCGCAGAAAGGCGCGCTCGGCGTCCATCCGCTCCATCGCGTCGACGGGGGTCCCGTTGAGGGAGGATAAGGCGGGGAGACGGGCCAGGACGTGCTGGCGGGTGGTTAAGGTGGGGGAAAAAGGCGCGGACTTGGAGGGGGGGAAGAGGGCGGGCTACTTCCGGTCAGCGGGGAGTCCGTCCAGAGGGGCGTGTTCAACAAACGGAGGTCCGTCAAGGAGGGGAGGTGCTGCAGCTGGTCCAGCGCCGGCCAGGAGGACAGTTCCGTGTGGTTGAGGTGCAGTTTGCTCACCGAGGGGAGGCTGTCCCGCAACGCCTCCGTCTCCATATCCTACAATAATGATTATTAATTATAACACTCTTCTTCAATTCTTTTATTATTCGGTGACTTCCGGTCTTTTCTAAGGGCATACCTGGAGGTCATTGAGGGGATTGTGGCTGGCGAAGAGCGTCTGCAGGCCGGGGAAGGTGCGCCCGATGCGGAGTAACTCGCGCCAGGAGGCCAGCTGGTTGCTGTCGATGTGCAGCTCCTTCAGAGCATGCTGGCGGGAATGCGGAGCACGCTCACTGTCCGCGTCCACGAAGGACGCGTACTCGTTCAGACTCAGGTGCAACTCCTCCACGCTAAAACACACCACACAATTCTCACTTCTCACCACATCCAATCGACTAATCAAGCAAATTACGATTGACCTGTGCCGTACAAGTATGGCATGGAATAGTTGTCTGTGTCACTTCGCTAACCAGCAAATAAATAAATGCCGGCAAGTCGTGGCCTTTGTAAACACGAATCCTCGGGTACGGTATGTTTGTACAAAAAGAACAAAATTTTGTCAAGAAACCGAAATTATTTGTAGGAATTCACAGTTAAAATTGTCACGAAAAATTATCCCAACACATACAGTAGATGTATCTAAAATATTCTGCACCCAATCGAAAAAAATCCAGAGGATATTTGTTACTAATTCTGTATCAAGCTCAGCTATCCGCTGCCGGACGGCAGCGTGCCAGCTGATCGATTAGCAGAGGATAAACTACGGCTAACGACTCGGCCGGACTGTGGGATTTGTATTGCCAGCGGAAACATGCGTGGATCGATGCTGACACAGATTCCCTGCGTGGAGTGTCGGGTTAAAAGGTTAATCGCCAGCAGCCGCGACTGTCAACGGCAGCATTCTTCCCCGCTGCAGCCGGGCCAAGGAGGGGACAAGTGATTAAAACGAGCGACTTACTGCGGCAGCGAGTCCAGCAGCGCCAGCGCCACGCGCGCCTCGATGCGGCTGCCGTTGAGGATCAGCCGGCGCAGGGCGGGCGGCGTGGGACGCGGATCGTGTCGGCAGTTGGCGGCCTGCAGGGGGCACAGGGGGCACCCCTCCCCGCCCGCCCCCCGCACGTCGGTCACCTGCAGTCCGTCCAGCGGGTTGAAGCTCAAATTCAGCGACTCCAGGTGGTGCGTGTGGTGCAGCAGCGGGCGAATCTGTCGTTAAGAATCATTAGGGAAAATACGTTTAACAGTGGCAATCGATGCTGGTCAAAAGCGGTAATTGTCGGTCGGGGAGTTATCGATTACAGTTGACAAGTGCCTGTGTACCTCGCTCCATTTGCCCAGCCGATTGAAGGAGAGATCAATTTCCCGCAAGTGCACACAACACCGCGATAATTCCTCCACGCCGCCCAGACGATTAATCCCGAAATTCTGCAGGACGACGTACGGGGGACACGCGAAACCACGTCCGGCGCCTGCAATTATTTTCATTTTTTTATCAGAATTCAAGTGCATTTTACAGTCGTGTTTTTCTTTAAATATTGCTGAATTTTTCTGATTTAATTGGTATTTGGTAAAGCTATTATTTCTATTATTTAAGAAATATTCACTATTATTAAGCATTTAAAATTTAATCTATTAATAAGCAAATATTGTTGACCGAATTACTGTTTTTTTTACTGTCATATTCATTTCTGTAGCATAATTAAGCATCTTTTTATCAAATAATTCAACTTTTTTTATCCTTCCTAAACTGATTTGTACAAATCAGAACGCAGGAAACACTAGGAATTTAGGCTAATAATATTTCATAAAAACAAGCCGAGAATTTATTGCTCATTGCGGAAACATTTCACTTTCGAAATCACTCCGCGCACTGTACTGCGGCGTGTGGTTTCCGGTCTAATTCGCCGCCACTACACGGCAAATCTGCACTAGCGCACTGATTTTGAAACTGAACGCGCTTTATTTTATTGCTGCAGCTGCATTAAAACTGGCGCTATCAGATGGCAAAAATAGCACAAGAAACCTGCTCTGTTCAGCGCAAAAATTCTATACTGCAGCCGCTTATTATTCCATCCGATCGCGCACACTGCCCGATCGACTGCCCAGTCAGCTGTTTTTTCCCCACGCTACCGCGCTGCTTTTTCTACAGGCGGCTGCTCGCCGCAGGAGGCCACGCAATGCATTCATCACGCCAAGGAAAAATGCTGCCCATTCAATAAAAATATCTATTCTGTTCGATACGGTGAACAGTAAATCGGATAAAACGATATCGTATTAATTCGCTGCTGACTGCTGCTCACGCGGAACAACACGATTATGCAGATCGTACCATTCATCCCGCAGCAGCGATTTAATTCCAAACGATGCCATGCATACCTAATCAGTGTCGATTTAATACACATTTATTACCGACAAAATACGAGCATAATCAATAAAATCATACTTCAACCGGAAACGAAACGAAATGGGCCACACACGGTCCAAAGTGATTCCCATATAACCCAGAATTTTAGGAAATTAAAATTCCATTTAATCATGAACCGCTGGAAGCGATAATCACCGTCTAAAAGCTGTTTAACAGTATAATTTAATTTTGGAATGGGAATTACCGCTGCAAGCAACTCAGTTCTCTCTACAATAAATAATTTACCTACCGGTACAACAAAATTAATCCAGATCTAGAGCAATAAAAGTGACTAGAATTGAGTAAAATGTAAAAAAAATAGTAATAATAGTATAGCTATTACATAATCAGTGTACATTCAGTGGTGTGCACGTATTACTGCACCTGATGAATACGGCTGATTTTCCTGTTCCTGTTGCTGCTGCTGGCGCTGGCGCTCGCGCTCGCGCTCCTGACAGAGCAGTCCAGCAAACAGCACCCGGTAATCCTCATCGGAATATTTGTGCTGCAGCGCCGACAGGAACGTCACTTCCTGGCAGTCATCGCGATTTTCCTCCATTATGTCCGCGCTCTGCATTGGTCGACGATCTGCAGTATTTCCATGCACAGACGATGGCTGATTCGCACTGATTCTCCACAGGCACGTTGATCAACATCAACTATCACAGATTCACCGCGCAGCCATTACTCCACGTTAACGTAAGGGCTGCGGTAAAAAGTCAACACGGGAGGCTGATTAGATAAGCAAGGCAAGCAACACAGCAGCGCCGTGCGCAAACCAGCGCAGCCTGTTTTCCTGCGAGAAAACTGAAACGCACAAGAAAATGAAATGCAGGTTGCAACCAAAGCAATCTTTACGGGATGAGGAGGATAGCGAGGGAAATTCTAAACTGGTGAGAGGGTATTTTCGGCAGCGTTGAGAGACGTATTTTCGATCTGGAAGAGTGCAGATCAGCAAATGCCAGCAAGGAAGGCATTCAAGGCAGAATCGAATCAAACAGCTGTTTCATAACATTCCCCTGCGAGTTGCGAGTGGCGAGTTGCGCGACACGCCAAACACCAGCACGTGCTCGACGCAGACGCCACCAGTGGGCGATTCCACTGGCCAACCTTCCAATGGGGATTCCACTGGAATCGCACCAGTAGTCTGCCGCTTAGAGGGGACAGCTAGCTACTTAAGTACTTATTCCTAGTATCTGTACTGTGGTAGTCTGGTAGGAACAAAATTAAGACACTCATACACTGTATGTATACTATGTACAATCGACTTGCGTCCGATCGATACTGTCGCTTCTTCCCACATTAAGTCCACTTCGACAACTGCTGGATCGGCCGCGACGCAGGCGGAAGAACAGAAATGTTGATTTTATTTGAACCTTCGTGGTCGGAACATTTTTGCCCAGTTAGCATGCGAGGCCATGGGCCCGTTGGGGACCATCGGCTAGTGCAACGCAGCAAATCAAGGAAATCGGTCAACGCCTACGCAACCATACTGGAGATGTTCGCTCCCATCAATTCATGCGGGAACGATTGTCCTGGGCGATACAACGCGGCAAGTTGGCAACGCGGCTTCGGTCGATCCTGGGAACAATGGAAGGAGTGGAGAATGTTGAATGAGCCGTTTGTGAATCGTAATTAATATGCTTATTATAGCCTAAACTGCAGTGTTCTTGTTCTTTTATTTGTGGATTTATGAAGTAAGCTGGCTGATACTCTGCGGTAAAACACAAATATTAAAGTTTGGGGAGAAAGCACGTATGATCACTATACAGTATACGCTATAGCGCCACTGTTTACACTGCCTTAACAGTTAAAAACGTTTGTCCATCTCCAGCGAAAGAGGTAATGCGCTGTGTGATGGGCATTTTGCCGATAGAATACGGGACGACACATGGCACAATTAATTTAAGCGTCTGCTGTTATGGCTTGTTGCGACTGTTCTTTTCTTGGTTATTACCGGTATACGTAGTACTTAATATTGTCAGTTACTGTACATTCATGGCTCGCAGTTTTCCAAAACCTATATACATAATTATTGATTCTACGAGTAGCTGGTATCAATAGATTCATATATCCTTACGTCCTTATTTTTTGGAAATTATCTCCTAAATCAAGATTGATTTTTTCAATAAGTTGATAATTTTATAAAATAGAGCATCGCGCAAACGTTCCTACCTTTATCTTTAAAAAAATCTCAAGTTTTGGAGAAGGTCTAAAAAAATTTTTAGAAGCTGTAGTACTTAAAGGTTGTTAGTACTTCAAGGTTGTTAGTTTTGGAAATTATCTCCTAATTCGAGATTCCATTTGTGAAGCTTTTGACAATTTTATAAAATCCAGCATCTTCTAAAGCTTCCTACCTGCAGCTTGGAAAAAAATTTTGTGTTTCCGGAACGTTTTCAAAAACCCTTTCAAACTTTCAGTACTTAGCGTTTTAAAGTTCATAGAAATTTCCAGTAAATTCTAGAAACGTGTCGAATGAGCAAATACAAGTTTCGCAACTTAGCAACCTAAACTATATTTATTTAAAATTGACAATCCTATCAAACTTACAATTTTTTTAAATTCTTGAAACCTTTAAGATGTTTTTAAATCTGTTTGAATACCTCAAAAAACTGTAACTATAAATTTTTCGAAAGTCGGCTTCAAAGCTTTTACATTTCAAGAATTTCAAAATATTTCTAAATACTTCTACCCGGCCCCGCGCAGCGGGGCCGTTACCTCTGATTTTTTGAGCCTCCAAAGTGTCAAAATTTGAAAATATCTAGAAATCTAAGTACCTCAATATCTCACGGTCTAAATTGTCTGATTTATATGTAATTTCTAAATATTTAAAAGCCAGCCCGCGGCCCGTTTACCGTATTCACTCACATAACGGCTCAGTGATACTGGTAGCTTGGGTATTCACTAACCTCAAAATTTTAACTATGTATTTATTTTATTTTTATAAATACTCAAGAGCTTGACTGAATAGCTGAAAGTCTTACAATTAGTAGCTAAAGATGCAGCCTCCCAGGTCACCTTGGGCAACCGTTAATTGTTTCTCACAAGTTTCCATTAATTCTGTGCTAAAATATCGATTGAACGGTTTTCGTGGGCATCGTGTAAATGATCCCACTCCATTCATTTAATCACCGTTTGAATAATTATTATCGGTCGCACAAAAAAATTCAAGTTTTTAGCTCGTTAGATCGGCAATATAAAGTTACATTACAGCGCGTGCGATGACAATCTGCCGCTCGTGGCAAAATTCAAAATGCGCCAATAATTTGGTTTACCCCCATTTTTTCACTGGAATTTTCAATATTAAAAACTATTAAAAACGTGAAAAAGAACCGTGAAAAATGCAAACACAAAGAAAAATTGTGGAGGCTTTCACAGTTTTTATAACACTGGTCGAATTTAACCGGAAAGCTTGATAACTGTCCTCATTTCTACATGTTAAAATATTTTCGTAGCTGGCCTCGCTGGGGTTTCATAACTGAAATATAGATGGAAATGGTAATTGTCACTCCCCTGCACCCCCTTTATTTTAATAAAATAAACACCCCCTTTGACTATTGTCACTCTTTACAACACGCCCTTTTGGCTATTGCCACCACCTTTCAATTTCTTATAATTTTTCCACCAGCGGTTTTCTTCAAACTCTGTTCCTGCCACCACCGGCAGGCCTGGGGAAAGGCGCTAAGCGAAGCTTATTGACACTAAATACATCGCTAAGCTGCGGCATCATTTTTTTTAACATTAAACTTAACATCTTCAAGGGTTTTAGCTCATGAGCTCCGCAGCGAATGCGATCGCAGAAAGTCCACAATTATGGCCATCCCTCTAATGCTGCACGCACGGAAAGAAAATTTCGGTGTCCTCGCTTCCGGTTGATCTCAACACTTTCTTAATTAATCACTTGTGCCGACGCCGGTGGTGCAGAGTCATAAACAAACGGCTGCCCCTCTTTCTGCACTAACAGCACTCAGTGGTTATTAGCACCTTTTTGTACCTTTCCGGTAGATTACAATCTTACTTAAGTTGGCTGAAAGGCCAAGTTAGCAGCATTGTGTTTCTTATAAGAAATGACCAAGGAGTGGCAATAGTCGAAGGTGGTGAAAAAGGTGGTGACTATAGCCTAAGGAGGTGTTCACTTTATTTAAAAAAAGGGGGCGACAATAGTCAAAAAGGGGTGCAAGGGGGTGACAATAGCCAAAAGGGGGTGGAGGGGGGTGACAATAGTCGCACCCATTATAGATATATTTCTCAAAATCATTTTTATTGCTGTACGAAGTGTATTTTGTATTTTTTTCATTCTTCCATACCTCGAACACAACTGGTCGCGCACTAGCGCGACCGATACTTGTAATTATATTAATGGTATATCTGTAAGTTCGGTGTAGCGGGATTATTCCATGCATTCCATCGCGATTCTGTTGCAAACCAATTAATTGTAATTTGTACGGGCTGCCGTGACTTTTGGTAACACGGATCTCCTGTGTGGCCGCCATTGGTGGAAAGTCATCGTTCAAGGCACACACGAAGCGACTGGTCGTGTTCATCTTGTCGCCGAAGCTGGGAATCGAATTATATTTATTGTTTTGTGGTTTGTCGATCGATGGTCCGTCTCGGCGACATGTTTTGTGCATGTGTCGCGCACCTTGCATATATAATTATCATCCCCGCTTGTGCGCTGGCTAGCCACGAGCTAGGGTAGGGGTACAGCCGGCATGGACCTGAAGGCCGGGCGGAAGAAGGAAGAGAAAAAGAGGCCGCGCCGGAAACGAGACCGGCATGGCCCAGGCCGGACTAGCCAGCACAGTTCGGATATCATCGGACGGTTATAATTAGCGTGAGGTTACGGTTGTATATACGACAGAGGCCAAGAGCCGTCAGTCGACCGGCGGACAAGACAAACGTGGCTTCGCCCTATAGTACTGTGAGCCACGTCGGTTGGACGGGACGCAGCATAAACTGTCCCGAAGGAACGTCGGCCGAGGATAACCTGCTGCCTTGGAGAGGAAGGATATACGTACAGTATATACTATATAGTATAGGTATTAAAGCGTATGAATATTGTCTAAGCGGTTCACCATGTGTGACTACCTGTGCTGACCAGCTCACCATGAGCGTAGCATGACTAGACACATTTATCGGAAGCTGCCCATTCTGTTTCCAAACCTGATTTTAGTTTTGGTCTTTCGTCCCTTCGTACGGGACGTAATAATAAAGTTAGGCCTGCGATCTGGCCGCACAGTGAACTGGTGTTTCTCCATTCTGGTAATCGTAATCATAGCTGCTTCGTGACCTTACATCCTTTTCCAACCTGAACAGTCGTCTGCTCCCTGGAATTGCGCTGTATAAGCAACTCCAGTTGAGATGCTTTAAGAGCATCGTTTTAATATTATGCCGCCAGAGTGCACCCGGGACGGGGTTGGCCGACAAGATTCTGACCGGATATATATAACGTTATAGCCCGGCCGGCACTGTGAGCTGCTTGTATCACAGCCAGATATACGGTACATATATAATGGACGTCACATATAACCGGCGCATCGCAGTGCTAATGCGACTTGCCAAAATGACTGACTCTGGTCTCACCATAATATTATACGCATGATTGTCATTGCCCGACTCAAGGAGCGAGAATCTAGGCGCTGCCGAAGCGCGATGAGTCGCTAAGTTCGAGCACGCTCACAGCTTCACAGGGCGTTTGTTCCCCGTCACCGCCTTCGAATTAATTCGCCGACTGGCTCCGCTATCCGCGCCGAAGTAGGGGTCGCGACCGGTAAGAACAGGCGACGCAAGGCCGGAAGTTACTGGAAACACACAACGCCGTACGCTTGAGAGCGCTACTTAGGGCGGACGGCAACAAGCTTTTGAATGACCACCCTGCTCAAGCTAACCGCAACAGCTAAAGGTCAATAGTCTCAACGACATTCCCGCGCTAAAAGGGGTACAAATGCACTGTACACTGTACACGCAGCAGTACAACTGGATGAGTAGAAGTCGGGATCATGCCAGACTGCCAG